GTGGTAGTTCCATGGTAGTACAGGAGGCCTACCAGATGGACGAAGGGGATTATGTTTCAAGGAGTAACTACTGTTATTACGAGTTATCTTGTTCTACAAACAAGGGTAGAAATCAAGTTTATTTGTTATCACATTCTGATCTTGTAGATACGTTCCTGAACTAAACTAGAACTCAAAAGTAAACCAACTACACCATACAGGAGCACATGTGCGTTAGACAGGCAGCTCGATATCCAAACGCCCAATTTCGTCCTAACTGGGAACAGGAAGACAACTAACTATACACAATGTGTAATCAAAAGACAGTGATCCTGTAGAAAAAAGTAGCGTTGATTATATCCTTCAGATAGAAAATTTTCACCACGCGTGACCGAAACTTTTCCACTTCGTGGTATTCGGGGCATATTAGTGTCATACTGGCTTCATATGATGCTGAAAGAGTCATGTCATATCATGTCGTGATCATTAAAGAGTGTACGTATGGTAGTGAGATGATGGAGGGAAGGTAAGTGGTAAGAATTGTAGCGACTGGCACATTGATTGGCGGACCAAAGCAATGTATGACCGAAGACGCGCCACCCATGTAATCTTGAGGCACCTGATAACCGGGGTGGCTTGTTTATGCTCCGTCCTCTTCGCTGATGCGAATGGCACCCTCGTTACCCAGACCGTGGGACCAGAATCCGTCAACGTTGAGGGTACTAGTATAGCAGTTAGTTTGGTGCTAGACTCCAGGCCAAAGAGCAATTGGTTACGTACATTCCAGGAGCGCCGTCGTGTGCAATAAGCAGCCAGTATCCGAGAATACCCTGCGAAAAAATATCGTAGATGGCGAAGAGGATAGTCTCGACATCAACGTTGATCTTCAGAGCCAAAGCTCCCGCAGCGAGGGCACTAGTCCATGTCAGTATACCGTTGAACGCATCTTGAGCTGAGGGAAACTTACACTGGGTACAGGAGCTTGACAAACAACATGACACCCGAGAGAGTTCCGAAGAACCGCTTGGTCTGGACATCCTTGTTGCTTGCTGCCCGGCTTCCATGGACACTGATATGGTAAACCGTCGTCAGATAGCCGATTGCGCTGATAGTGAACCAGACCCATCTGCGCGAGGAATGGCCAGCATAGGTACCCAGAATACCCGAGCCCAGCATGATAAAGTCCGCCGCGATGGCGATGAGCAGGTGAGCTCCAGGCAGACCGGAGAGCAGCGACAAGCTGATGAGGCCCAAAGGCTCAGTCAAGAACCAGAGGACATAGCGGAGCCAGAGGATCTGGCGGTAGTATTCCTGCGTTGTGTTGGGGACGTGTTTGTTGTGCTCCTTGAGGATGTCGAGCTTCCAATCCATGCCTTGTCCAGTCGCCAGAGCAAGGTAGACAATAAAGGAGATGGTGCTGGCGAGAGCAACAATAACATGGAACACACGTTTATTCTAACCAGACTGAGGTTAGTTGCTTGTCTTGTAATATCATCACGATAGCTTGAGAACTTACAATAGGAACCCGAGCACCTAGAACGTAGAACACGAGAGAGGAGATACCCATAAGCACGGTGACCACCCTGTGTACCTCAATATTAGCTATACTCGTCACATCTCCGTCCACAACGGTCTTACCATAGTGTCCGTTTCCCAGTGTCATGGAGCACCTGGAAGATGGGATCACTGCCGGGAACGACGGTGGGAATGGGCGCCACCGACGAGGTAGGCGATGGCTCAGGCCAAGGGAGAGTTGGAGTCGCCTTGATGAAGGACTCGATCATGTTGATGGATTCGACAGAACTATCGACACTGATGATGGTGTAGAGACAGTCCGATGCGAAAGGATATTGCGGGGGAGATGAGCGTATATGAGGGGGATCGACTGGGTATTTAACGGGAACCGGGAGAGCCGAGATGCAAGGCTGGCCATGATCCAGTGAAGAAAAGAGGAGCAACGATTGGGATTCTCCGTTCCCCAGCGACCAGCGTCATGCTGACCTCGATGTTGTCGTCATTGAGATTCAAGAGCGGCGGAGAACCAATCACGGCGGATGCGACCGCGGGCTTGAGGGGCAACCGTGTAACCGGGGGGGAATTGGTGCTGTTGTCCATGTTTGTCTGGAACTTGGAAAGCTGGCTGGTCAGCAGTAGTTGCATGATACGAATGCGTCTCCGCTTAGGTGAAGATGGGGAAGAAGGGAAGATGGAATGGACAGATGGGAAGCTCCACTGAGACGTTGCCCTCCCCGCGGCATGACGCCATCCCTAACTCGGGCATGACTCAGCTACAAGGTACGGTTTCATCCACTTACTATGTAGCCAAATTAGTGATAATGAACATATTCACCATTCGAGAACAGTATAATTAATGTAAATACAATGTAGGTGACTAACGAGAGAATATAGAGGGTACAAAGAAGACAGCTACTACTCCGTAGTCACTCGTGTATAGTGCCCAGTTGAACATGGTACTTCCTTGGTCTCCACGGAAGTCACCAAATCATGTATCAGACAAGCTGGTTTACACAATACTTACTTTACATCCATTGGTTTCAAGTTATGGCGTGAAATAGAAGCGGTCCCGTGATATGCATAGTTAATGTCCAGCAAGGTAGATCTTAGCGTGTATCATATCATGCCTTCCCATTCCGATCTCACAGCTTCCACAACAATCCCCGTTACTGCCACATCCTTATGCCACACCAACTCCCCCCTTGATCTTGACAGTCTTCTTAAATCTGATATGCTAGTATGATTGTTTAAATCTCCGGTCCCTTTACACACAGACATCTCTGCTGTCTCCATTTGCACCTGGCTTAAACCCCAGCTCTCATGATTCTCCTCGGTTTTCTTCGAGGCCACTTTTTCCTGATAGCACCGTCCTGAGGGAAAGACACCGCCGTGGCTCCTGGTCCGATGATTCGGAACTCCACGCCCGACGCACGGAACCTTCCCTGCAATTCCAGTAGACGGGCATCGATGATCGGGTCTGCTTCCATCATTCGATAGTTGGACCAATGACCCAGGGTACACTTTATACATCCTTGGTCGGGTGCTTGCTCTCTGACGGCGTACCGAAGATAGAGCGTCTTGAGTACAGGGACGGTCTCCGAAAGGTGTACCACCAGGCTTTCGAGTTCACAGCACAAGGCCCACGAGGACTGGATCAAGCAATCATCAACATAGAGATGTTGCAGCGAGCGTGGAAGCACCTCCCGAAGGGGTATGCTAGGACTGTAGGACCCTTTCCCGACGAATGGCAGCAAGTTACCCCACCGTATATGGACAGTTTGGAGATTAGGGAATCCGGTCAACCTCCCGAAGGTGATAGGCGTTGGGTTTTCGGCATCCTGCTCAGTCAGGTCGCTCAGGAAAGTTAAATTCAAGTGATGCAACGAAGATTGAGATTGTTGTAAAGGCTGGTACAGGTGCGAGTGATCCAGGTAATCGTGCGTATGATTATCCCCCCAGTCCCCCAATTCGAGGGTAAACGAGTGTAGCTTTGGGCACCTTTCCAGCAGACGAGAGAGATCAGGTAGGCCATCAGTGGATGCCAGGAGATCCAGATGGGTCAATGAGAGGACCAAGTCACTGGGCATGTCAAATTGAGTTCGATCACACGAGTTATGCACGTAAAGCTTTCGCAGCGATGGAATCCGGAGATAAGGGGTCAGCCTCTTCAAGGGTATTGCGCTTTCAGTATGCCCCCATTCCCGCAGATTTGGACCGTCGGCCAACAAGACGTGCTTTAGGTGCGTTAGAATCCCCAGTTTTGGGTTACTTGCCCAATGAATAACCCGTTCAAAGTGGACGGAATTCTTGACTAGCATATTATCCTCAAAGATACAATACTGATTCCATTCTTCGGGTAATTCAATGACGAATCTTTCAAGATTCTTGACTTGCACCATGAGCAAGGCCAGCCAGGCATCTTCATATCGTTGATGCTGAATCCAAAGCTCGCGTTCTAGATCGTCTTTGAGATCTTGGCGCCACGCTCGGAATCTGCGGCGATATTTGCGCTTAGCATCTCCATAGGGCAGCATAAAAGGGAGGAATTTTTCTTCCCCGGGTGGCTTCAGCGGAGGTCGATGTTTCCACTTTTCCTCGCCATAACTAGGGTAAAGCTCCAGGGAGTGGATCAAGGGAGCGAGGGTTGGATTCTTAAGCAGAGCTATTGTAACTCGACGCACAGGAAGAAAATCGCTCCAACGGAAGCGACCATAATCGGCGTCAATATAATCGTTCAGGGGAAGCACGACATGTTGATATAGGTGGGGAATGAACAGGGAGTACTAATCCTTGCAAACCAGCACTAGTTGCGCATAATCCTGCCTCGTGAGAAGGGGAACAATTTGGAGAATAAGCTCCCCGGGCAGGTCGTCGATTCTCATCCTCGATGTGCGATGTGATCGTTGATACAAGGCTGATAAGTGTGTATGTAGCCTGGGAAGATGATTTAACCACCTCGACCGGCGCTAGTCAAGGTTCTATCACCAAGCAAAACCCCTACATACACATAGACTAACTATACAGCAAACAGACTAGCGTCCCTTGGCCGATATTACATTTTCACTAGACAAAGACCGGCTGTTACTTGGTGCGCTGGAATAGTCATCACATGACGCCATCCAATCAATGAGATAGGCGGATAGTAGTATCTTGGATGCGCTAAATTTGCTATCTGGTCTACTAATTACCTCAAGGGCAGGCCATGTATAAAAGTCAGTGTCTCCTGGTGATGAGGAATAGCTCTCGCGCGGCAATATCTGGGGCCTAACAACTGGGTCATCTCCTCATGACTTCGGCGAGTTGTACTATCATTGATTTCGGTTGGCCCAATATATAATCTAAGGGTCTTGATCCGGCATTGCTCAGGCCACGCACTTTTATGTTTACACCACGCCCCAAGCTGTTCCGTGCCGCCAAGCGGACAGACTGTCGCTTGATCGATTTTCGCAGGGATCCTACCATGTACTACAGATGCCGCTAATGCTGGCGAGCCAGGGAACCATAACCGAAATCTATGCTAACTGTTACTATTATAATACACATGCAGCACTAGCTTGGACGATTCAAATGCTAACAAGGAACTGACCACTCAGCTCGATGCATCCAACTCTTGCACCACCTCCTCGCAGCGCCCACACACCGTCTCCTCCTCCGCCGCCTCTGTCTCGGGCACCACATACCGCCAGCAACGCGGACACTTGCTCGCCTGCGGGGTATACACATATACCGTGCCTGTCCCCCCGCTCGGCAGCTCGTACACCTCACTATACTGCCACTTCGCATTGCGGATGTCCTCCGGGATCGGCTCCTCGTGCGCCCCGAGACTGACCGACGAGACAACAAACACATCAGGCAGTTCGGACTGGAGGCGCGCGAAGACTGCATCGCTTGTAGCGTCCTTGGGAAGAACAATGTGGACGAACGATTGCAGGGAAGAGCCCATCTGCTTCTGGCCACGGGCCTTTTCTTGGATCGCCTTGACGACCGAGTTCACGGCCACGATGTCCTGGTAGTCTGCTTCCAGAGCCTGGTTCTGCCATTCGGAGGCGGGCGCGGAAACAATCCGTTTGAGCGGATGCTCGCAGTGCGTCTTGATGGCCTCGGGCGTGTGCTCCCAGGTCTCTTCTACCAACAACGGAGTGATCGGGGCAAGCACCTCTTGGAGGTGGTGATAGATGTGGAACAAAGTCGTCTGGGCAGCCCGTCTGCTGGTGCTGTTCTCGGCGTAGGTGTAAAGACGGTCCTTGATGGCTTCCATGTAGAATGCAGAGAACTCAAGATTAGCCCAGCGGTTAATGGCATTCACGGCCTTGTAGAATTCAAAGTTCTCGCAGGCCTTCTGGCAGGCCAAGACTGTGTCGGAGAGATGTTTCAACGCGATACGATCTACCTGCTGCAGCTGGTCATAAGGGAGACGATCCTCCGGACGGAAGTCGGACAAGGCACCTAGCAACAACTTAAACGTCACACGGTACTTATGCAGACTAGTGTTAACTGTCTGAAGGACTTGCTTGCCAATCACAACATCCCGCGTGTAGTCGCTGCTTGCAACCCACATCCGCAGAGCATCCGGGCCAAGCGCATCGTAGACAGGTGCCTGGTTCTCAGCCTGCTTCTTCCCCTTGCCTTTTCTCGGCTTCAGGGGGGGCAAGAGCGTGCCGTCCATGATCGACTCCGGCTGGATCACGTTGCCGATTGACTTGCTCATCTTGCGTCCCTCCTCGTCCAGGGTGAACCCGTGAGTGACGAGGTTCTTGAACGGCGCGCGAGGGAAAGCAGTCTGTCCGGAAGCAAGCTGGTGGGCGATGAAGGTGAGAAGGCCGGACTGGAACCATCCACGGTGCTGGTCGGTGCCCTCTAGGTAGACGTCTGCGGGATATCCGCCGTCACGGTAAGGCAGGTCGATCTCGGTCCAGCTGGTGCCGCTGTCGAACCACACGTCCATGGTGTCGGTTCCGCGTCTGTAGCCGGGCCCAGAGGCATCTCGGAGAGCTGGTGGGATCCAAGCCTCGTCGTTGGCATCGTCTGTCCACCATGCGTCAATGCCACGCTCTTCGATGACGTTCATGATGTGGGACACGCTGTCCTTGGTGAGCAGGGCATCGCCTGTCCCGCGGTGGTAGAGCGCCGGGATAGGGACACCCCAGGCGCGTTGGCGCGAGATACACCATTCGCTGCGGTTCTTGACGAAATTCTCCAGTCGTTGTCTTCCGGCAGTAGGCACGAAGTTGACATCTTCCAATGCAGTCATGGCGCTGCCACGGATGTCGGCTACGTCGGCGAACCATTGCTCTGTGGCGCGGATGATGATGGGAAGCTTCGACCGCCAGTCGTAAGGATACTTGTGCTCGTACCGGTGCTTGGTGATCAGCAGGCCTTGGGATTCGACGTAATCGAGAACAGCGGCATTGCCATCACCAAGGACGCTCTTTCCACTAAGCCTTGTAGGGTCGCTGGGCATGGCCTTATCGGTGAATTTGCCGTTGTCGTCCACGGGAGCGAATGCGGGGATACCTCGGGATAAGCAGGCTTCGTAGTCCTCCATACCGTGGCCTGGGGCGCAATGAACCAAACCGGATCCAGAGTCGGCGGTGACAAAGTCCGCGGCGATGATGGGTTGCGGCTCCGCATCGGGTCCCTTGAACAGAGATCGGTAGGTAGTTTGGTCAGCGAGCTTCGATCCAGGGATAGCCGGTACGATGACCGACAGATCCTCCTTCAGGATGCCCTCGAGATATTCCAGTCGAGACTGTGCGATGAGAAGATAGCCCTGTGTATCCGAGTCGACGATGGTGTAATCCAAAGACGGGTGAACCGAGATAGCCGCGTTTGCCGGGAGTGTCCAGGGAGTCGTAGTCCAAATAACAGCGCTGATTTCCTTATCCTTGAGCAGGGGGTCCTGTGCCAGATGCTCCGGGATGCTAGCAAGAGGGTATTTCACCAAAGCAGCCGTTGACACATGATCTTCCTTGTATTCGAGCTCCGCCTCCGCCAGCGCCGTGCCAGTAGACGGCGACCAGTAAACCGGCTTGAACCTCCGATAGATCAATCCCTTATCAACCATTTCCCGGAAAACGCCAAGCTGTCTCTTCTCGAACGCCTTATCCATAGTCTTCCAATGATTCTCCCAATCCGCCATAACCGCGAAGCTCCGGAATCCCTTCATCTGCGCCTTGACTGTCCGATCAGCCAACTTGCGCGCAGCCTTGCGTACCAACGCTGCGCTAACGGGCCCATTGTGTTCCTGTCCCTGTAGTTCCTTTTGCGCTTCCAGTGCCTTCAGCTCTATCGGCAAGCCGTGACAGTCCCATCCCGGTACGTATCGTATCCGCTTTCCCAGTCCGAGCTGCACACGACAAATAATGTCTTTTAGTACTTTGTTGAGGGAATGGCCAACGTGAAGTTCGCCGTTTGCGTATGGCGGTCCATCGTGTAGGACGAACGGCTGGCTGGCTGGTCGTTCACGCTGTTGCCAGGCGTAGAGGTCGTCGGTGCATCGCTGCAGGTATTTTGTCCGATCGGCCGGCGTCACGCGTGCAGGGAACGTCGATTTCGGGAGCTTGAGCGTCGACGACCAGGACCGAGCGAGCGTCCGTGGCAGGTCCGGCATACTACCGCTGTATCATATCCCACTGTTTGAGTTTGGGAGGATTGGGCGAGAGGTGGGTGGTGACTCTGGTTGGGGAGCGGAGATTCAAATAATGTCCACCCATCTCCGATGCGGCCGCAAAAGGCGTGTTTTTGTATTACGGTAAGTTACGCGACCTACCAATAACAACCATTATATAGTTTGGGGACTGTCATTCAATACGGAAGCCAAAATTAGATACACATAGTAAACCCGAAAAGCAACCTCTCCATAAAGCAACGTTGGCTTGAATTAGTACAATATTTCTATCAATGCATGCAATATCCATGAATCTGATGCTTGCCAGAAGACACCAATCCAAAACTCCGGCCCACCCTTGCGAGGAAACGATCAGGTTAATAGATAGTCAAGCAGCTCACTGCGCCATTCTTCATCACCTCGAACAACAGACCAGGGAATCCGAAGAGCTCCGTATTGCCTAGTCCGCCGTCATGCGCGTCGTGGCCCGCCCTCTGCCCTTTGCCTGTGCTCTCTTCCCATCCACCGAGAAATTCGACGCTGCTCTCTGGGCTGTCGCCCCACCCTCGGTTCAAAACCATGGGCCGCTGTAGAGCCCGCTCCTCCGCAGGGCTCGCATAAGAACCCCTCCAGGTTGACCTGAGACGCTCTGAAACCTCTTCATAACGAGTCTCCGAAGTAACAAAATCATCAGGCGAACTGAAAACGATCCTCCACCGGCTGCGGCGATGACGATTGAAAGGATATGAACCCGGCACATTTCCATGTAGGATGATCTTGGTCACCACCAACTGCGAATGGGGTGGGGGTGGAGTGGGGTCTCTCTGGTCAGATTCTGGGAAGGCTGGGCCGGGCGTGGTGGGATAGGAGATGAACGCATCAAATCCATGGTGGAAGTAGTTGAAGAAGCATTCTGACGGTAGTGACGAAGGATCCGATGCGTTTGGTTGGAAGAGCTCGTCGTCTGAATCATCAGACACACTGTTGTTTGAAGATTGATCGATGTCAGTAACATCTATTCCCCTGCCTGGAGAAGAGCCCAGGTGAAGAGCATCCTCGCCACCGCTACGGCCGGCGGCTCGATGAATAGCTATTCTCCGATCATGTTTACGGTAGATGGCATCGGGTGGCCCGAACTCGGCGACTAGGTCTTGAGGAGTGGTTTCTGACAGCGAGATAAGTCCAGGTGGGCTCGATCTTCGCACCGCTTCAATCTTGCCGGCGCCAAGTATGAGAAACTCTTCGATCTCGTCCGGAACAGACTCTCGGCTTTTACTTGCCAATGCCGGCGAGCGCGGAAATTGCGGTTGCTGTGTGAATAGCTTGTTTCGAGATTCGGGCCAAGATGAGCCCTGGAATATGGCCATAGATGTTGCTGGCAAGGCTGCTGAGGAGGAAAGCAATGCTACAAAGTCACACTGATCGGACCATGCCGAATTCTGCAAAGGGAAGGAGAATGCGACACCAGGGTACGATAGCACATAGGTGCCGTATGGCGACTGAGGGCTATCCGGAGGTATATACTCTCCGGGATAAGATGGCCCAAAGAGACGGTTGTAGACATGGCGAAAGTTGGGGCCTTGCTGTGTCACGGACTGTTCCCCTGGCTTCACACCTTTCAGTACTTCCTGGTTCTTATAAACAAGTGCAATCTTGGAGAAGTCCAGCACCTCGATCAAGCGAAGTCGCTGGTCGGGTCCATCAAAGCGTAGACGAAGACCACTCGATGGAAGTTTCAAGCTTACTGGCTTGTTCAAGGGCTCTGCAGAGGAGTACGCAATATCAATAGCGGGGTATATCTGGGGATGGGCCTTGACGCGGCTTAGGACATTGTGAAGGGAGGCTCCGAGAGCTATGCGACACCGATTAGCCATGCCCAAAAGTTAATGTGGTGACTCAACATGCTTATGAATCCCAACCCTTTCCCAGGGTAGATCTGAGCCTGCGGTGAAGGTCTGGAGGAAGTCATGTTGGGTTACGGCCGATTCTCATACTGCGGCGGCCGGCTGAGGAGGCGGTGGGTGTTAGTAGTCGGTAGTATATATATGTCAAGAGTACAGTATGCTGGATGGGCAAAGCACCATCCCGTAGCTTAGATTTACAAAAGAGCAGCACCCTAAGCTGAATCAAGCTGATGCTTTGGAACACTGAACACTGTCTGAGAAGAGTTGCGACAGTCAGGAGGAGAAGCCGTGGGGGGAAGGCGATGAACGCATAGGACCGATCATGTGAGAGGGGGGAATGACGGGGGCCGGCACGTGGGCGGTGTGGCCGGTTTGTTTACGTTTTCCGTTTTGAGAATCCCGCATCAACATCGGTAAATACTCCAACCTCGACCTCCTTATCCGACATCCCCCACAGTCGCCGCCAACTTTGTCGCCTTATGTTGATCAATTAATTTGAGATTTTGCGGCATCATTGCTCATTGCATTGAAGCGACACGACACCTGTTACACTTTATCTTATAGTCCACTATGGCCGGCCCACAACGGCCTGCCTCTGGGCTGCCAACAAGACGTACGACAACTACAGCTACACGCCCAGCAACACGTCCATCGACGCGACGAGCGGGTTCAACCGTGCCCTCTTCGACCAGAGCCAACTCTCCAGCAGTTACTGCAAAAGCGCCCCCTAGTAGCTCGCGCGCGGTGAAATCGCCGACCGAATCATCCGCCACCAGTCTCATTGCGAAGCGCAAAGAAAGAGACTATGAACGTGAAATCAACGAAGACACCAGTATCCACGTTGTGGTAAGATGTCGCGGCCGCAATGACAGGGAGATCCAGGAAAAGAGCGGAGTCGTCGTCTCAACTCCTGAAGGAGTTAAAGGCAAATGCGTTGAATTATCCATGGGCCCAAATGCGTTGTCCAACAAAGCCTACACATTTGACAAGGTCTTCTCAGCAGCTGCCGATCAGGTGACTGTGTATGAAGATGTTGTGTTACCGATTGTTAACGAAATGCTTGCTGGATACAATTGCACAATCTTCGCTTACGGACAGACGGGAACCGGAAAGACTTACACAATGTCAGGCGACATGACGGATACCCTGGGCATACTATCAGACAATGCTGGTATTATTCCGCGTGTGCTCTACTCACTCTTCCATAAGCTCCAAGAAACAGAGAGCACGGTGAAGTGTTCCTTCATCGAACTATACAATGAAGAGCTTCGCGATCTGCTAGCGTACGAGGATAACTCGAAACTCAAAATCTATGAGAACGAGTCGAAGAAGGGCCATGGAAGCACACTTGTTCAGGGTATGGAGGAAACATTTATCGACTCAGCGTCGGCTGGAATAAAGCTGCTCCAGGAGGGAAGTCACAAGCGGCAAGTAGCAGCAACAAAATGCAACGACCTGAGTTCCCGGAGTCACACTGTTTTCACTATCACCGTCCTTACGAAACGAATTACAGAGTCCGGCGACGAGCATATCAGCCACGGAAAGCTGAATTTGGTCGATTTGGCTGGTAGTGAGAATATCCAGCGCAGCGGTGCTGAAAACAAGCGTGCGACCGAAGCTGGTCTAATCAACAAGAGCTTGCTCACTTTGGGTCGTGTGATCAACGCCTTGGTCGACAAAAGCCCCCATATCCCATACCGAGAATCCAAGCTTACCCGCCTGCTACAAGACTCTCTCGGAGGACGAACAAAGACATGCATCATTGCTACGGTCTCACCATCACGCAGTAATCTGGAGGAAACTATTTCCACGCTGGATTATGCATTTAGAGCGAAGAATATTCGCAACAAGCCACAGATCAACTCAACGATGCCGAAGAAGACGCTCATTCGTGAATTCACAGCAGAGATTGAAAAGTTGAAGGGAGAGCTTATTGCTACGCGACACCGAAATGGCGTGTATATGAGCGTCGATTCCTGGGAAGAGATGCATATGGAGAGCGAATCACGAAGGATCGTCAATGAGGAACAGCGTGCAAAGATTGAGTCCATGGAATCGAGCTTGCGACACAAGGTTCAGGAACTCTTCACGCTCACAAGTAATTTCAACGATTTGAAGAAGGACAATGAAGAAACACGGGCTGCCCTTGCTAATACCAATGATGTACTCGAACAGACCGAGATCGTTTTGAAGGACACCAAAGCTCAGCTTGAGGAAGAGGAAATGCTGCGCAAAGCGCATGAAGAGACAGAAGTGAAACTTCGCGATATCGGCGCAGGTCTTCTATCTACTTTGGATACGACGGTGGAAGACATCAGTGGCCTGCACGCCAAGATACAACGCAAGACTGACCTGGATGCCACCAACAAGCGGTCCTGGCAGGTTTCTACCGCGGAAGTGTCGAATGTCACTACGGTGATTGATTCCAAGGTTGAGGCTTTCCAGGAGCAACATTCCGAGCTTGTTGAAGCTATGTCCGAAAAGATCAACGAGTTTGTCACGCGTGAACTCGGCAATATCGAATCGAACCAATCGCAATTGCTTCAATCGGCAGGCCTCTTCGAGAAGGCGGAACGTGAGGCGAATTCTCAGACCACGGGCGCCCATGATGAGATGAACGAAGTCCTCGAAGAGATTAAGGATCTACGCGAGGAAGTTAAGCGTAAGGTTGGCGAAGGATTGAATGGTCTGTCGGCTGCAGCTGCTCGCATTTCCAAAGAGGTTATCGGCGAGTTCTCCGAGTTCCACGCTCAACTGCATTCTTCTTACAGTGCTCTTGGCAAGGATTTGAAGACAGTGTTCGAGGATATGGTCACGCATCTCAATGGACAAAAAGCAGAGATCAACAAGTTGCGATTGGAGCTCCAGGAGGCCAACACCAAGGCGGTCGAGGCCAACCGCAGGGCATCTTCACACTTGGCACAGACCCTCGAGGAAGAGAGTGCTAATGCTGAAGCCGAGCGTGATCTTCTGATGTCGCAGATGAAGGCTTTGATTGAAGAGTCTCGCCAGAGGCAATTTGGCCGCTTGAAGGGTAGGGTGGAGACAATGCGCACGGATCTTACATCTTCTGGAGACTTCCTGGAGCACGCCACTGCGCAGTATGACCGCCATGTTGACGAGTGGGTGTTCAAGTCGGAGCAATTTGCCAAGGATGTCACTGCATCGAAAGACGACATCAGGTCAAGGATGCAAAGTGACTGGGAGGTAAGTTTTGCTCTCGGGATACTTGTGCCCACTTATACTAATATTGTAGGTCTTCGATCAACGGAATGCTTCTATCCAAAAGGTTACAGAGTCGGTCCACGAGGAGACGGTCCGTATTGTTGATGCTCAGGTGAACAACATGAGCAAACAAATGGAAGCACTGGACGATTTTGTCGCCAAGGCTCGCTCGCAGAATGGCCGTTACCGTGACGCCCGCCTTTCAAGCCTGCAGAACATGTCATCCAATGTCCACCAGTCATATGATTGTATGAACACGCAGTTCACGGAGTTTGGTGGCCGTCTAACTGAGCTACAAGAGGGCGCAATTCAGCAACAACTCAACCTGCAAGAGTCCACGATGCCACTGTCGGATGAAGTCCGCAAACCATTGACCGATCTTCGGGAGAACATCAGGAACCGAGCCTTCGAGGAATATGTCTCCACTGGCGTGACTCCCAGGAAGCGCGCCTACGACTATCCGTCTGACCTACCGCGGACTGAAGGCCATGATTGCTTGAAAACCCGGATGAGAACATCCAGACAGTTCACAGCACTGCCATTCAGCGGCGAAGATCAGCTTCCCACCCTCGACAGCTCTCCTGGAACTCCCCCATCCAAAGGGTTCGTTTTCAACGACACCTCGGACGAGGTAGGATCTTTACCACCCAAAACCGCGGTTACTCCTTCCAACACGGGCCTTAGGGAAGTCGATGCAAACGTCGTAAAACCGCGCGCATCTAGCGCTGGAGACCGCAAATCATCTACTGCCGGCACGGAAACCCCTCGGACTACTATGGACCTCACACCGGAAACCGAGGACACCGACCAACCGCCTGCAAAGAGACGCTGCTCCAATCTCGCAACTGATAGCAAGCTCTCGCAAAAGAAGTTGACGAGGAAGATGGCTGGGATGCTGGAGGGACCGGAAAACGTTCCTCCTTCCAGCGCTAGAAGGCTGAGAAACCAGCCCTTCAATTAGTGTCACGTGCTTGACCCTTCTTTTGTTTTGCATTGTGCATGAATATTAAAATGTCTCGCTTGGTGGTGGCAGGCGTTATGGGATACCCTAATACCCTGGGATTTGTCCATTTTGAAGAACGACAGGTTGTTTGATATCGTATTTTGACTGGATGTTTGGAAACGGACACTGACTGAGTGCTTGTTTTGAATGCGGAATGGATGATTCTTTGAAACTTTGCAATATGGTGTTTGGGAGTTTGTGTTACCATTGTTTCTGGTATAGATACCTCGTCTGCTACAACAGAGATTAGCCATTTGTGGCTATTTGAATGCGTCATGATTTCTGCTCAACACTAGACCATAGGATGTAGTATGTAGCATGGTGGGTGCCTATAAGTAGTGCATATAATGTTTGCCACACTGCATGGTTACATTAACCAGTCCGGACAACTACACTTGCCAGCTCAACTTTCTACAGACTGTCCCTCATTCTCCCCACCACCCTCAACATGAGGCTCGGCTTCGATCGGCTCCTCAGTGTTATCCGCAGGAGCACCCTCGACATCCCCTTCCTCAGGCAATGCCGTGTCACCCTCTACTCTTTCTTCCGCATCGTCCATCTGCTCCTCCGCACCAATAACCTGTCTCAGCTCCGATAACCGCTTCGCGAACTGATCCATCATATCCTCCAACCGCTGGCTACTCCTCTCTCTATCTTTATCCTTCCCCGGCATATTCATAGGCAGTCCTGCCGTACCCTTGATCTTGAGCATGAGACTTCCGTTCGGCGGCTGTCCCCCAGACGAGTTATTATTATTATTCTCAAAGGTAGGCGCCGAAACCAGTTGCGTATTCAGAACCTGCCATGCTGGTGATAAACTGTGTGCGGAGGTCACGGTGTATTTATGCGCCGATGATTGCTGTTGCTGTTGCTGTTGTTGTAGAAGAGGAGGTCCTGTTCCGTGGGCTTCGTGAGCGCTGGCCGCGCCGCCGTCGGTGTTTGGGACTGTCGTCTCGGGATGTGTACCATCTGGCGAGGCGTAGTCTATATCGAGAATCACGTAGTTATCGCGGACACCTGGGATAGGGTCCGGAAGGAGGGACTCCTTCCTGTGGTGGGCGTATTCATCGTCTTCGGGGTATGTGCCTTGTTCACCACCGTCTTGACGATTGTGGTCTTGTGTATGTTTGGATTTACCTTTTCCGTTGGCTGTGAAAAGATCGGGCTCAGATTCTAGGGCGCGTAGAGCTGCATCGGTCACGATGTCTGTGTCATCGTCGGAGAAGATGTAGTGCACTGTGGGGTGGTGGTATTCGGAGGAGTTGGCGTCTTCGATTAAGGTGAAGAAGGGTTGGAAGGTGGCGTGCGATGGTGTTGTTGTTGATGTTGTCTCGTGGGGTTTTTCGTGCTCGGTAGGGGCGTGCACTTGTGGGACTGGAGCTGGTGCAGGTGCAGCTTCGTGGGAGTCGTGCTCCTCCGGAATGTCGGTGACTTGTTGGGCGGTGCCGGGCCGGTCGATGATGCTCTGGGGGCGAGATCCTGAAGTTCGGCGGACTGATTGGCGGGAGGGTGAGGAGGATAAGGGAGATGGGGAGGTGTGTTTGGGAAGAGACATGTCTGGGGGGAGCTACATGGTTAGAATGGAGTGATAGAGAGGGAGGATGGGAAGTGAGAGCGTGGCAGGGCCGGTACCTGAGATAGTACTACTAACTTATCTGGGGAACTACTTTAGTCTTAGTCTTACTACTTACTAGGAAGTTGACTTGCCGCATTCGTCGCGGATCATCTGCTGCCTTATCGATAGCGTCAGGTGACCCGATCGGCGGTAAACAGAGTTGTTGTTTATTGTGCACGGATGTTGGAGTACCTGTGCTCAAGAATATATATATAGACAAATAGTAGTATACTAATAGCTCTATGCTAGAAGAGAAATACAGTCGCAGGGTATCATAATTTGCAAGGAGCCACCAACGCCTTCAACAGTCCACTGAGGTTGTCGAGTACTGAGGTTGCTATTCATCTTCCTCGTCGTTTTGCTTCCATTCGAATTCTGCAGCTAGATTAGCAGTCATAGTTAAATGCAGGGATATGAATGACATACTCTGTCTGCACATCGGACAGAGTCCCTTTGAGGACTCTTGTTGAATCCAGGTCATGAGGCAGTGCTGGGTTGGTTAGTGTTAGTGTTTCGTCTTTAGGATGAGAACATCGAGATCCACAATCGCACCATATGAAAAGAGTGACCACACTTTCCCAGCACTGTGAAAATTTCCTGGTTAATAACCATGCAGTTCGAAAAAGGGAGTATTGTTGACATACATAGCGAGCAATCATCACCTGGGAATTTACAGGTCGGACATGTGCCATCGAACTGAACCCGACAAATACCACACACTTCATCGTCGGGCATATCCCAGCGCCAAGTAGCAACGGCGTTCCACTCTTTAATAGTGACCTTCATGGCTGAGGATGGTTGATTGGATTGCAATGGGGGATCTCGTTTAGTGTCGGGAGGAAGGGGAGGTTAAGGGAAGGTGGTTGGAAGGGAAGTGGACCGGGCGATAAGCGGACAGGCTTTCCCGAAATTCACATGGCCACCTCCGCATTTGCGAGGAGAAAGACGGACTGATAGCGAAGCTCTCCCGTCATTGTCCATTGATCTTGCGCTTCCCACACTATTCCTCTTCCTTTCTTTCCCCCCTCATTCATCTTTCCGGACCTGCAGGTGGGTTAATCAGACACCACGGTATGAGCGGAATGTAAATAATCCTTGAACAATTTCTCTCATATTTACTGCATCTGCCCCCCCGCCTCGCAATATGGCGTTTATAACTCTTCGGAATTCCATCCCTTCACCGACTCGCCTATTTCGGTCCACCATGTCCACCGCAAACCAATGTCGCCAGTTCTCTTTCAACTCATATTTGATCACCCCCAAGGAGCTTGAAACCGCCCTCAAGAAGAACCCGCGCACGAAGATCTCCACCTCTCCTCGTGTGGTACCGCTATGCGCGGCCTGGTTCATGCCGAACGACCCCGAGGGTCGCAAAGGAATTGACATCTTCCGCAAGCATCGCATCCCCGAGGCTCGCTTCTTTGACCTAGACGGAGTCAAGGACCATGACTCGCCCTACCCGCACATGCTTCCTACCGCCGAAACGTTTGCCGAAGCGATGAGTGAGCTTGGCATTCGCCGCGACGACGAGGTGGTGGTCTACGACACTGAGGAGCTGGGCATCTTCAGCGCTCCCCGCGTCGGATGGACCCTTCGGGTCTTTGGACACCCTCGAGTTCATCTACTCAACAACTACAGGCTGTGGGTTCGCGAAGGATACCCGACGGAGACTGGTGAGCCCTCCCAGCCGGAGCGGACCAACTACCCCGTACCTACGTATGATTCGAAACTCGTGATCCCTTACCGGGAGCTTAAGGAGATCGCCAAGGAGCATAGAAAGGAGGGCGCAAAGGAAGTGGAGATCCTGGACGCACGCTCGTACGGCCGCTGGGCGGGAACCGATCCTGAGCCACGTCCAGGCCTGTCGTCGGGCCATATTCCTGGCTCTCAAAGCTTAGCTTTTCAACAGCTGCTGGACCCGGAGACCAAGACTTATCTCCCGGGGCCAGAGCTACGCAAGATCTTCGAAGGCAAGGATATTGACGAGTCCAAGTCCATCATCAGCTCTTGTGGCACCGGTGTGACAGCAACTATCATTGAGACGGCACTAGGCGAGGCGGAGTTCGGAGAGCCCAACCTACGGAGGGTATACGATGGCAGCTGGACGTAAGTTCTTTCCCGATCCCTGACTTTCTACAAAGGTTCGGTGGCTGACAATGGTGACAGTGAGTGGGCACAACGTGTCAAGCCGGAGGAGGGTCTCATCAAGAAGGCAACGTAGAGACGGGAGAAAGGACAGCTGACGTTGGTTTGAAGGCGAGGAGTTTGAATTGGCCTGATGATCGTCGGGTCTTGTATGACATAGCGTTTTCCCCTCCATCTCGATTCCAGCAACCGCAATTATACCATACCAGATAGAGATCGAACCATCTAGAAGTACGCGGGAAATCCCAAATAAGATAAGCGTGTAGCGATGAGTAAAGGTGATGATAACACTGGGGCAGCCATTTAGTCACTGGGGGATGGTAGGGGCGTGTTATGAGGGGAACCATAGTGGAGGAGAATATATGATGACAACAGGAAAATCGGTCGAATCCGTTTGGCGCTTAGTCAGGCCCCAGGCGAATCCCGCGGCTTTCAGTTGATCCGCTGATGGATTCATTCCTCGCTCACCATCTCGCCTCGATTCTTTTCCATCCACGATCGCTGATTTAAGACCCAAAATGCTGCAGATGATCTTCCCTAGTGAGCGAGGTTTTCATTGTGAGTGATTCATTCTTCTAATTTGGCATCTGGCTGGCGGTCGGGCTGTGAATGGCCATGGTTCTGGTCCTCGAACCAGCGCCCCCACATTCCCAGGCCTCCGCCTCCATTAATCCCAATCAATCCAAACCTCCCTCGCGGGCTTCAGCACCACGCTAACCACGCCTGCGGCTCGGTCGCAGTCGTCCAAGCAAGCTGTTCGGTCTAGGGCCCTTGTGGCTTTCCAGTCTTTTACCCTTCAACTACGCGACCGGTCCTGTCGACCTTTCTCAGCCAGCCATGTCGACCGGACGCAAGGTCTTCCATTGTGCCGTGGACGAGACGGCGTTAACCACCAATATCAGCGAAATCAAAAAATGGACCACGAACGGCGCCATCACTCTTATCGTTCCTCTCTACAGTGAGTGACTCGATGACACGCCAGTTGTATCTGCTGACCGATGCCTCTCTAGCCCTCGAACGCCTCCATGCCTTGAAGAGAGCCGGATCCCAAGTCGCCATCAATGCCCGAGAGGCCGTCCGTTTCCTCGACCGTGTTACCTCCGGCAAAGATAACATTTCCGCCGAACGAGTCATCCTGCAGGGTCCCATGGAGCAATATGAGAACTGGACCGAGGCGGAGAAGTTCTTCCTTCCAGAGTTCGAGGAGGAACCCGAAGCCAACGGAGTTCTTCCGGGCGACCAGGTGGCGCAGCGGAATCGCGAGGATAAGTCCAAAGATACGAAGAAGAACGGCGCCGCTCCCGACGATCTGTCCCAGATGCTTCTCAACAAGTTGAATTTCAAGAAAGAATCCGATGCGGTCTCGATCACGTCAAACGGCACTCACAGCGCCCCTGCATCCCGACCGTCCTCCAGGAGCTCCCGGACCAGTCCTGAGTGTGCGAATTCTCATGTTGTCAATGGCGTCGGCAAGGAAGTGAAGAAGAAGCCGGAGAGTGGACACCGTCGTTCTGCGTCGGGGTCCACTATTCCGACGGTTCCTTTGATGCTCAGACCGCTGCTCAGCGCCCTCTTGTGGCGGTTGCACAGCGGCCCTGATGCCGCTAACGCGGCAAAAACATGCATTCTCATTACGAACGATCGGCCTACCCAGGTTTGGGCGCAGAAATTCGGCATCGGAGTCAAGAACATCCATCAGCTGCGGACATCCATCCAGTACGAGGAGCGGGAATACAAGAACCGGTGCAAATACGTGGAGAAGACCCAGACGACAACCGCAGAGCCAAAGTCTCTTCTTTCCTACGAGGATGAGAGCGACGAGGACGAGCTTGTTTTCGTCCCCCGCGGTCGCGGCAAAGGATCTACTCGAGGAGGTGGCTCGCGCGGCGGCACTACTCGCAAGGCTGCTGCATTCAAGTCTGTCGCCCCTCCGGTGGAGGCTACGATGGAGATTCCCACGCAGCCAATCGACCCCAACTCGTTCAGCCGATCGCTGGGTGTGACGAAGCAGCAGCAGCAGCCGCCCACGGTTGATCTGAGCACCCAGTCCGGGGCCGCACGTGGCATGGCGGGGGCATCTCGGAACTATTCGAACAGCCGCCGTGGTGGTTCTCGGGGTCCTTCGCGTGGTAGCAGCCGCGGCCGTGGTAAGCTCTGGGTTCCTTGATCAATGGTCGGGTCCGTCAGTCTGTGCAGATGGGCGGATGAATATTTCTCAAACTTGAAATAGACCATTGTGGTTGTTACACGAAGCAGAAAGGATATGTTCTGCCATTCCCGGGCTGCCTAAGGTCAGACTTGTTGTCGGATGCGACTGTCTACATTGATGGGCGACAGGTCCTGGACAGACGGCATGGATGCGAAAATGCGGTAGACGAGAGGAATCGGATACGGGACAGTTTCGATCCAGTATGGCCATCGTCGGGGTGAACTCTCTGGGCGTCGCTTAGGCTGCGAGAGGCGTAGTAGATGCTGGGTCCTCATATGGCGTTGCTTTCAATCCTTCGGACTTCCGAGGGAAGAAATGGAGCACATCTTTTCTCCTAGCCACGTTGTGGTGGGCAATTCCCAGGCCGCTTTTCGACATTCTACTCTGCAGTTACAAAACAGATATAGCAGTCATTCTTTGCGTTACTCTTTGTTGGACATGTTTTCGATTGCTACGGAGAATAATTGGAGGGGGGAACAGATTGGCGATGTGACCGAGCTACTTGCGACTTGCTACTTAGCTAACTGTTAACTTATCCAGTATGACTAGAATGCAGCAGTGACCGATTCTGAATCCTGAATGTTGATGTTGTAGTGAGAATGAGAATGGTAGGTAGTAATGAAGTCAGGTGTGATGACATCGTCCAGTGGGCCTCCTCGGCGCCAGTCCCGTGGATTCGTCCTCCGCACGCATCACTTGACCTCCCCTCTTAATCCCCTGGACAACCAGCCTTCTTTCTATTCTTTATTCCAGTCACACCACTCTTCGAATCACTGTATATACCCAGCCATCTTCCATACCTCCCCAGCGTTCACAACCACCCTAGCATACTACTACTCATCCCACCCATCTAAGCTCCAACAAATCTACCCCGCAATGGACCTCAACACTACTACACCTACTACTGCTGCTAGCATCGACGAGACCTCTCTCTCCGCATCTCCCGAACGTCGCAGTTCCCTGGAGAAGCATCTCCAGCGTCGTCCCGACGTGCAGGATCTCAAAGATAGACATATCCTGCTCGATACGAATGTTGCTCCGTACGCTGCCCTGCCCCCTTCCTTCCCATACTTCCATCCATCTATACAATAAGATACCTAACAAAGAGGATAGCTCCCTCCAAGCAACCCGCCAAGAACTTGCCCGCCAACGCACCACAGACGCTTTGAAGAAACATCTTGAACATCGGCCGGAGAGGGAGGAGTTGGTTGAGCGTATTTCCATCACTATATACTATATACTATATATACACCTTTCAGGATATGGGTATGGATATGGCTAACTGATGACGGATGGATGGTAATGATAGGAAACATCCTCCCCACCACCCACGCCGCCCCCGCACTGCAGGCCAATGCCCGTGAGCTCGAGAAACATATGTTGGCTGATCATCTCGACCATAAGATTCAGAATCGGCCGAATCCTGAGGATTTGATTTCGCAGGGCATTTTGACGGAGGATGAGGATCCGAGGTTTCCGGCTGTTTAGACTGCGGTGGTGGTTTGATTGATTGATTGATGATGATGATGATGATGATGGGTAATGGGTGGATGGATATGGTGTTTAGTGTTTTATTTAATTGATTTGGTTTGATTTGAGTGCTTCTGATTTATGATGGTTGTTTCTGAAGATATTGAGTATTTAGTATACTCGTACATGATTGATGAGGTAATGGTCATGCAATGTTTATTTTCATGGTAAGTTAGTTGTTTGATATGCATGTACATCGTACAACATCCATCAACCCGATATTCCTTCTCATCAAGGATGAGTACGAATAAGACTCTCGTAACACACAAGAAAAGATCATCAATACTCATCCTCTCCACCTCCACCACCAACCACCAAATCCGGCCTCCACCCCTTCGGTCTCTCCCTCCCCCTAACCAAAATCCCATACGCCGCGCGTTCCACCTTCTCCACACTCCCCTGCATAACATCCACCTTCTTCCCCATATCCCTCAACATAACACCACGATGTCTGCCCGGAACACTCAACCCCTCAAACCCGCACCTCATCTCCCTCAAATCGACCACAATGCCCTTTTGCTCCTCACCTAGCCCCACACTATCACCTTCAGACGTACTTCCCGCGGACAAACCCGTCACCGCAAACCGCATCATCTCGCCCGTTAAATCAAACAATCCGAGCAGATAATCCTCCTCCGTGACGAGGATCCCCGCAGGAAGATGCTTCCGCACTTCTTCGAGAGTGATTAGGGATTGTGTGGTGAGGTAGTGGTTGAAGGATATGGCTTCGATGAATTCTTGGATCGCCGGGCTGAGTTGGCGCATGTATCGGTGGGTGTTGGGCGCGGGGGTTAGGTCGGGGAGGAGGGAGGTGAAGTGCGTGGTTATTTGTGCGAAGCGCGTGGTGGTTTCTTTGGTTAGGTTGGGGGGGAGGGCGGTGTTGAGGGTTCGGATACTATCATGTTGTTTGTGTTAGTGGTGGTGTTGGTGGGGAGGAGCTGGGGGATTGGGACATACCGCTGCAACGCGAAGATTATCTTCTTGCTGAGGGCGGTGATGTCCCGACTGGCTTTTATTATGCGTTCGCGACGGTCGTGGTGCTCGTCGAGCTCGTCGCGGAAGGTGGTGAATATCGAGATGAATGGGTTGGGTTGTTGCTGCTGCTGTTCGGGTTGCTGGGGTTGGTCTGTGGTAGAGTCCGCCATGGTGGGTGGTTGTGGCTGGGTGCTTGTTAATAGGGTGGTGGTGTTGGGTGATGGTTGTCCGTCCCAGGTGCGTTTTGTTCCGGCCATGGGATGAGGTCAATGTGTGGTGGCAGTGGGGGTGTGTTGGTGGGAGGGTAGAGGGGAGAATTGATGCAACGGAATCAAACTGGGAGAGAAGATGTCATTATTGGCGCGGGGCTTTACTGTTTTGGGGTGATCGAGGTGTTATCTTATCTGATCGGATCAGAGATGAAATGGGGTAGGAGATTCAATATGGTATCATTCTCTCTAGAAATGAATTCATAGTAGAGTTCAATTCAATATTTACTGTAATCATATTGGATAGCTTTTATGGTAGCACTCAAAGAAGCACATCTGGAGTCCATCACGCCCTCTCAACATGCTCCACCCCCAACTTTGCATCCTCCCTCTCCACCCGAACGGCCTCACTCGACGGATAAGCCACCCGATACACCGTATACCAAGGCCGCTGAAACAGACTATCCAGCGCCTCCAGCGACCGCCCAGTTGTATCCTATACACAGTTAGCTCCAATCCAACCCACTTCAGCAAACAGGGTATACTCACCGGCATAGCAAAAAACACATACACCAGCCCAATCACACAAATACAACCAAAGAACAGAAACGCACCCCAGCGATGCGTAGCAGCCAGCAAACAAGGCATAGCCCTCGAACACCCAAAATAGAACGCCCAGTGGAAAGCCATCGAAATAGACACATTCAATGACCGGATCCTAATCGGAAAAATCTCCGATCCGATAAGATACGGAATCCCGAACCACCCAATACTCCACGCCACGGCGTGGATGTAAACAGCCACTATTGCTGCAGTTGAGGCACGCGAGGCACTGGGAGTATTGCTGATTTGGGTTGCGGTCATGTCCTTCGTGGCGCCGAGGTAAGCTCCTATGTACACTAGTGTGACTATTTGTAGGGAGATGCCTGTAATCAGGGATCGACGACGGCCGATGAAGTCAACGATGAACAGCGCAAATGCGAGGGTACTGGCGAATTTGACCACGCCGTAGATTCCTGTCGCTAGGAAGGTGGACTCGTCCCCGGATATGCCCAGGTAGCCGAAGATCGTGGGCGAGTATTGCGTGATGGCGTTGGCTCCGGACCATTGGGACAGGAGGTTTGCCATGAAGATGAGGAAGAAGCGACGTCGGTTTTCGATTGGGATGAGTGTCTCTTTTAGGAGCTCCCATATTGTGGCTTCGCCGACTGATTCGGTTTCTAGGAGGAGTTGGGCGTCCATGCCTGCTAGCTCGGCTACTATTATGGGGTGGTCGAGAGGTAGGTGGCGGAGTTTGACGAGGTTGGTAGCAGCTTCGTGTCGTTTGCCTTTATAGAGTAGCCATCGAGGTGATTCGCAGCAGAGGAAGGATCCAAGCAGCCATATGGTGGCGGGGAGGAGTTGTAAAAGTGTAGGGAGTATCCATTGCTTGTCACCGCCAGGGTAGCTTTTTGTCACGCCGTAGTCGATGAAGAAACCGAATACAACGCCTAGTTGCTGGCAAGCAGCGTGCTGCAGTGTTAGAAGACCTCGGATAGTCTTGGGTGCGATCTAAATCTGTTAGCGAAATGGACATGTTTTCCATGATCTAGAGGTCATACCTCCGAAATATATATAGGCGGCACAATCGTAAGCACGCCCAATCCCAATCCCGCGATAAACCTGGAAGCATACAGCCCTGACAGGTTCCCGTTGCATAGCCCTTGACCGAGGATTCCTGCAATATATATGAGGGTTGAGAGACGAAAAGTCCATCGTCGCCCAAATCGATCGTTGAGTCGAGGGCACTGCACCTACATTAGCATTGCCCAGACCACGAACACAGTTCGAAACCAACATACCCCAAGACAACCAAAAACAGCACCAGCAGTAGTAATAGAGACAATCCATCCTTTCGTATTCGCATAATCATCTTCTGACAAATGATCAATCCCAAACTTTGCCTTAAAATGCGGCTGCGTAACAAGCGATGCAATATTTCCTACCAACAACAGACGATCAATTAGCCCTCTACCCTTTCACGCAGTAAACTCCAGTAAATACCTTCATCAAACCCCTTAGCCACACCAGCAAACGCAAACACACACGTACACATCAACACATAAGCATTGAACATGCCCTTCGGAGCATCCTGAATAGCCTTTCTCGTCTCAGTAATAAGACCCATCTTGACTCGAACCTGAACCTTGAACACTCAACCGCAGTTGACAGATTCCCCAGACCCCAGAAAGCACGGGGTAACCCCGGATTCTTGCGAATTATAAATAAACCCTACTATCTCATCCCCATATTACTAGTGGTATTAGCCCACACCCAATCTAGTACTAACGCCGGGAAATGTCCGACGCGGATCGGACCCAGTCCTGTTGCAAGAAATGGCACTACTACGAGTACTAGTACTAATATATAAGCGAGACATTGCGGGGACCAACACCAACCAGCCACAGCAAACCCTCCTTTACTGATTTCGTTACAATCCAATTAAATCCGACTACTCTCAAAATGAACTTCTACCCAACCCCCCCAACCATCCAAGCCGAAATCTACACCCGCATCCCCTCCCACCTGCGCTGCACAGGCCAACCAACAGAGTGGCGCAGCGGCTCGGCACGCCCAGCATCAGATATCTTTCTCGAGGGGCCAGTCTGTACCGCCAACGGCGATCTCTACATCGTAGATGTTCCCTACGGGAGGGTCCTGAAGATAAACAGGGACAAGAATGTGACGGAATGTATCCGCTACGATGGGGAATCCAATGGGCTTGTTGTTCGAGATGATGGATGTTTAGTGATTGCCGATTATAAGCAGGTGAATACACCCCATCCCACACTCATTCGAAAGAATCGAAATGCTGATAAGTTATGGAATCAGGGAATACTTCTTTTCAACCCCACAATACAAAGACTAACACCCCTCCTGACCCGCCGGAACCTAGAACGCTTCAAAGGTCCCAACGACCTAATCTTCTCCAGCAAGAACGAGATTTACTTCACGGACCAGGGCCAAACGGGGATGACGGACCCGTCTGGGTGCGTGTACCGGCTTTCTCCCGACGGGAAGCTAGATTGTTTGGTGTCGAACGGGATTTCTCCGAACGGGCTGGTGTTATCCCCCGATGAGCGGTTCTTGTATGTTGCTATGACGAGGCAGAATTCTGTGTGGAGGTTGCCGTTGAATGCGGATGGGAGTACGTCGAAGGTAGGGTTATTTTTCCAGTCGTTTGGGTGTGCGGGGCCTGATGGGTTGGCGGTGGATGAGGAGGGGAGTTTGTTTGTATGTCATCCGAGTCTTGGGTGTGTGTTTGTGGTGGATAGGGAGGGGGTGCCGAAGGCGAGGATTGTTACTGCGAAGGATGGAGGGAAGAATTTGACGAATTGTACGTTTGGGGGTGAGGATGGGAGGACGTTGTTTATTACGGATAGTTTGGAGGGCAATGTGCAGGTTGTGAGGTGGCATTGTAGGGGGGTGATTGGGGGGAGGGTTTTGAAGGCTAAAATATGATTTATGTATAGTAGTTGTCATGCAGAGAAATGTAAGTATGTGTCTTCTAGATTGAAATATCACAGACTAGCTAGGTATTGGTGCAAATTGTCAATCGCCGCAGTAGCACTCGCTAATTGTGCCCTCGATGTGGCGACTCCAATGTGCGGTGTACTAATCACATTCAGGTTCTCCCAGAGCTGGCCATATTTTTCAAAGCTGGGCGGCTCCTGTTCGTGGCAGTCTAGCCCGGCACCCCAAAGACGGCCTTCAGACAATGCCCGTGTGAGGTCCTGTTCATTGACAATACCTCCCCGAGCCGCATTGATAAGGATGGCATCAGGCTTCATCATGCAGATCTTGTCGTAGGAAATCATGTCTCGTTTCTCCTTGGTGAGAGGGACATGGACCGAGAGGATATCTGCCCGAGTAATAACTTCATCGATGTTGCTGGCTCTAGTGTGCGGGATATGCGTCCATATGTCCTCCGGCATATAAGCATCGTATGCGATGATGTCGGTCTGAAAGCCACCCCGAAATATCTCGGCAACAGTCCGTCCGATATTTCCCATGCCGATAATCCCGACAGTCTTTTGGTACAACGTCAGCCCGTTACATGTCTCCTTGGGGACTGGCTTTGACATTTGGCGAGTTGTAATGGACCGGATACCACGAGCAACCGACAGAGAAAGGGCAACGACCAGTTCGGCCACATCGCGTGCGTTCGCCCCAGGCGTGTTGAGGATCTTGATGCCTCTTTCTGCGCAGGCATTTTGGTCGATCTTGTCAATTCCTACTCCGTGCTTGCCAATCGCAATGAGATTCGGGCAACTAGCGACATCCTCGGCAGTAAAATAGGAACTTCGAATTAACAAAGCGCGCGCATTCTCTCTCCAATTTTGGAACCCTTCATCTTGAGGCTGGATAATATTGAATAGTGTTTTGGCATGTTCGATTGCCTTGGGAGGGAACGTGTCAAGAAGGTACACCGTTGGCTTATCCGCAACGGTTTGGCGGGAAGACACCAAATCATCGTCCCTGCTGGGCGCCATCTTGGATTGAGACAGAGTAATGATTTGCTGTGAGTTTCTCAAGCCAATCTTGAAATTTTCCTGCCTGCATTGTTGGACATTTACTGCCATGATATATATTCGAGTGGTACGGATTCCGTCCGGCGGGCATTTTCCGAAGGCACTCTGTCCGGCCCGCAAGTCAACGAACTGGGCGACTACTCCGAAACGTACCTTCGATCATCACTCGAAGGGCGTGAGGGACTATTTCCGGTAACTCAATCACCTGCGCCTTTCATGTCAGCTCTGCAGGGCGTCGGATGTAAGTACTTATTGGTCATAAACCATTACTTACCATGTCTGCTGACTCCTGCAAGCACCAGAGCAGTCTGCAAAGTGCTTTAAGTGCCGAGAATCTCTCTCCGAGAAGGGTCAAGAGAGAAGTACATTTGTTGAGAACACTGGCTGCATTCGGGACATCGGAAGATGGCGACATCCTTCCCAGGAAGGTAAGAACCACTCCCGCAGAAAAGATATCGAAAGTATCAACGAATGATCCCGTGAAGCAGTCATCCTCCACCGCCAAATACTCGTTACTGATATATTCACTACATGTGTTTATTATATCTTGCCGGATAGTATGTGTGGTCCCAAAAACCCTGGTTGCGTTTCGCTCAAATCCACTGATTTGCGCCAGGCAGACCATGGACCTACAGGTGAGCTGTCGTATTGTTCTGGAGGAAGTCGGTGGTATATTAGAACCTATCGTTCCTCTAGGTATGTCTCTCCAGTAGGAAAAACTTCCGTAGTGGAAAATTGATTGCTGATGTGAAGAGCCTCGCATATTAGATAGTAGTCGAGCGTGCATCACAACGTACGCCGGAAAGTCGAGCGCGTCTGGTAGACTGATGTCTCCATGAGATGGAAGCTTTGATGATGTTAGCACACGCATCGAACTATTTTCTGAGACGAACCTGAAGCGTAACATCTTCATCTTTAATGCCGAATGGCCGGTCCATTGCGCAGCTAATAGTTCTGCAGGACATTAGGCAATTCCTGTCAATGTCTAAAGGAACACACACCTATCAAGTATGTACAAGTTCCAAATTATGTCTCTTCTCCGATTGAGCTTCTGCTCCGGTATTCCAATGTCGGAAAGCGGCTCTTTATGGAACCTATACGATATGGCCTTCTTCATGGCCAGGCCAATAAGATGCCACGTGGATCCCCCCATCGAGGAGAACATCGAGTAAATGACCAACAATTGCATAGAATGCAACATGTTAAAGTCATCTTTACTGCCTAGGATAGTAGGGAAGCTCTGCATGGCCGTGTTGTGTAAACTGCTGGCGAACAGTTCGATGCCAGATTCGGGAGAAAGCAGCATCCCAATAGCTGTTGCCATATACACGTTGAAATCCCTGAAGGCGGTATATGAAATTGCATGAGACACATGGCTACCATCGAAGAAAGGTCACGATATTCTAGCATCTCACCCTCGTTAATATATGGGCAGAGGGCTTTTGTATGCACAAAGAAACGGCCCATACAATCAGCCACAACTTCTCTGGTAAGTGTAGGGGTCTGTCCCAACATGTTCCTGTACTTTGACTTTTGAGACAAAGAGCATGAAGACTGTGTTGGGTCTTTCCCTGAAATAGCAAGGGAGGCTTTTATCATGTTTCCTATCGCTAGTTCCTGGGGAAACCCACTTGCCTCACCACGGGGCTCTGCCATAGCATTGCGGGACAGAAATTTAATCTCTCCCATGGCCGCCTGCACCGATCTTTCAGTGAGACTGGTTTGCTCCGTCAACGGAGTGTCGTGGGAAGTTTGTGGACTATCATGTGCAGCATCTGTCGGGATATTGGATGGCAGCGATGGTCTCCCATCGCTCGCGTTGGTTGATAAACGAGGTCGTCGGCGCCGAGACTGATCGTCCAGATCTTCCGCCTTTCTTTTAAGCGTCTCAATGTAGCTGATTCATGTCAACATCAGCTCTGAAACAGACCTGACGATAGCGAAGTCAGTGTATCCTTACTCAGGAAGCGCAGCATTGGAAAGTCCACTTGCATCCTCTGCGGTGCCCCCTAACTGGACGCTTCGTGGACAACATTTGGCTTTTGCTTCAATGCAGGCTGTACATCCCGGCAGCAACCTGTCGCACTGATTGCACCACGTTAGTGAGGAAGATTATCTTCGTAGTGGACAGAATCCCCTTTTGCTTCCGTTTCCAGCATCTCTCACAGGCTTGGAGTCTCCGTTGTGCTGTGGGACTCTGAGGCGTAGGACTTGTCCGACGGCTTTCTTCCATGGTTCAATGCCCAGACATGGAACCTCGGAGTACGTGAGATGCCATCACGCTACAAGTGCGAGAAACGTGCGTAGCCCTCGTGGGGTGTGCTTGTCTTGGCTGCGGGGAAGCTGTGCGGCGGAGAATTTTCGAATCCCCACTGCGGGTGGATGGGTTCTGCGGACATTGTCCGATGCGGAAGATGTATCCCTAATGGCAAAGGGAAAGACGTGACCTTGGTACTTGCAGGATTAGCTTCAATGCAAGTTGATAATGTACATGTAGCATGATCTTGCGAAGCAGTGATTCGCACACCGCCTGTAGACCTGTGTTCGCTGAGTTACGGGGAAGGTGCGAGGCAAGGCAGGGCTAAGACATTGGCCCTACCACAGGTAGCCGAGGCTATTCACTTGTCCATATTATTTCCCCACAATTTCGTTCATGAAGCTCTTGGGAGAGGGCATGAAGTAGCAAGACATAGCAAGACTGCAAATCCACTGGCCTGCTCTTGGTGATGAAGGTTGTGTGCTTCAGCAATTACCGGCATTATGGCCAATGGACAGGAGAACAGGCAACTACCACGGTTGCCAGCCTGCCAGTCATGCTACACGAAGAAAGCCAAGGTAATGGTTGAGACACATCCCAATGGTTGAGACACAAACCATGCCGATTCAGGCTATTTATTTGACCATTGGAGGTCAATAGTGTGACAACGCTCGTCCAAAATGCTCGCCATGTATGAGGAGTGGACAAGTTTGTTTGACGGTTAGCCTGAATGGTAGTGAGCCGGTCTCGCGGGAGTAAGTGTCCTCTTTTTAATTCAAAAATAATAATTAATTGGTCGAAGATATATAGATGAGCTAGAACAGAAGGTTCTAAGCCTTCAAACAGGGGTCATTGACATAGAACCCATGATGAATGATACAGAGGAACATTCATCGGCAGACGACAATAGTCCGGGGCCCGCTCCCCATGGCAGCTTAGGTCACCTTGAAACCGCGGATGGATGTACTAATAATATGAGCCTTTCCCCGAACTATACCGAGGGTGCTGGGATTAGGTATTGGTGGATATTCCTTCGGAATCGTGGTCCCTAGGCTGACAGTGACCAACAGCTTTATGAGTCTTCTATTCAACGATCCCCGCTGGAGGGAGCAGAACCAGAAGCTTCTTCAAAATCTATCCAAGAGGGCCACCATTCTAGAGACCTGTGTCCAGCAGAATCCACTGCCATCAGCTGAAGAGGCCTTGGTTGTATTCAACAGTTAGTATGTGTCCCCCTTAATTGCAGACATTATATCCACGCTGACAAATCGCAGCTTGGGAGCATCTCATGTCCAGAACCCCTTCTTGCTGCGTCGATATGTGCAAGATCTATACCAAGCACTCTTCCCCGAAAGTCTGGAAGACCAAAATCCACGTGCCAGTGGCGGTCAAACAACGGAGCACCAACTATTTCGGACATTCATGATACTTGCCATCGGCGCCATCCCACTCTACCGAGCCGGCAAGCACCAGTACCACCCTTACGGCTATTTTCTTTCCGCGTTAAAACACCTCGAAGAAGGCTTTCTCCAGAGAGGCTTGGAGTCCATTCAGGATCTGTTGCTCGTAAGCAGATTTGGCATATATTATCACATTGGTGCGGTGTCCTCGCAATAACAATGTCGTATCCACTACTGACTGCATCTGTAGGTACTTCTATATGGGAACTGATCCAACTTAGTACCAGAATGTGTATTGAGCAGGGTCTACATAAGTGTCGACCTCGAAAAAGCCCAGATGACCATATGCTAGAGGAGCAAATGCGGAGACGGGTATTCTGGCAATGTTATACGCTGGATCGATACACCTCTGTGATGTTGGACCGCCCACCCGCGATAGCCGACAAAGACATCCTGGTCGGGTTTCCGGCCGATGCAGATGACGAGGAGCTCGAGTTGGCCGGGCAGTCTGGTGTATTTGCGGATCTAGATTCCTTCTATCGCATGAGCACAGCACATCTGGATTCTATGCATACAACTGAGACTTCGGTGTTTCTCCTCTGCTTGCGACTACGCAAGATTACCTCAAAGATCCATACAAGATTTCAGCAAAAGGCCAAGGGGAGAGGTGAGCAGGAGATGTCACAAATTGAATTGGCCACAGCCAGCGGAACCATATATTTAGATCTTGACGAGCTACTGAATGAGCTAGAGAGTTGGAGGAACTCTGCGCCTGTCTTCTCCAACCCAAAATGCTTGTATGAGAGGCAGGAGTGGTACGATCTGCTCCTGATGCGAGAGCGATTACTTATTATCCGCAAAGCAATTGATCTCGTGCCTAAACGAAACAATGTGCCTCCCCAAGACCTCCTCAGCATCTGCCTTGAATTTTCCGTGGGGACTATTACTACTTTCTGTGCAATGTTTGACTAGGGGCTTGTGACATACACACGCAGTTACTTCCAGACTCTGTTCACTGCGGGATTATCTGTCATGTTTTGTGTTTCAGTTGTAGAGGACCTTGATTATCAGACCATAAAGAGTGCTTCTGAAGCAGTCAAGAAGGGCGAGAAAACATTGAAGCTGATGGTCCAGGAGCTTCCTGATGCGGTTCACTATGTTGCTCTATATGAAGCATTGCGGGCCGACACCTTGCGCAAAACAAAGAACCAACGACCAGACGCAGTGGATGGCGAGCAACATATCCCATTTGATACCGCTCACCAAAGTGGAAGCATACAATTCCTACTTGATGGTAGTGTGAATACTGAAAATGAACCTCTTGCTCCCGCCATCCAGCACAACCCGTCATGGCCCATTCTGACGCCCGATGCGAGTACGAATGAGGCCCATTTGATACAGTTGCAAGAAGCAGCCATTGAGAACCAACAATTATCATGGGACATATTTGGGGACAACGTCTTCTGGAGTATGAAGGCCGGGATGTTAGGGGAGTACGTGTACGGGTCGTCAGCTGCGGGTCACTTCCTCGACATATAAAAAACAATAAATAACCACAATCAAAAATACAAACAAGCCATCTATCTACACCCTCTCCAACCTCACATTGATATCCTCATACTTCTGACTCAACTGCCTCATCCCCGCCTGCACCATCGCCCCATCCTGCCCACCCAACGACCACGTCGCGTCCAACTTAAACCACATTTCCAAAAGATCCAGTCTCCCCGGAATCCTGCCAATACCCACAGGCTTTCCAGCATCCACACACGCCTTAATAACCCTCTTCACCGCATCCTGATACTCAGCAGTATCATAACCCCCCGGAATCCCCATATCCGAACAAAGATCATTCGAACCCACCAATATCCCATCCACCCCCTCAACAGCCACAATCTCCTCCACAATATCCACCGCTCCAGGCGTCTCAATCATCGGAATCAGCATCGTCTGCTCATTCAACACCGCATTCTGCACCTTTGTAGACACATGCCGGAACCCAAACGCCGGCTGGTTATTTGTGCAGCCGCGCTTTCCCAGGGGAGCGTACTTTCCATGCTGGACTAATTCCTTTACCTCTTCGACGGACTCCACGTGGGGAATTACCACGGCGGAGGCGCCTGCGTCGAGGATGCGACTGATATGGAAGTGCGATTTGGAGGGTGAGCGCACGACGGGCGAGATGCCTGCGCAGTGGCAGGCGAGGATTAGTTGGGATACGGTGCGCATGTCATGCGCGGAGTGCTCCATGTCGATGAAGATGGCGTGGATAGAGGTCGTTTTGCAGAGAAGAGGGAGTTCATTGGTTGTTAGGTATTTGGCTGTTAGGAGTGGGGTTATTTGGCCGGAGAGGATGCGCGTCCTGAAGGGGTTCGAGATGCTGGTGGTTTGGGGGTCGGATTGGGTCATTTTGGTGGTAGTTTGGGATTTGGATGTAGATGGTGATTGACTTAAGATGTGACTGGGAAAATTGTTCTTTGATTGATGAGAATGATCTTGCTGAACTGAGCTTATACTGTTACTTATATATTGATGTTCGTCGCTAAGATCGAGGGCATCTTTCGTTGTCTAATGTAGCAATCCGGAGAATATCCGGCTGCTGGACGATGAGTCTATAGCTTCATCCGGAACTTCTCCTACGGAGCGGAAAATGTCCATTCCCACACGTATGAATAGCCTCATAGCTATAGGTACTTACTCTAGTGCTAAGAAAGGATCAAAATGAGTCATAATAGCAATATACTGAACAGTTAATGTAAAGAAACAGAGTGAGTCATAAGTCAATATACCAAATCATAAAAGTCACACACTCCCTCATCACTGCTATATCCCACACTACCAACCACCCACCCAGACAGCCCTACAACTGCCCATCCCATCCCTCTCACCAACATGCCACTAGCATACCTCCGCCCTACCTAAGTAACAAACCTCCACCCAGACCCATTCCCCTCCACCTCCTCCCTCTCCAGCTCCCTATTCCTCCTGACACACCACCACCTCGTCCCCAAGCAAAGCAATACCGTAAGTCCACACCCCGCAATAATAATCCCCCCTCCAGTCTCATACCTCGGCTCCTGCGACGTGAGGAAGAAATATGGCGTGAACCAGTGAGAGACTGACGACACGCAGTTCGCGATGGCGACGAGCGCGGCTCGTTTTGTGCGCGGGCGCGGGACAACGCTGGTTTCCCAGGATATTTGGATCTGAGTTATTGCTTAGTATGGGTGGTGGGAGGTTTACTTTGAGTGGGTAGAAGATGGTGGGTTAGCTTACGTTTAGGCCGACGAATGGTCCAGTGCAGAGTAAGACGAAGCTAAAGTATCGTGCTCCGATGTTCAAGGTTGAGATCATGATCACTGTTCCGGCAAGGGTGATGAGCATGGGTATCACGATGTGCCAACAGTGCTTGAGAAATCGGCCACAGGACCATGAGAGGATTAGAGTGGCGATGTAGGCTATTACCCATGGCGGGGCTTGGACGAGGTAGGTTTCGACTTCGGAGAAGTTGAGGGTTGCGACGATCTGTAGTCACTATTATTAGCGTTTTGTAGAACATAGCAGTAGAAAGGGGTACACACCGAAGGAAAGAAATCCTTGAACGACTGAGCAATGATAAGCGCAAAATGCATTGCCGAGAACAGCCACGTAAATGGATCCTTAACGGCAAGCCAGACGCCCGTCCAGCGACCACCATCATCATCTTCGTGAATCCCTCCCGTAGATACGAATTGTGTATACTTTGCCATTTCAGCCTCCTCTTCACTGAATCACCGTCGACTAGTATTGTCGGGGAAATTCGGGAGGAACCAGAAGGCGATCAAGGCGACAAGAATACTGACGATCCCTTCTAATAGGATAAACCACTGCCATGCGCGGAGGTGCGCGATGCCGTCCATATTCGTGAGAATGGCTGCAGCAAGAAGTCCAGAAAATACATTGGAGATGATGTTCCCCGCATGCCAGATACCCATCCGTAGTGGGGATTCTTTCTTTGTGTACCAGGATGAAGTCATGAGGGAGACGGCGGGGATGAAGGGGCCTTCTGTGACCCCGACGAGGAACCGGCAGAGACAGAAGCCCCAGGCGGATGTGAGGGCTGGCATGCAGATTGTTACGGCGGACCAGGAGAGCATGATGCAGGGAAAGATTATGCTTGGTTTGCCTTTGGCGATGGAGACGCTTGCTGGGATTTGGGAGATGATGTAGCCCACGTAGAAGAGGGAGATTCCGGCGGACCATTCTGTGTCGGACATGTGGAGGTCGTCTTGCATGCCGGCTAGGCGGGCGTTGGATACGTTGATTCTGTCGAGGTAGCTACGGGGATGTTAGTGCTTAGATTGGCAGTAGCAGTTATAGCAAGCTCACCTCATAAGGAGCATCATTGTCACACATGGCAGAAAGTAGTGGTCCAGCTTCTTTAGAACAGCTTTGTCCAGATGTTCGAGTTCAGTGGGAGACTTCTCCCGCAGAAGAGGAAACTGAGCCAGCGAGTGTTCTGGATGAGAGACATCCTCAAGGTTCTCCACGATAATCTTGGAGTCTCTGTCGTCCAGAGGATATTCGTCGTGTTTCGGTGCCATGGCTCATCGGAGGGGTGTAGTGGAATGGACGAATGCTGTCTGTTACTGTCCATGCTATCTGCGCTTTTATGGGGCTACATGGCCCACCTATCTTCCCCGGATTTACATTCTGGGGTACTTGATCCCCCATGGGGACTCCGCACGCAACGGACATCTCCGACTTGGCAGGTATTATCGGACAGTATCCGTACGCAGCATTGATTGCGGCATGGTGTGCATGATAGGCTCTCATCGCTTCTGAAGCGGAGGGTCTAAGCGGTGGAAAGTAATTGATGGATTAAGTTTATATCAGGAACTTTGAGGGGTCAAACACTATACTCCAACAACCTGACCCATCGCCTATGACGCCAGGCTAACAATCTGCTATTTCTCCGCCGGCATCCAATGCACCGAAATTGGCTCATGCTTGCTCCGGATTCTTTCTCCCCTAGACCACAACTGGAACGTGAGGTCTGCGGGTCCAACAACCACCCTCACCTCAAAGGATGTTCGCCAGAATGCAGGCTTAGAGCTGTACCAATGGCGATTCTTCAACTTTTTATCCACGTTGTCGGTTGCGATGTCGAGGTTGCACACTGTTTGCCACCCTTCATGGCATAGGCTGCGTGGGAGCCTCGCCGGTAACTCGGTCGACATGACAATCTCAACGTTATGGATTCCGGCTTCCAAACCGACGTCGGTTCTCAGATGGAACTCTTTTGTTACCCCGGTAGGTGGAATTGGACGCCCCTAATTGCGGTTATGGTGTAAGCTTCGCAAAGTGAGAGGCGAGGGCATCCGAACCTTGACAACGAGCCAGTCAATCTGATCAAGGGCATACAGACGTTTATCGCGAACGTCCATCTGGACTCGCTCTCCAACGTGAATGTCGCGGTTGTAAACTTTGTGACATATAATGCCGTAGCTCACTGGTGCGCATCGGAAGCCAAATGTTAGGATGCCGCGCTTCAGCTGTTGAATGCGGTCCATTACTAAGCCGTGGACAACAACTAGTTGCCTGGAAATTGTAGTTCGTAAGTATTATCACGAGGTATTAGCGAAGATAAGGAGTCAACGTACGGTTCATCAGCCATGAGCACTTGCATCCCTCCAGTTTGAGTAGCCTTGCTACAGCTATTGTATCTCTCCTGGAGGCGTTGTCTCACATACGGGGAGCTACCCAGCCCGCCGGATAGCACCAGGTATTTCTGTAAACGAGTTAGCTGGGATGCGTCAAATGTGTACTACATTGCCAAGCGTACAATGTCGTCGTTAGAGCCTTGGGCTTGCAGTTGCTGGATATGTGCGTCTATAAGCTGGAATATGCCTTCTACCTTCGAGTCGAAGCTTTTCTGAATGTCTTCCCTATCCGGTGTCAGTGTCCACTATAATGAGAACTTGACGTAGGATCTCACCATGCAATCTGCATCTGTCCATTGAATATCCCCACCTCCGGGAAGTCAAGGTTGGGGTCTATTCCCGGGACATCCAGCTTGAGCCAAGGCGTGACCGTGGCTTCGGTTCCGAAAGCACATTTGTATCGCTGAAATCGTCCGAATGTCATTCTCCACGCCGTCGTATTTGGTGATGATTTCAAGTGCTGCTGGATAACTTCAAGTCGCTTGCACATAAGACGATGTATTTCTCTGTCAATGAATACCGAACCGATAGGGTGGCCTGGCAAGTTGTTAACTAAGGACGATATGAGAACAACCTAGATAGCTAGCTACCTTCGACATGCCCAAGCTGTGCCAGTTGAGTAGGCTCGCCCTGCGCTGATAGAAGCTTGAGGACATTTACATCCTACGATCAATGTCGGTTACAACATTCTACGGGTGAGGGTGCGGTCAAGGGGCAAGTTACTGTCGTTCCTCCACCCGAGTCGCAAACCAAGATTGTATCATCTCTCTGTACTGAGTGTTAGTTAAGTGCCCTACACTTGGTTCTTGGTATGGAAATGGTGACCTACTCCGTAATGCTCGTTCCCTGCATAAACAGCTGCGGCCTCTGCTTCCGTAAGGCCGATGCAAGCACGGTGATTGGGATTTCGTGCGTCAATCACCTGCATTAACAGTCTCCGAATTTCTTCTACCATGCGCACATCCTTCCACGTAGTCGGAACACTGAAAATAAACTCGACACGTTGCATGACAAACTGTGGGATAGTGGTCTCAAAGTAGGACACCACATGCCGATAGATGCACTGAATATAGTCCTGGAACCATTTCTGGGCCTCTGTCAGGCTTGGGCCCCCATCTCGCGCGTACTGAGGCGCGAGATGAAGCTTGAAGAACTCTTTGGTCTCTGCTTCGGAATTATCGATGTCACATTGGAACCCCCAGTGGCTGACTGACTTGGAGTCAGAGCTATAAGTAATGCAGGTAGGAACCTTATTGGCCAGCTCGCCAGGTAGCTTCCCCGGCCATCGCTGGATGGTTTTGGGAGGTGGCCATTCTGGTCCATATGAGTATGCGACGCCTGATCGGCAGTAAGCTTTCATGTCAAGAAGCCCACAGCGAATAGCGTACAGCTTATCTACATACCTGTGTGTGTCATGCCAAAGTCGATACCAACTACGATGTTGGGATGCCATTCCTCATTGTGTAGTGCGCTTTTTGTTGGTGGACCAAGGGCTTCTTTGTCGCTCATGTTGTAATGCTGGGAAGTGGAAGTGTCGACAGAGGCGCGTGCGAGACAGAAGCTGGCTCTCAAAGCCCCTCAACTGGAACCCCTGTCCGACTCTAGTGAATGCAACTAAATTGTCCCCCACTCCACTTAGACAAGGCTGCGAGAAGCGCGTCCTCTTGATCCTGGAAAGTCTGGTACCGGGGTGCATAGCGCAAAATTTAGCGTCAGTTCTTATCGCCGTCTTTTTCCCTCATTAAACGTATTACATTATGAGATTCGTAATAATTAGACAGTAAGAATAGTAGCCATTTAGTGTGATTCAAAAAAATCTCTCAACAATCTAGGTTAGACACATGAGGAATTTTTTTTCCGAGCTTAGATGGCGATGTTCTGCGGCATTGGTACCTCCAAATCGTTTTTGCCCGATAGCCGCTAACAACCCGTAGTCTGTATACCCCTGTCTGCAATACCCAGTCTGAATTAGGTCGGCTGGGGCGGAGTGGTGCATTAATAAAACGGGCTTTGGAGTACTGTTCAGGTCTTTGATTTTTTACTCCCATTTTGTCATTTTGTCATCCGCCCTCTCCCACCATGGAAGCCTTGATTCAAGCTCGCCAAGAGCAGTATGGCTCAACTTCGGTGCCCTTGTATGGCACTACGACAAGCGCAACTTCCCCGACTCTGACTACCCCGAGCTCTTCATCAGCGGTATCCTCTCAAACTACGTCCGCAAGAGTGATACATTCCTCCTCATCCAGCACCCCTACCACCACTGCATCCAGCCTGCCATCGCACAGTAACGGAGTCAGCCAAGGCGCTCTGGCAGGTGCAATCGTTGGATCGATTGCCGGGACTGCTCTTCTTGCCATAATTGGGGCTGCACTCTTCTTTCGAAGAAAGAAAGGCACATCTCATTCTAGCAGCTCTGGTGACTCCGATCGGGATGGCGTGGAGTTGGTGAAACCGCGAGCCAGAGTTCAAGCCCTATCGAGTCACTCTCCCCTTTCTCCGACAGGCGGCCGAAATTCGCTCCTCGATTTGATCCCTTTTATTTCCCAGCCGGCCGACGACCAAACTGTCAGCACGCGCATACAGACTCTCTTCGACCACATCGGTCTGCATATCGACAACTACTACGTGCCTGCAAGACATGAAACCGTATCACCAAGCCCGGAGGAAGCTATTCGCATAGAAAGCTATGCTTCTACCTCGATTACCGGATCCTTGATCACCGCTTTAGCTAGCCGTCGCGCCCGTCGACCTGTCCTCAATCATGTCTTGGCTCGAACCATCTTACAAGCAATTCAACCTAGAGGGTCTCTGTATCCTCCGTTCATGGAGTCTCATGGGGTTGAACCTCTCTCAGCCTCGACGTCGACTCGTGACATGTTCGCGTGGCGCATGCTGACAGCTCGTCTCCATCCGGAGTACGTGGACCTGTCTTCGGCAGCTGCACAAAGGAACATCGCTGCTCTCGCAGAGAATTTTTCAGAAGCCTTTGCGATATACCAAGATCCTGAACTCTCCGATGCAGAGCGCCGGCGTCACCTGGCCAGTGTCGTTAGGGAGGCAGCTCAGCTGAGTGTATGGCTGTTTACCCAGCCGTGCTCGTTCAACTTTAGCTGGAGTGCGCCGTCTCCTGGCTCTATTGTTGTTCTACCAGCGGTCATAAAGATCAGTGATGAACGGGGTGATATACTACCCGTGCCTCAGCAGATGGTGGAGGAAACAATTGCTCAGATATGATTTTCTCAAATACGTTCGAGATATAATGAGTCGTAATAGCTTGATGACCATGAATGCCCCCTTCGTACTCCAATATCGCAAGTAACGACCGTCTAAATATTATTCCCCTTTGCCTGCCTCCAGCGTAATAAATCCCGCATCTCATTCTTAACATCTAACCCCAACCCTCCTCCTTTCATAGCGTTCACTCCCGAACTCGCCTCACCACCAGTACAAGCGCCAGCGCCAATACCAACCGCCTCACCCTCCCCAGGCAACTCCTGTACCTCCACCTCCTCTATACCCAATACCTCCCCGCCTCCTCTCCCTACTACCCCTTTCCCTCCATCATCGCAACCCACCCCCATCAACCTCTCCAAAACCACCATCAAGCTCGAATAACAAACCATCAACCTGCTCCTCTGCACCTTCGCCCTCTGTCCATCCCTACACACCCACCTCAACTGCGTCCCCAAACCCATTGACATCCGCTTACTCCTCCCCTTGACATTATGATGACTAGTGGGCTGATTCCTCACCTCCCACTCCACCCTCACTGGCTCAACCAACACCGCTAACGCATGCACCGCGTCTGCCGTATCTGCAATCGTAGACTCAATCCATTGTCTTTCTGAATCGTCAACAAACGCTGCCTTTTGGGCGTAGAGGTGCGAGGCGCGGTGGAGCTGCGTGCGGATGTGCGTGAGTGTTTGGAGGAGCTCGGTGGATTCGTGGTGCGCGGAGGGGAAGAGGAGGGGTGGTGATGGTGGTAGTTGTAGGTGTGGGTGTTGGGCGTTGGTTGTGAGGGAGGCTTGGTCTGATAGTGAGGTGTTGGGTGATGTCGAGGTGGAGGTGGAAGCGGTGGACATGGGCATGATTGTGGATGTGGATGTGGATATGGAGAGGGTGGGTTTGTTGGATGGAAAGTGCTTGGGGGAATCAGAAGGAGTAGGAGGAGGTGGTGGTGTTCGGGGGTAGTTTCCGTGTATAGGGGCCGTTGTTAGGGATGGTTTTGGGTGTGTGGACAGGTAAATACATTGGTGCGGAGGGTACGGATGTATGCATGTAGGGTTTTTAGCTGCATGTGTATTTTTGCTGAAATGCGGAATACCCTATACAGCACGACACTGAGTATCGTCTTTGTTAGCGCAGGAATAGTTACGTGCAGTTGACCAATAGGAAGCGGGGCCCTGATGCATCCTGACTGCGCCGCAATATGAACCACTGGCCAAGAGGCCCGGACAGATAAGCACCCGACAAGGTTTCTTAGCATAGGTACACATGTTCCTCTATCCGATTTGTTGATTATGTGCATCGGTGGGGTCCCGTGCGGGGACGAAGGATCCGCTAAATAATCGCGTTATAATTGCTATTGCGGTTTTAGGCCAGTGCTATTACTTACTTTGGCGTAGCTCAGCCTCGCCCCGAGACGGTTGAGCGGTCTCGCCCGAAAGTCTGTCTTTGCTCGGCGTTGGATTTGATTGCATGACTCATAATTAAGCTGATGCCATTGATTCTTTTCCCGGATAAGTGTACCTGGTTGGTATGCTACATCGCAATATGATCTGCATAATAGGTCGAAGAATAATTTCGTTAGATACAAAAAAAGTAGACAGGTGCTCGTATACAGAACCAGGCACAGAATATTCGATGAAATTCGGCAAGCCATGCTATATCTTCCAGCTTCCATCCACCACATTCAACACCTTTACTATCTAAAGACTCTTACAGAGCAAGAGCAAAGCCGAGAGCTCCAGCAGCACCAGCGAGGCTCATAGCAAGGCCTCCGGTGACGTCAGGTGCACCCCCAGTTGACACAGAAGAACTCTCTGAGGCGGTCGATGCAGCAGTAGATTCGGACGTACTTGTCCCCGTCGATGACGATGAAGCCGAGGAGATAGAGAACGATAATGGCGTCGATGTTAGATAATTCCAGGAAAGGCTAATAGCATTTCCACTGGAATTTGGCGTCACGGTTTTGGTAACAGCCGTGGTAACTGGAGATCCGGTGACAGTTTCCCAAGTGGTTACAGTCTTAACGACGGGCGTAGCCTGATGTGTAAGGTCGCCGAGTGTGGCTAACACTGTCACTGAGAAGAGGACAAGTAGTCTCAAAAACATGTAGAAGGTATTGAGATGCCTTCGGTGGGTAGTATGACTGGTTTTGCATAAGATTGGGTGATGAAGTTACCATGTTAGTAGAAGGGGCTCGGCTTTATGTACTCTGGTTTGTTTGGACCTAATCAGGATTGAGTTCAGAGTGAATCTTATGTGAGAGTAGAATGATACGACAGCATTGCAATATGTTTGAGTACGTTAAGAAACGTCTCTCTCTTGGGGGTCCGTGAGCTCCTGCGCCACCGCCCCATAATCGTCACATGGCAACTAAGCTATTAGCCCACGAATGAACAAGCATTGACGCGGAGGCTTAGCATCTGGGGAGAAAACATGGTATCTCGGAGAGACCGTCTGGAAAGCATGCTAGGATCCTACGAGAAAATAGACGCATTTGGTACTCCGTACTCTGTTAAGGCTGTGTGTTCCCACGAACTTGATTCTTGCCTCCACCGGTCATATAAGAAAGAAAAGCAACTGCCCTTTCCGTCTGTCATGATTTCTATTTCTTGTAATGGGATTATAACCTTGGCTTACTCTTATAACCTTCAGTGCTATTCTGATGGGCTTTCAGGGCAGGGCATTGACGCTGACACCATCGGTCTAAGTATCATGCGAAACATGTATCCCGACATACTGCCTTCATGGGAGTCGCATCTACATCTATGTACCAATCAAATTACAGCTTCGTCGACTTGAAGAATTCAGACTAAACTGAAGCTGTGTAATTTGAGTTACCGAACGCTAATGATGTCGGTCAAGGAATTGATGCATGTAGCTATCTGTATGGTGGAGCAGAAGCCGCAGCGAGTCCTTGTTATCGTATCCAACGGAAGTATATTAGGAACAATATTGGTCTTCTTCAGAGGGGATATCCCCAATAGCTGTCGAGGTATTAGAAACATTAATTTTTTTGTAGGGTTCATACCCCCACACACCTGAACTGAACCTGCTGGCTAAGCAGAAGGGGGAAACTCGCGTATTCCTTATATTCGATATCGCCAATGCTTCATATGATACTCATCTAGGTCATCTACCCGATCACAACTAGCCTCCTGTCACCGTTGTTCGTCTGAGTGAAAGAGGTGCAGACGTATGCGCCAAGCCTACCTGTGCGAAATAAAGTGAATGGTGATGTCGCCCAAGCTCACAATGACCACGGTATAGACAGCTTTCTGTCTTTCATCACTGATTATACATATAGGCCATCCTTGGATTCTAATCCACCTTGTTTCAGCGTTAACGATACCGCGCCAGTTTTAAGATGTCTTTGGACAAGTCATGAACTAGGGAGGACCTCGGTCAACGTTGCGGCGGAGTTAACGAGTAGATAGCTCAGTCCCCACAAGCGGTTCCCGAATTGTGGATTAACCCGGATCAAACTATGGTCTAAGCCAATGGTTGGTATACTTTGTAGATTTCCCCACCCCGCCGGCAAGAGCATGATTGTGCGGAGAAAGGAAAGAGCATAGATACGTGCAGAGCACGCCATGCCCTCGTTGGGCTTCAAGATTCAGCTGGTAAAATCAGGCACCAACCTGACCAGAATATACCCTGTAGGGCAGGCGAACAGCTGGGGGGTGCCGATCCGGACAATCAGTTTTTCCGCCAGGCCGTACTGCTTTTAAACTACCGAAGGGGTCCATGTCTCCCACTCTCGCCTCCAACTCTCACCACTAATGTGGATTGAGAGGGTTTAAATCCCTCGCGTTCTCCCGAAAATTTATATATCTTTTTGTCTTCAGATTTTGTGGCGTGTGATAATGTCCGAGGATCTTGTTGATTACAAAGCGCTATTTTTACAGGCCGAGGAGGCGAGAAAGCAGGCCGAAGAGGAAAGGGAGCGGGAAGAGTCTCTGAGGAAGCACGAGCAGGAGCAAACCCGTCGGACTACCTTCAGAGAGTTCATTCAATACTGTCACAGCCTTCGTTCGCTCCCCTTGAGAGCCGGACATCCCGCCGAGTCAACTACTGGCGAGATCCCGCAGCCCACTGGCAAATATTGCCCACTGCGACTAGAGCCCTGGACAGACTGCGATGCTAGGCAACAGGAGATCTACAATGCTGTCTGCCATTACCTCCTACCCCTAGGTCGAGACCCTCCCCGGTTATTCAGTTCCCGACACGCACTCGAGGAAGACAACCGGCGTTTCAGCAATCGGCCTATCACGAGTGAAAAGGACCTAGAGTATCATGAGCGATCCGCCGTAGAAAGTCAGGTCCAAGATATCATCGCTGCGCTAAGCAAGATACCGGCCGCTCGAGACGAGTTTGGGCTAGGAGACGGGTTGCTGTTCGATAGTCATACTAATGGTCTAGATGAGATCATGCCAGAGGAGCATCATGCTGGTTCCTCACCTTACAATGGAAACTCCCGCCCTGACCAGTATTGCATCCACCGTGTTCACGGAAATACAAAGGCAATATTGACTACTGTCGAGTATAAACCGCCTCATAAACTGTCCATTGAAAATCTCAGGGCTGGGCTACGGCCAATGAACTTCTATGAGGAGATTGTTGAAACGGAAACAATTCCTGTTAGTGGGCCTGAGAAGCTGTCATTCAACGCTGCCCGTCTCGCAGGATCGGCAATTGTGCAGGAGTATCATGTGATGATACAGGAAGGACTCGAGTATTCCTATCTGACGACAGGTCTTGGGATCGTGCTGCTCAGGATACCCGACGATTGCGGTATCCTGTACTATCGTCTGTGCGAGCCGAATCTGGATGTAGGTGCTGGTGGAGGCGGGCAAGTGCCTTGGACGGCAATCGGGAGAGTTCTTTGTCTTTGTCTAATGAGTTTTCGTTCACATTGTCGGGATCAGGTATGGCGAAATGCTGCTCGGGCGAGGCTGCCAAAATGGGAGACCGGCTTCAGCCACGAGCGAGCTCAGATCCCAACGAACGAGTTACGAATGAAGCCTCCTGGGTCAGACTATATCAGCCTGGATGGCACCAGTTCGGAGGTGACCCCTTCTGAATACCAGCCATCGTCCCCTATTGAGTCCCCTGTCTCCCAGGGTCGCCGCGTACCGACCCGCGCCTTCACTAGCTGTGCGCCCACAGGTGATGCTTATCGACGAGAAGATCCCCCGGGCTCTGACGGCGATCCTACAGCGGCAACACAACGGAAGCGAGGCTTTAGCCAAATCGCGTCTTCGCCGCCCACGCAACGATCGGCGCCGACTACGCCGCAGAAGTCTTCTCAATATCGTGCCGGTCAGCGCCGTCCACATGATCATGACTTTTGTACACAAAAGTGCCTCTTGAGCCTACAACGAGACGCAGCGTTAGACACAAGTTGCCCCAATGTAGAACTTCACCGGGCTGGACAAGATATCGACCATCATCCGATCCGGGCAGCTAAATTAGTACAGATGATCAAGCAGCAGCTGGACAAGAATTTGGATGAACTATGCACCCCGATAGGACAACGTGGGTCCTACGGCGCACCGTTCAAGATAACCTCCGCCGAATATGGTTATACAGTGGTGGGAAAGGGCACCACATCACGGCGATGGCCAGTTGTCTCGCGCGAAGCGGAGATATATCAGATCTTGCAAAGTGTGCAAGGCTCCGCGGTGCCCGTATTCCTGGGGCCCATTGATCTAGATATGGTATATTTCCTTCACGGTGCTGGCGAAATCCGCCACATGCTTCTGATGGGTTGGGGTGGCGAGAATGTGCGCCGCCTTATGGAAAACAATCCAACCATTCAGCGTGCCATCTCACGGTCGGAAAGGAAAATTCTCTCATTGGGCGTCGTACATGACGATCTTCGGCTTGAAAATATTCTCTGGAATGAGGAGCTACAGCGAGCGTTGATCATAGACTTTCACCGCTGTCACCTAAACAACCGACTGATACGTCCCAAGTCCCGGTCCGTGAAAAGAATATCGAATGGCGCCGAGGACCAAATCAGCAAACGTGCGCGCCCAATATAAAGTCAGATGTTAGCCTACACCTGAGTAGAGGCATCTGAATTATCTGGATCTTCAGGGCCTGCCTTCCTGCGTAGGCCGTGAATTCATCGTAAATCAGCGCTCGCCATCCCATGTATGGCGCTTCTGAGAAATAGCAACGCTATCTAGGAACATCTGCTCTACTTTCGATGCGGGGGATCCTGCATATCGTTTGTGGCATTCCTTGCGTGAGGCTTTGATCGCGGCACTACTTTGCTGCATAATACATGATTGCGCAATATCTAACTTCCCTAGAATCGAGGCCAATGCCCTCCTGGGGAATTAGCTGCAACATGTCAAGCCACCGGCTCCTTATACCCTGATTTAGCCACTCGACAGTAGGGATGTTTCCGTAATGAAGGAGCAGGCGGATTAAGTCAGGTGTTCTGTGGCAGGCAGCCGAGGGTATTGCATCCCGGGGAAATACCGCTCCGCGTTCTAACAGCAGCCGAGCGTTCATGACCATGATCAGGCGCCGTCGTTCCGCGCGATGATCGAGCAGGTTGCGCTACGTAGGGTATACACGGGATTATAAGGAATGCTCGTGTCTGCCTCAATTCTCCAGTAGAAGTTGGAGCAGCGTCAAGTGGCCTGTATTGACCGCGTACATGACTAACCGACCAGCCTCCATACAGGCGACCTTGAATACTCGTGCCATGATCAGACTGAACTCGAACAGTACTTGACTGTCCCGATACTAGAGCATCCGTAATATCAGGCTGGGATCATGTTTGGGAAGCCCCATCATGGTGCTCCAGTCCGTCTATTTCAGCCCCGTGGCCCAGCAACATCCGCACCAATGTGTCATCTCCGACGGTAGCTGCGGCGTTAAGTAGCATTTATAAATGGAATCAGAACTTCATAGGGACCTCCGCGTGATGCCGGAAGAGATCACTGCATGCGAGGTTCACATCGGCTCCGTAGTGGAGGAAGTTTTGTGTTCCTTGGAGGCAATGGCTCGCATCTCGAGACTCATCGGACCATTAGTAGTGACTGAGGAGGAATAACTCGCAGAGATGGTGGTTCGGCTCACCTGCGGTAGGTTGGAGAGATGTCAGGCCGAGAAAGGTTCAGCGACCTGTTGGGTAACACCAATAGTAACATGGTGTATGCACAACTGCGTGGGCGTAACTTATGCTCTAAGGACATTTATAGATTAAAACGTGACCGACCCTACGGGGGTTACTAGCGGCCATCGGGCAGTACCGACCCGCCAAGTATCTATTGATAACCTAAGCGCGCGCTCTCATCCCCTTGATCCGCAACCCCAAACGTTCCAACTAAACCTTCGTCAACAGCCATCTTCGGCATGATCAACCCGAAAGTGACACCGTGGACATGCCGCCCATCTCGATCACTTCCCCTATGTGTAGGTGCGATGTCATCTTCCGCCTTCACGTCCCGGAAGCTTTCCACGATGAATGACGATCGTCAACTCTATAAATACACATCTGGTCGATGGATGTGAGTTGCTCAAAGACGCCCTCTACACTCCCCTTTTTGTAACTTATATGGACAGATATAACGAGCACACTCGTCTCGCTGAGCGTCACACTGAATTTAATGTTGATGCATTGAAAAGTACTGTAGCTCGGTCCCTACAGAGATCTGACACAGATATTAAATGCCTCTCAAAATTGGCGGAAGGGGGCTTCAACCGTGTCCTTCAGATCACCATGCTTGATGGTACTGAAGTCCTTGCTCGATTGCCATATCCCTCAACACAACCAAAAGTATTCGCAGTCGCAAGTGAGGTGGCGACCTTGGCGCTCCTTCGGGCTCATGGTCTTCCTGTACCCCGGGTATATGCATACTCCACAGATGCTACAAACCCTGTTGGCTCGGAGTATATCATCATGGAGAAGCTACCGGGACGACCGCTTGGTGACCGGTGGTTTGAGTTGTCGGATCGTGAACGTCTTAAGGTGCTCCTGCAGCTTGTACAGTTTGAAGCAAAGCTTCATGCGATTCAGCTCCCTGCGAGTGGAACCATATACTACGCGAGCGATCTACCGTCAGACTCACCACGCATCGCCATTCCAGATTTTGATGTCTGTATAGGCCCTAGTGCAGCTCTTGAATGGTGGTTCGCAGAGCGTGCCTCTCTCCGTGTCGATCGCGGTCCTTGTAAGTTCTTCCTAGGCCAGCCTGTCTCAGTGCTGACCAAATATTAGGTGCGGAACCGATCGATGTTCTCCGAAATCCTGCGTTAAAGGAATTAGCCTGGCTGCGCACATATGGCCGCCCACGCTTCCCTTTTGAGCGTGCATATCGCGAGTCCATGTGTTACCGATTGTCCGACCCCAGTGAGCATATTGAGTCGCTGGAATCCTACCTCAAGATTGCTCCTCGACTGCTCCCATCAAATGAATTCTTACGTCCGGTCCTTCGCCACCCTGATCTTCAGCCTAACAACATCTTCGTCTCAGATGACCTGGAAATTGTCGGGCTAATTGACTGGCAACATGCAGCTGTCCTTCCTCTCTTCCTCGCCGCCGGGATCCCCAAGTTCTTCCAGAACTACGATGACCCTGAATCTATTCATTTCCGCCCGCCGCCTACTCCTGATTTGAGCGATCTGGACGAAGAGGAAAAGGTCGACGCTCTTTATGACTTTCGACGACGCCATACCCACTTTTTCTATTTGGCATTCACTCAGAGGTTCAATGAGCCTCACTTCCGCGCTATGGATCAGACCACGAACATGCTCACTCGGCGCATCTTCAGCCATGCGGGCGACCCCTGGGAGGGCAACAATATTCCGCTTCAAGCCGACCTTGTCTTGTTGGCCAAATCCTGGCACGAATACTCAAATGACCCGTGCCCAACATCCATCTCTACGGCCAGGTCAGATTCTATCATGCATTTGCAAAGCATGCAGGAAGAGATTGACCTCCAACTGAAACATATCCGTAATGCTATTGGTATCAGTATTGATGGATGGACCCTTTCAGAAGATTATGAAGCTGCCTGTGCCCGTGCTCGTCAGATGAAAGTTGATGGCCTCGCTTCACTGCATACAGACCACGAGCGCGAAATGACGGATCGACACTGGCCGTTTGATGACCACAATGAGGATGAGTAGCGTGACTGTTTTCCGTGTCTAGACTTGTCTTCGAAGGGTAGAAGATGCAACATGTTGAATATGTTAAGGGTCTGGGTTTTCTGATGTCCTTTAAATATTTAGACGCCCTGGCCACCTGCAGAATAATTCTGTGGTCATATGCCCGGATGCCGTATACTGTACGTAATGTCATCTAAATCATTACTAGACACCTGGATTTTTTGCCACATATTTCTTTATGTGTGAAACATATACTTTGCTTCAAAAGGTAAAGCACCGGTATAGGTAGCATTTTACTGAGCAGGCGCTATGAGGTATAAGAATATCGATTGGATTGAATTGGAAGTATTGGATAGACCGATAAATAAATATGTATATATACCTGAAGAAAAAGAATACGAAAGAAAAAAGGGAAAACAAAAAAAAAAAAAAATCAAGAAGCAGAATCATAAGTTGCATTTATTTCTATGGATTTCCTTAGATGAGACTGCTCATGAGTATCTACATGCAGACGGTTGGGAAGAGTCATGTTCAGGAAAAGGCAAGAGTGTATAGGAAGGGAAGAAAAGGCTTTTGTATACTCCAAAATTATTAAAGGGTCTAAATCCTGTGCAGGTTCGACATTTGGGTAATCCATTGCAGATCTAGAAGTCTTCAACATAAATCCACTGAGGTCAAACGGGGAGAATTCCGGCGCAACTGATTACCCACGAAATGCGCGACGGGCTGTGAGAACCCTGGGAGGTTCGGCAGCCTCCCCATTCTTGCCACTCGTTTACTAAAGATCTTGTGGGTACAGACATCTTCAATACTAGTTCTACTCGCTCTTTCCTTCCTGCTTGATCAGGTCCGCTGCTCTCTCCGCGAAGGCATACACAGTAGCTTGCAGATTCGCCGTGCTTATAAGCGGGATAGCACTCGCATCCACAACCCTCAGGCCTTCGATACCGTGGACCTTCAGATTGGAATCCACCACTCCGTCCTTCTCGCGAGGCAGCATCGAACAGGTTCCCGCGAAGTGCCACATGGAGACCAAATTGTCCCGAGCGTACTTCTTTGCAGCATCCAAGTCTCCTTGGAAGTCTGCATCTGGGTCACGGAACTTCAATGGCTGTTCAAGCAGTTCCCCAAGCTGAGGTGACTCTGCCAATTTCTTGATACGGAGCAAGTGTCGTGCCAAGACTTCCAGGTCGAGAGGGTTTGACATGTAGCCAGGGTCAATGATTGGAGGGGTTTCAGGATTTTCGGAGGTACTGGGGTTCGGTTTGTCAGTTCTACAATTTCTATCAAGAAAGATGTAAACAACAAAGATGCACTTACATTTGAACGCTTCCGCGGGAAAGCGGTTGAGAGAGCATTACTCCAAGCGTAACAAACTTTCCTGGTGAAGCATCTGGGATAGTTCCGTCCCTGAGATCTTTGGCATAATTTGTCTGCCCCAAGGCGGATAGGTACGCAGCTGATGGTTGCTTGGGATCAAGAATAGTGGTCTTGGCGATTTCATAGTAGGATTGCGTTGCCTTGTGCTGTGATTTCTCAGCAGCGTCGCTGGTGAACAGTGCCTGGAGATCACTTCTGTCCTGTTCAGGAAGAGGTAAATAGGCGTAGGTATGAACTCCAAGTGACGCGAGGGGCCCAGACTTCGTGGCAGCATATTCCTGCATTGCCTGACCAATGGCTTCAGGCTCTTGTCTAACGAGTGAGTCCTTCGTTTCAACTTCAGGCTTTGCTTGGAATGCGGTATATGAGATCATGTGATCTAGGAGCACCAAATGTTAGCTTTTTTTAACCCAAAGCGAGTAGTTGTCAAAAGGAGAGGGGTTCCTGTTATCTATGTCGCCGGTGCTAGACTGGAAGCTGTTCACATACCCTGAAGATTTTGCCCAACTCCGGGAAGGTCCATAACCACATCGATACCATGCTTGTTGAGAAGTTCTGCTCTACCAACTCCTGAAAGTTGGAGGATTTTAGGAGATTGAAATACGCCAGCAGCAAGTATGACTTCATTTTTTGCCTGAACAGTCTTTGAGGCCCCATCATGACTGTATTGGACCCCAATAGCCCTGGGAGGCTTGCTTTCGTCAAACAAGACTCTCTCAACAAGAGCGTTTGTAAGGACATGAAGGTTTTGGCGAAGCTCCACAGGCTTATAGTAAGCCAAGGCAGAATTGCTTCTCTTACCTTCCGAGTCAATACTAGCAAGGCAACTGAAGGAGCCTACGGAACTGTGAATGAACGGATCCCCGCCATTGTATTCTCCATGGCTGCGAAACAGTTCAGCCCATGCTTTGCGGATGGGGTGTGTCTCGTTTCCAAAAGATGTCTGGATTGGACCTTTCGCTCCGTTCAGTTCAGGCCAGTCATCAATTGCCAGACTTTCCTTGACATCCTGCGCTACAGTTGGACTGCTGTAGGCCTTGGTCATATAGTCTTTCAAGGTGGTCCAATTCCATCCGGGATTACCGAGTTCCTCCCATGAGTCAACAGCCCCCTTGAAAGGAGGAACAAAGACGTGTGCATTCAATGAACTGGATCCTCCGAGTGTTTTGCCCTGATTGAGACCAATTACTCTGCCATTGAGACCCGGCTATAACCATAGTATATTAGCTATCTCACACACTCTCTCTTGCTCAGGACAAGGGCCAATCATACCTGAGGGGAAGATTGGAATTTCCAATCAGCGTCAGATCCAAGTAGCACGGCATAAAAGATAGGAATGTTCACGCGGGGATCTGCTGTCAAGTCGGCACCTGCTTCCAGAACGAGGACGGAGGTGTTGGGGTCCTCGCTCAGTCGAGAAGCAGTTACCAGGCCAGCCGTACCGCCGCCAATAACTACAAAGTCATATGCAGTAGTAGCCATTCTGTACTGTGTGCAGGTTTACTTAAAGATTGGATGAGAGTGTGAAAAGAAAAAGAATTGCGAGTGTAGGAAGTAGCTTGTTGAGAAGGAAGGAATATCCCGAGACGGGAGAGAGATATTTATTAGGGACTAAGTTAATAGCTGCCTACTAGCTAGGATCATCAGACAACAAAGAAACATTATAATGAGCTCCACAAATGCCAGTTCTACCCCGCCCAGTACGTAGTACCCATTTCAAATCCACCGGCTTCTGCCCCACCAATATTTTTAACCGCTAGTATTTACGTAACATGCAACCAAAGCCTGAGATGATCATTGCGGGCTTTACTACAGACATGAATCAGTATCAGATAATAACCTCCAAACTGGAGAACAGACGACGGTGTCGAATTATAGATAGGTCTAAGCTTAACGTACCTATGGCTTAGGAGAGAAATACTCCAAAAGCATAATGAGAACAGACTTTGGAAGACATTCCAGGAAAGCTTATTATCGCTTCGCGATCGTAGGAATTTAGGTTAGATTACGGACTTTCAAGGCCGAGAATGAGTTACGTGGCAGTGTAAAGGTAGCCTGAAATCACAATTTCGGTGCTAACTGAGGGGCTTTCCATTGTTTGTTAAAGCCTTGTGACATTGGAATGTTTGTTTGGTTATGAGCCAATGAGATTCAGTAGTTTTACCGCCTAAAAGTGGGCTTACAATCCTCTAACTAAATCAAAGGATATCCTTGTATAGGTAAGTGTTCCCGGCCTTGTGTCTCACGAAGCCATATTCCCGCAATCCCTGCCCCATGCAGACGTCTAGACCATCGTGTAGATAGCTCCCAACAATTTCGGCCTTCATTTGGTCCCACGCATCCTAGCCCCATGCATGAGAAATTTGCGTGCTCGGGGCTCTTTCCGGCCGATTCAGCACAGACTATGGAGTAAACGGGTTGTGAGTTCAGCAATTTGACGCGGGTTTGTCCTGTGTTGTCCGTGCTTACTGCTTAGGGGATCGTTCCTTGAGGTGCAGCGGGGCCTAACAGTAACATTCTCGTCGATTATTGTACCCTGCTACTGAGCTATATTAGTGGCACTGCCGTCTGCCGCACTGTGGTCCCACTTAGGCCATAGGCTAAGCCTGCATAGGGAATTGTAATCGCCAGCCATATTTTCCGTACGCAAATGATTTTCTTACCAGGATGATTTACAGCTATGTGCCATGGCTGTTTACATACTTCCTGCCATGAGCCGCACCTAGTACCTTCCCAAGTCCCCCAGAGCCTCACAGAGAATCCCACCAAGGGTTCCCCCTTAGGGCTCTGCATACACCCGATAACGTTGCTGGTGGCATTGCCGGTTGTGTTACTTGACAAAATCTCAGGTAGAGTCTCCAATTGAGGTAAGTACAGGAACTCTTTGGTATATCTCCAAGGAATAGGAACACAAATATGATTATAGAGGATGGTGGGAGGGGAGAACCTCCGGGAGGAGACCTGTTAACAGAGACGTTCGCTTAAGAGCTCCTGGGGCACTGCGGAAAGTTGCACGGCACTCCGGAAACTCGCAGGCCACCTCGGGAAGTCGCAGAAACAGGATTGACCATAAAAGTTGGTAGCACAGGGGGCATGCACTTGAACAGGGAATCTCAAACGGATTATATTTCGTTCGTAAATTTCATAGCTAGTTACTATACCGGGATTTGTTGAAGTCAGACGACTGAGGCTTAACCCTGACTAGATCTAGCAGAGAGGTACAGATAGGAAGGGACAGAGGTACAGTCGATATGACTATTTCTTTATCTTTGGTTCCAAGGCAGAGATTGAGATGTGTTGGGCTCTTGTCACGAAGGCTGACGCAGCTATTGCTTCTGAATTACTCACACGGGACTGTGCAAAGACATATCAATGAACGAAAGCGGATAAGGATAGCATATCTTAACAAGAGAATAGCAAGGAAAAATAGAAATCTGCTTCGAGAATAAGATAAAATGGAGACATCTATGGTCCCCAGCCTGCTATAAAATTACCCACCTGTGATACAACTCCACCACTGAAGGATGTCTGCCTGTCATATCGATCCACCCCTGAAGTATTACCTCCCTTTTCAAGGATTTGTTTATGTTTTGTGGATAGCGCGAAAACCGAATCAGCCTTCGAGCTAGGTTCATTTTACACAGAGTCTATTGCGACTCTGGATAAATAAAGCCAGTCAAGATCATGGATACTGGCACACAAAGGTCTGCTAAGACACTGCTTCACTTGTTCTATCTTCAAAACAGTTGACTCTGGATATATCTACAACCATGGCGTCTTTTCTATCATCATCGTTCTATCATGCACACACCGCCCATTTACTTGTCTGTGATAATATCAAAGAGATTATATGCCTGGGGGTCTTATTTGGGGTATTGAATGCCTCCGTGGCGTCTGAATTCGGCATGGGTGCCTCTTTGCCTTTCCACCAGATACTTTTATCGTTACCTCAAATGTTTCTCTGGTCATGGAGCAATCTGTTTCTTTTCACTCTTCATAATCAGCGCTCTGAGTCTGCCATCTCAGAGGACAAGATCAACAAGTCCTGGAGACCTCTTCCAGCAGGCCGGATAACTCCCCATCAAGTCAAGCTTCTTTTATATTGCATGTATCCCGTCATATTTGCAATTGCAGGCACCACGGGGGGTGCTGGGCCGTGTCTTCTGGAGGCATTTTCCTGCCTGTGGTACAACGAATGGAACGGCGCGTCAAATCCACTACTGAAGAACTTGCTTAATGGTATTGGATTCGCGTGCTTCTTTTCCGGCCCACTGGAAGTTGCAACAAAGAGCTCAGTTCTTTCGGGTGATATGAAAGCGTTCAAGTGGCTCCTTGTTCTCACTGGAGCAATTACGACGACTTCTCACGCCCAGGACTTTCGGGACATTGATGGAGATAGAATCACCGGTCGAAGCACAGTGCCCTTGTTAATCGGAGATGAAAATGCGAGGTCTGCCCTGGCAGTGGGAATTATAGGCTGGACAGCGTTGTCCTGTTGGTTTTGGGATGTTGGCTCGGCTGAGCGCTCATGGCTTTCCTGCATCCCCGCGTGCGTTGCGGGCACCATTGTGGTTCGGGGGTTTTACTGGAACAAAACTCGTGCAGGTGATCGAAGGGCTTGGAAGATTTACCCACTTTGGCTCATTGGACTTTTCGTTATGCCTCTGCGTATTCGCTAAGCAACGCCAACGGGAGACAATTTGGCGTGCCTGGGAATAACGGGTAGGCTCTTCGAATAGTTCTGATAGGCCATTTTATTGCAAACCGATACAGCAACTTGAAATTTCCCTGTCAGTTTGAGGTGGTTGTAAGGGGCTAGGCGGTATTGTGATCGTATATCAAGTATTGCATGGTTCGAACTGTAGTAATTGGAGGCTAATGTGCCTTAGCTACGTGGCATGATTGGTCACCCCTAAAAGACTTTACCCCATTGATGGGGATTGGAGCGGTTTGAGCGGTTCTGCGGCTGCATCGATGGTCGTCGGACGCCTGGACTGGTGTCCGCGAAAGTGGGAAGTAGAACCGCCCATCTGTGATTGGCGGAATCCAGCTAGATAGAGTAATTGTTGATGTAAAATATAAGGAAAACCGGTTAGGTCAGTCCAGGCTGAAGGAGAACGCAAATCAGGTATCCCGCACCAATTGGTCAAATGTAAACTCGCTCGCTGAACTCGCTTAATCTCTAAAATGCATCCCATCAACCGTGCACATTCCTACATTGCAATTAAGTGCTAAAATGGTGGACTATCCGAGTGCATTTGCTTTTGTTTAGTAGGGTATACATGGTATATTTCTTGTATAAATCCTTGCCAGCCTTGCCTAGTGGCTGCATTAGGTGAAAATCCGACTATCATTACCCAGATAGGAAGGACGCTTGTTTACCTAGTACTTTCTGAAGTGGACGAGGTGTTCAAGAGATCCTTGCGGTGGAGAGAGCTGGTTTCAGAGTAACCATTCGCTTATCTTTGTATATATCCATTTGAGGCTAGTTTACTGTTCAAGAGCGGAGTGTAAAGCCTGCTTCAGACAAATGGGGTCGGAGGTAAAACGTGGAGACTTGAAATGATCATAGGGGCTGTGTTAGATGAGGTCGGCGCCCGTGCCTCCCTTAGCTGTGTCTAAGCGCTTAGCGCTTAGACTCTTAAGGCTCTGAGAACTGTTAGAGGTGTGCCTGTGCCCGGCCGGTGAGTGGAGCGGCCGGTTCCGCCAGTCCCGGAGAGCTTTAGAATACAATAAGACTGTGAATGATGTGTGTGGGCCACTCAATGTTGTTGTAACAGCAAATGATGTTTGTTTCATCGTGCTTGGATTAAGATGAGGAGGAGAATAAGGGGACGAAGGCGAGAAGAGAAGAGAGAAGAAGTGTGGGGGCAAGTGCGAAGTGCATTCCAAACTCAGCCCCCCAGATCGGTGCTCTTGGTGAGCTTCTCTTGGTGAGCTTCTCTTATAGGCTGCACAAGGCAGAATTGATCCCTGTCGAGCGTTACAGTTATCCGTTACTGTTGCACATATGGCACCCGCAACACTCCAGACTCTCTTATTAACAGCTCCCGGGTACTTGGGTCTCTTCAAACTGGAAGTCCCGTCATAATCGATGAGTCCTTCAGGCAGAACATCATCAAAATTCGATTCTTTCTCCCTTCTCAGACAGATAGCGTATCTGACTTATGATTCTCTCCCATCATGACACTCCCATTAGGAGCTGTGCAGCTAGCTGTGGTCTCATTCATCGTGGGCCCCATGGCTATCATCGCTGTGGCGCTAAGACTGTGGTCCAGATATCTACAGGGAAGGAAGCTGGCTGCAAATGATTACTTGGCATTGGTAGCATTGGTATTGGCTGAATCTGCTTTGTCCGTGTTTCTGGCAGGTAGGCTTCTCGGACTCTTGAGTCCCCTCGAAATGATGAGATAACGGTTTGAACTCACATTTGACTCAATCTAGCTGGCTTTGCTGCTGGCTTGGGAGTTCATTTAGATGAGCTCTTAGCAACAGCACCTCAAAAGTTTGCCCTGCACATGAAGGTGGGTTAATGGATGATAGAATATTTCCTACCTTGTTCAGTATAATATCGACTAACTTTACTTCAACATTGGTTTAGCTTTTCGTGCCTGCACAACTGCTGTGGGCAGCAGCGAACTCGTGTGTTAAGGCTTCGATATTGTACCTCTACATCGACCTCTTTCCCAGTAAGGTCTTTTGCCGTTTGTGCTATGGCACCCTGTTCACCACTGCCGCATATTTCACCATGGTACTGCTCGAAACCTTCGCGCTTTGCAAACCGGTCCAATATAACTGGGATAAATCGATTGAAGGACATTGCACTGGTGAAAATATTGCTTACCTCGTTGCTGGCATTGTCAATCTCACCATTGACACTTTCATTGTTATTCTACCGATGCCTTTGGTTTTCAACTTACAACTGATTTTATCCAAAAAGATTGCCGTCTCTGCAATGTTTAGCCTTGGCGTGTTGTAAGATTACTCTTTCGCTTTTGTTTGTTTCTCGCTTGCAGAGCAGGTTACTTACTATGATCACACTTACCAGGATTTGTGTTATTTCTTTGTTGAGGGTCGTTTGGTTGTGGACTTGGAATCTAGCTGACATGACCTACACCGTTACACCCGGTGCCATTTACTCGGTATTGGAACCAAACCTTGGCGTTGTAAACGCGTGTTTACCCACAATAAAACCTGCTATCAACGAGCTCTTTGGGTCGTACGTACACCTCCTGTGCTACTTGACTGTTTGACAAGGATTCTTGATGTCGATCTTGAAAGCTTTAAGCTGACACTCAATAGTTGCACGCTCCATGGTGCGAAAGGTAGTTCCAACAGCGGTGGTGTTTATAGTAGCAGATCCAGTCGAAAGCTCAACGGAAAAGTGAAAGGCAACCTTACTCGGGATTTCGAACGGCTTGATGATGAACTTGCACTACATGAAGTGCACATCAACAGTCATTCTATTGTTGGTCTCATCAGCAGTGACCACAAATCGTCGAGTCCAAGTTTACCTTGAGTGAAGGGGGAAGATCCAATGGCTCAAAATCACTATTGCAATTAAGTCGGGCGTGTCCTGATGTACCATTCTGTAATATCGTCGTATCCAAGCCTGACTTCCCCAGTTTGGGTTAGGCGTTGCCATAGATGCTAGTCATTATCTTTTCTTTGCTTATGCATAATGCTTGCTTGTGTTAGCGTACTTACCCCTCGGCCTCTTTACTGGCTGGTTACATAGCTGAGCCAAGTTGGAAGTATTTAGCGCCGGATCAGCAGTAGTTTTGCTGTATGTAGACGTATCTAGTAAGTTGTGTTCCTTTAGTTCTCTACTTCTTTCCGGCCCCACTTCCCGCTCCAAAGAGCAACGAAGCACAAATAATTCCCTCATTGGTTCTGACTCTGATGTCTTTACTAAATTGTACTAAGCACTACGAAAATGGAGAACTCCCTTCGCACTGGAAAGCCGCCATGTAGTGCGACCTCTTAATTTGAATTGAATTTGACTCATTGCTCTGCCGAAAGAAGGCTCTCTCAGGTTACCCGGAATTGGAGAAATTCAGATGAGACAACGATACGAAGGAATCAGGTATATTAAAAAGTGTCCTACAAAAGAGCCTGCATAGGCCTTAACTATGAGTTCCTTGCTGACTAAATTGAGTCTTTCATATTTATATAAACTATATCCACTAGATATACTTAGGATTGATATTAAAATTTGAGACAAAAATTCATGACGTAAGTAGAACTGGAAAATATGTTTTCCATAATATGTTTAAAACTTGTGTTCAAGAATAGTTTTTAGATATACTGTGCAACACTATAGCTCTAATATGTATCCAGCTACACTGGTCGGTTCATGAAGAAAAGCGGGACGAATAGCGCAATTCTGTTACGTTGTTGGCTCACTGCAACTAAGGCATATCTGTACACAAAAGGGGAACAGACTGTATCCTGCGCTGGGCCAACCAGAATTATATTACCTTCGAAAACGCCAAGACTGGTCTACTGCTCTAAAATTCTATTGCGTTATATAAATAATCTGGGATTATGGTCTAAAAGCTGGTTTATCCCGGCATAGATTGAAGTTGTTTATTCCAATATGTCATTACATAATTGAAGGATTGGGACAGGTTGATTCGAAATCCAGTTAGCTTATATTTCTATGACATTTATGTGGAGACCTTTCATAATAGTCTGCTATATTTTCCCCATATTAGATGTTATTTATATACTCTGAAGAACAGCTGACAGTCTAGCCAAGAAGATCCTATCGTTGAAATAGATGATGGAAAAAAAAAAAGTATTACCTGAAAGGCTGATCTGGGCAAGTAAAACGGAGTTTGTAGATAGTATATAGGTACTTGTCCTCAGTGGACCTTACTTTCTTGGCTTGGGCTTCATATAGCTGTAAACTAAGTTGTGCATCTTCAACTGACAGGTTTGTTCCAGAGATCTATCTAATACTAAGGGCCCTTTTCGTTACTACCCCATCGCTTTCTCTTTCCTCGTCTTCCTCCACCATCTCATGCCGACCCATCATCCTTCATTCCTGGTGTAATATGTTCTGCGCTTGGAATACAACAGCCTCCCTGGGAAGGTATTTAGCGAGCATAGTGGTATCCCAGTAAAGCCAGACCTCCTTGAATTGCAATCCATCCAGAGCATCGGCGGAGTCCGCAGGGCCGATAGTGCTTATCCAACTGAGCGGAATGTCAACAGTCGGCTCTTCGGTGTCGTTTCCAGGCAGCCAGATGTTGCGCGTCCACTGGGATATGGTCGCGGTTGTACCGTCATCATTTTTGACTTCCCAGAGGTTGTGAAAGTCGTGCTGTAGACTCTTAAATTGTCCAAATAGACGTTTCATCGACGCCCACATCTCGTCCCCACCATTGTACTGGGCAGTGTTCTGGTTGTGGAAAATGACGTTTCTGGAATAGAATCATAAGCCCGAGCCGTGGTTAAAGCTATAGGTGTCAACTGTATCAACATAGTTTTTGACATGCTGTTGAGCTGGGGTCTGTGGTCCGGACGTATGCCAGGTAGAGGTGGAATTACAGCTTACCAGCTGGGGCATGGTTGGATAACAGGAAAAAAATTGAATGAAAGAACTGCGGTATATAGAGAGAGTCTCCTTGTTTGATCTGGATTGATGTGTCTATATTCGCGAGCAGCTTATAGATAGTAAACAGGCCTCATTACCGGGAGCCGAACGGACTGTGCTGTTATTACAGTATATGATTCGTCATGTTGCCGAGGCACAAGATTTCTGGCATCTTTATCATTGGCTTTAAGGATACTACAAAGCCAAGTTCTCGATAGCTGATGTCACCAACCTATAGATGGATTCCTGTGGGTCGAATAATCACTCCCGAGGTCAATGATCAGTAATCCTAACTTACCCTAATTCTTCGCCGATATCTGGGTCGCAGTTCTAATATAATGAGCCCAGCTTTCACATCAATTCCTCGAAAACTATTTTCAAGTGTCTTTGTTCGATACCTCTTCACCTACCAGACTCAATTAGATTAGAACTCTCTATACTATGGGTCTCGACTACAAAGTCTTCACCAGCAGACATTCCGGTGTGAGCCGGACGACACCGGCTGGTCATGATGAGCTTAAGTGGGTGCCGACTACTTCGACCTTAATATTTGGCCAGAGAGATGCAGTCCTAGTCGATACCCAGTTGACCATGGCTGCTGCGAAAGACCTGGCAGACTGGGTAGTAGGCACCGGGAAAAACCTTACGACCATGTATATCACCCATGCCCATGGTGATCATTTCTACGGTACCAGTGCCATTCTTGAAAGGTTTCCGGACGCAAATGTTGTGGCTACGCCGGAGACTGTCTCTAGGATGGCTAAGGCCATATCTCCAGAAGGCCTGGACTCATTTTGAAGAAGTCTTTTCCCTGGGCAGATCCCAGACAAGCTGGTGATCGCTACTCCGCTCGAACAGGACCACTTCATGCTGGAAAACGAGCGATTGGAGGTGGTCAGGTTGGGCATACGGATACAGATGATACAACAGCTCTCTGGGTTCCTGCAATTGGCTTGGTTGTTGCGGGCGACGCAGTCTACAACAATACCCACCCATACCTGGGAGAATCAAAGTCCCAAGAGGCCAGATCGCACTGGGTGGCAGCGCTCGATAAGATTGCGGCCCTTCAACCAAGGATTGTCGTCGGCGGCCATAGTGATCTATCTAAAGAATTCTCCCCGGATGCCGTCCAAACAACCAAGGATTATTTGAATGACTTCGCGCGACTGGATGGACAAACATTCACCCCTGAGGAATTATATTCGCAAATGATGGAACTTTACCCTACGAGATTGAATGTCGGCTCGCTATGGGGAGGTGCAACACTCGTGAAGAAATGATCTATGTGTGGTCTCGATGTTGATTGAGTAACTAGTGGCCTAGTGGCCTGGTATATGCACCATGATGGCATGAGCTTAGCATAATTAAGGGAATATTATGAAAATCATGAGACGATTTGCACGAAAAATATACTCCGGTGTTACCACCAAGAGGGATGTATGTATGTGCACTGAGTAGCAGAGGTCGCTCTTCGCAACTATCTTCGCATGTGCTAGTTGCAAACTCGAGGTCTCAAAATAAATCCCATACCCCGAATCACTGATACATACGAGTGGACTTCCGTCTTATCAGATAAATACTTTCTAAACCTTCAAGTGTAGTACAGTGGACGAAAAATGGTCCTCTGTGTTTGATGAAGTAGGCTCATGAATTGCCTTTTGAAGGACATAAAAGTAGCACAGGCAAAAAAGACAAAGTCAGGGTTCAATCCTATCTCTTTCTACATGACAAGGTCTGGTAACCTAACTCAAATGGCTGCACCTGTCGTGTCTTGGGAGCCGAGTCATTTTCTTAGAAACTCAATCTGTCCTTTAATGTTCTGTTCAATCCACTTCCCAGTGTAGATATCAAAATGCCCAGCGCCCTCAATATACAAGAGCTGCTTTGGTTCTCCGGCATTTTCATAGGCAGCTAGTTGAGATGCTGTGGTAACAAGGCTATCATTACTAGGAACAATCATCAGGAGCGGAGTCGGCGAGATACGATGCACCATGCCCTTTCCTTCAAACGCAAGCATATTGAGCTGTGTCTGTACCGTGACAGAATTTTCCCAAAGACCACCACAGTTGTATGAACCGCGTACTGTCTCGAAAGCGTGAACACCGGGGAGCATGGCCGTAGTATTGCCAGACTGCGCTACTTCTAAACTTTCCGCGATCAGTGGAATCCGTTCTGGTTCTAATCCAGCTGTGATACGAGGACGTTCTTTCAGAATGCTCGGAAAGCGGTCTTTGAAGGCCAAAGACCGCGTCTCTCCAGAGACTGCAGGGCACTGGACGATAGCAGCTTCTATTCGTTTGTCCACAGCAGCTGCGTATAGGACATTGCCTTCGGAGAAGCTCGTGCCCCAATATACTATACGCGTATCATCCACACTTTGGGATGTAGTTGCGAAATTGAACGCATCGTAGTAGTCGGCTTGTTGAAGGGTCGGGTTTGATTCTTGCCGGGGTAGTCCATCGCTGTCGCCCCAGTTCCGTTCTCTGTCACTATATATGCCCTTCTGTTACGTATTTGCACGACTAACTATGCTGTTGAGAAAGTTGATTTCATATTAGTGAAATACCGGCCTCGGTTCCATCAAGAGGTTGATTTGCATCAACAGGTCACAATGATCGCCTACCCATCACCGTTAAGAATGTAATGCTGGGCCTATTCCTTGGGTAAATGATGATGGTCTATTATCAAGCACTAGTCACGTCGCTTCATCGTGTCATACTGTCGTTTCTTCTAAAACTACAAGTCTATCCACACCTTACATGTTTAGTATTCTATACTTGAATTCCGTCGTACGGAAGCCAAACGCTAACGAGTAAATTGTGATGCCGAACATCTCGCCGCAATGATACCCATGTAATCACTGCTTGCCACACACAAGAACTTGCTACCATTGAATATTTCTCAACAGATTTAGGATAGGCCCAACGCGTCAGGCATGCTCAAGTAGTAATAATGGGCTAGGCGTATTAGGGGTATGTCTTGCCTCCCAAGCTTCTAAACAAGATGTAATGCCATTGAGGATTGCTTGTATTCACTATACCCCGGATGCGCACCGAACCCCAGCATATAGCAGGCGGTCTAGTAAAAACAAGAAGGACTATTTCCAAATAATATGATACTGCTCCAATGTAAATGTGCATTATATAGATCGGTACACCCAAAAGGCAGACATAAAGCTACGGATCACCAGCAGAAAATAAGCCAGATGCTACGCATGGAAGGCGATTTCCGCTCACTCTAACAATCCATTGTTGCCACACTTTGGAGTCAAAAATGATGACTATGTTGATGATGATGTTGATGGAGATGCTTTTTCTACGGATACATTAGCCAGAGATATGGCAGAAGTCCAGAGCATGAGGTGGTAAACATACATGCAGAGCAGGAGTTTCACCGGCATTTGCGGAAAAGACAGAGCTGGCGCTCGGTGAAGCTAGCGCAGCTACAGATGAGCCGCCAGATGGTGTAGCAACATGACTATGGCCATCGCAAACACCATACATAAAATGCTGAGACGAGAATGTTGATAGAGGACTGCCCTTGTGCAGCTGGCATTCGCCCCCTCTCACGCTGTAGAGCCAAGACGTGCATTCTGCAAGGCTATCGCAGTAGCTTGCACATTGTGAGCTACTTTCGTAATTGGTAGTAAAGGCGAAGGGGGCACCGCTGAAAATACCCATTGTATTTGCGGAGATATTATCCAGGCAGCTGGCATATGTGTTACCGACAGTGGCGAACAGGAGGGAAATGAAATAGCTAGAAATCTTCATCGTGGGTTAACGTAATGGCGGTTAAAGTGGCAGGTTTGTCTGTATGGTAAGAATGTAGGGGGTGTGGGATGAGTAGTAGTAATTGAAGAACATATATCGGAGTAGAACGAGACTGAAAACACCGCTTGGAAGAGAAGGAAATGGAAAGTTCTGGTTCGATCCCCAGGCTCTGTTTCTCACTCTGTTCCGCTCGACTTCCAGATGACCCCAACAAGGTATTATGCCTAGCGATATGCCCGATCAGGGTCTTAGCCTTAGCACCGGAAGTGTGATCTACTTTGGGGCTAGGTCTATGCTCGGTGAAAACCCTTTCTGTCCAGAGAAAAAAAATATATCCGTAGTCCCTGGAATTAAATCACGGAGCTGCGGCTCTAGGAGAGGCGAACACCCGTTTGGGGTTGAGGTCTCGGCTAGCATTCGATAGTTCCATGAAGCACAACGGTGGCGAGATAAGGGAAATTAGGGTCTCAGATGAGGCCTGTCCTCTAAGTGGGGCTCGCCGCATCGGCGCAATCCAAACGCTGAGCTAGGCACGACGCCGGCTGTACTTGACATGAGCACCGAGATAAGTAGACACTGGTTGCGTTATTTTCCAGTTGAATAAGATAACATGGAGCGCAGTTTATCGTCGCTGTGGCAATTAAGTGGTTCTTTGCTTCAAAACGCCAACAGCATTTGTGACATGAGTTGTAGTCCAGAAAGTCTGGTGCTACTAGCCAAGAGAAGACAAGCTCTGCTAAGGCTTTTTTGTCCGCGCCGAACCCTTGGCGCGCCCCGCATGGATTTTCAGCCGACGCACATGACAAGAGGCCCTGAACCCTCTCTCGGCCCCCATTGAAAATTCGAGGTCCCTAGCTCATACCTCATTTTGATTAAATCTACTAGTCCATCCATTTTGTTTCTGCCTGGAGTGGGTTCTCCTCAAGTTTCGATTTGGTCACTATTGATGGGTCGAAAACAGTTGAGCAGTATCTAGTTTGTGACTAAGATCGATGGAACGGCCTGGCTTTGGCCTTTGTTATGAAGAAATTGGTGTGTTTTGACCCCTACGAGTCAGGAAGAGCTTTGTATAACTAAAGTCAACTACATGAGATTTCTATATCGTTCTCCGACAACCGGCCATGGTGGGCCTTCAAATTTTATTAGACACCACCTAGGTCGAATCACACCTTCCTCTTAGAGAATTTCATAGGACAAAAACCTTGCCATCTTTCCCCTTTGGCCACTTATTTTTTATGGAATACTCCTGGCCAAAGGTTACTTTCTCATCTCCTTGAGAAATCCTGAAATCGACGCCCAAAACACCGAAGTCCAGCCGTAACTCAAGTAGTCTGTCATGATTGGCACGTTCTGATGTCATTCTCTTCGTCCGTAAGTCTTCGGGGAGACTTGTCGGAGCTCGCTCTCGCTCGGCAAATCGAAGATATAGCTTCCGTAAGGAGGGTACGTGAGCATGGTAGTGTTTTACTAGAGTCACTAGTTCGGTGTATAGTACCTCTGAGCACTGAAGGAGACATTGATCGATGAACAAGTGCTTGAGCGAGGAGGGGAAAAGTGCCCAGAGTGGTGTTATCGGGGTAGTGGTCCTACTTTCAGGGATTTGCAAGAGGTTACTCCACCGTATATGAACGGATTCTAACCTCGGAAAATTCGACAATGGCCCAAAGAAAACAGGTGCAGGAATCTTTGTGTCCCGACAAACGCCCTGATCATGTAAGGTCAAACTCAGGTGGCGAATTGAGAAGCGCGACCTTTGCAAAGACTGGTACAGCTGATGTAAGTCTTGTCTGTCCTGACTATAGGTTCCATTATGGACCTTTTGCTGTATGGTGAATGACTCGAGCGCGGAGCATCGCTCGAGGAAACGAGGGAGGTTCGGCATTGCCTCTTTGGGTGCCTCAAAATCCAGATGTTTGAGTGCAATGGTGGAAAGATCTTTTGGCATGCTAAGTAGAGATCGATCACATGGATTTGAGACGTATAGCTTCCGTAATGAAGGAATCCGAAGAAAGGGAAGTAATCGGGTCAGGGGGGTTGCATTCATTGAGATTCCAATTTCCCAGATGCAAGGCCCATTCTTTAGTGCGATTTGCTTGAGCTTGGTCAAAACCCCTAACTTGGGATGACTCGCCCATGCAATGACCCGCTCAAAGTGAGGTGAACGTCTGGGAGGAAACGGTCCGTCCTCATATCCTAAGACCCATCTCTCTTCCGGAAGAGCAACCCCGAGCTTCTCAAGATTCCGCAGCTGGACTAACAGCAGAGCTAGCCAGGCATTTTCATAGTGGTGGAGCGCCCGATGGTAGTCGGACCGCTCGGAATCTTCCTTGAGGTCTCTGCGCCAGGCATAAAGCTTTCGGCGGTGCTTACGCTTGGACTCCCCGTAAGGTAACATGAAGTGGCGATATCTTTCTTCAGGAAAAGTTTCTAAAGGGGGTAGTTGCTCCCATCTTCCCTCCTTACAGTCGCTAAGGTAAAGCTCCAAAGATCGAATGAGTGGAGCAAGGGAGGAATTCATTATTATGGCTTGGGTGAATCGACGTATGGGTAGAAGACTTTCAGGCAGATTTCCGTAGGAAGTACCAAAATAATCATAATCGTTGAGGGGAAGTGAGATATGATAATAGAGATGTGGGATGAACACATCGTACCAGCCCTTGGAGACAAGTATCAATCGAGTGTAGTCAGATGATGTAAAGAAAGGTATCATCTCAAGAAGAATCTCACTGGGGATTTGATCGAGCATTTTGGGCAATATGTCGAAATGTGAGAAGTAGAGTGCAATTGGGCAATGAAAAGGACAGGGGGCCCATTAGTTAAATGTCTTATCTTTGAAGTGGGGCGAGTGCGCCGCCAGAAGGTGAAAAGTCTAGTAATATTGGTAATAATGTATGGGGAATACAATATGAGATGATGTGAAACAAAAAGGAGACCAAAAACGGGCTCGGCAGAGCAATTGCTATTACACATTTTCACTCCAATGCCCACGAGCGACTCTTGCAAAAGATATTCCCCTAGGTGACAGTAATACTTTTTCAGGGAGTACTTCTAACGTAGTCGTGAACTTCCGCGCGACAACTCGGTTCTGCATCCAGAACATTACGAAAATCGGCGATGTTCCGCGCCATATGCTGATGTTGCCGGTACTTATAGCCCTTATTACCCTTCACCCAGTCTTGATACCGTTTTAGAAGAATCTTGGACTTGGAAGAACTTTTCGATGCCTGGACTTCAGCTGTCTTGACCCAATCAATGACTTTGACTTTAGTGCCATCCACCGTAGTCTCCGTCTCATACAGAGTCACGCCCTTGTATTTGAGCTGAAAGTCGGGGGCTACTTTCTCAAAGTTTTCCTTCCAGCGCTTTGGTTGAACAACCTCGAGGGCTTCCTTTGCCTTGGATAAGAGGTTGGAGTCGACTGTTTGAATCCCGCGCGCCTCTTGAATACGGTTGGTCACCCTCGCCGTCACAGCCATGTGATTCAATTTCACTCCACCTTTCCACAAGTGATCAGGGTCATACTCGTAATCCCATACCATGCCAGAAAATGTTTCATCAGCGCCTTTGATGGCGGGTGAGGTTGTGTCTCCAGCCTCTATCACCTTGGGCGAGCGACCATTCGGAGTGACAGAGTCGAGAAACTGGTTGAAGGTGCAGATGGTGCCGGTTGTGGGATCACATTTATGTGCAATGTATCTATCTGACTCCGAAAATACGCCTGCTTCAATTTGATATGCGTAGTAGTAGTACAAGAACTCGAAGAGTATGGCCTGGTCGGAGGCTTTTCCAAGGGCTGCCCAAAAAAAACGGCGCACAAAAACACATGAAAGATCTTTATGTTGGAGAAATGTAATAAGAAGAGAAAGAATGTTGTTTATGCTTCTCGCCTTAGAAATCAATGACAAATGCCTGGTTCGACTGAGGAGTAATCGGAAGAAACGAGAGAGAAAGACGACTGCTCCGTTCGAGGGATTTCGTACCCGGCGAATGTGGCATTCTTATTGCACAGCCTTGGCCAGAACACCAGCATTGCTGCCCCGATATCAGCCTTCGTCAATTATCGAGGTTTTCTCCTTGGTCTTTGAAAGGATAACAGTAGTATCGGAATATGGCCTACTTAGGAAAAAGCATCTTCGGGGGAGGAAGACGACAGAGCCCGGCTGCCACGCTAATTGCTAGCGTCGACATCGAGCTAGGAAATCGCAGAATCAACATTATTGGTTCCCAGGAGGCACGAGTTGAAGTCTAGTGTAGCCAGTTTTTCAAGTGCTAGCTAATTAGAACCGTCTGAGAAGAATTCGTCAATTAGCCAATGCTACGTTCACCGAGCAAGTCCATGCATTTGTACCGTATGAAAAATCCCGCACATTGTGCTATCTTAATTCACGCTTTTATGGTCGTCCAAATTTGTTGTCGTGACTAGATGGCAATATAACATATAATAAGAGCGCCAGAACACTTCATATGCTCAAGTTTGTGTCTTTCTGTTCATTCCTTCTTTTGTCTCTTCTATGGACTACCGCACTTTTCTTGTCCTCTGATTACCCTTTGATATAGCGTTACCTCGTGGCCTTGGGGGAGCAGTCATTCTTTAACATGCAACATTTTCATTTTCCATTCCCTCTGATGGGGCCTGTCGTCGTTCTCTTCCTTTTTTTACTCTCTCAAGTTCATGCGAGAGCGGTCTTTGCTCATTTCATGGTACATACTGTCTCCCTCTGCAAGTCCGGTCGCATTTTTGAGAGCAAGATGCTGATATCTTAGTAGGTGTCTAACACGGAAGGCTATACTGTCGATGACTGGGAGTCTGAAATGGCCCTTGCCATTGAGGCAAAGATCGATGCTTTTGCACTCAATATCGCTGCGGATCAGGATGTAAAATACTGCTTCCGTGGCAAATGCTTTCCTCGCTGCTGAAAATGTCGGCTTTTACCTCTTCTTTTCATTTGATTATGCTGGAAACGGCGCTTGGGATAAAGCCGATGTGATCGACTCTATCAGCACTTATAACTCCCCAAATGCGTACTTTTATTACAATGATAAACCTTTCGTCTCTACGTTCGAAGGCCCTGCCAACGCAGAAGACTGGGTGGATATCAAGTCAGAAACAGGTTGTTTCTTCATACCAGACTGGTCATCACTTGGAGCCATGGAAGCAATGGAGCAAGCTGATGGTGTCGCTGATGGGCTGTTTAGTTGGGCTGCCTGGCCAGATGGTCCTGCGGATATGGATACATACACCGATGCCTCCTATATAAACTACCTCCAGGCCAAGCCCTATATGATGCCTGTCTCGCCGTGGTTTTTCACTAACCTGCCGGGTTATGACAAGAATTGGCTCTGGCGAGGAGACGACATGTGGTTCGATCGGTGGAACCAGGCGTTGTTTGTCGCGCCGGAATTCATTGAGATCATTTCATGGAATGATTTTGGCGAATCTCATTATATCGGTCCGATATAATCATCAGATGATCCTCTAGCCAACAAGACATACACTGCCTTTGATAACGGACTGGCGCCTTACAACTATGTCCTCGACATGCCACATGATGGGTGGCGCGATTTCCTTCCCTATGTGATTGAAACATATAAAAACAACATGTCTACCATCACCCAAGAAGGTGTGACTGGCTGGTATCGCCTGAATAAAGCTGGAGCCTGCTCCTCTGATGGAGGAACCACTGGTGATATAGTCAGTGAGCTCCAGGTTGAGTACTGGCCTTATGAGATTGTGCAAGACAAAATCTTCTACTCGGCTCTTCTCGGATCTCAGGCCGATATCACGGTGTCCGTTGGTGGCACTGACCTTGGGGCCTCATGGACCGCAACCCCCAGCGGTGATGTTGGGGTTTATCATGGCAGCGTGTCATTCTCTGGTCATTCCGGTGCGGTGGTCATTACAATTAGTCGCGATGGAGTTACAATTGCCAGTATAGACGGGCAAACAATCTCGTCCGGTTGCGCTGCTGCTTCTGATATCGAAAATTGGAATGCCTGGGTTGGGAGCAGTATGTCCTCCAGCACGATCAGTGTAACTCCAGCCACATCCCTTTCCAATGAGACATGTATCGAGGGTTGGGGTGCTGGCAATTTTCTCGGGCTCTGCTCCGCGGCCTGTTCTTGGGGCTACTGTCCAATCATTGCTTGTGTTTGTTCCAAACTCGGCCCGCCACCAACTGTACCGGAAGAGACCGGGGTCGAAGGCTATCCGATCTCTGGCGAAGATGCTAGCTACAGTGGCCTGTGCTCGTTTGACTGCAATCATGGTTACTGTCCGAGTACTGCGTGCGGGACGGTCGAAGTAACTCTTACGGTTCCTACAGTGTCCGACTTCGCTGCGAAAGCATGCACCGCCGGTGAGGGCACTGGCGACTTCGTTAATCTTTGTGCTTTTGGTTGCGCACACGGCTTTTGTCCCATCCATGCTTGCAATGGCACCGAGACTGGGACGCTCGACCTGTTTTCCGTGGTCAACAGCAGTGCCACAGCCCATCTGATCTCTGGCGATGACGACTATGGTCTATGCGACTTTGCCTGCGGGCGTGACAGGTGCTATGACCAGTGCGAACTTGGCGATGCTTACTCATATAGTGACGAATTATCCTGTACGGACGATGACACACGGTCCTGGTGCGAAGTGATCTCGCCGTGTAATTATAGCCTGACTATATCTACGCTTGAGGACCTGGACATCCAAAGTGCTTATATGCAGGATGAGTGCATTCCCTACTATATGTTGACCGTGTTGTGCAATTTGATCGACGAATTGGTGGCAAACTATACGGAGATTATGGCCGACAACAACTACAGCAAGACCCTGAAGTACTACAAGGAATACGTCGAGAGTAATATCACCTCCACTCTCGCTAGTGTCATGGAATGGGCACCTGCCGGACCGGGCTTGTCTTACTTTGACTGCGTCATCGAATGGAAGGGCAAGAACGAGTCCGCGACAAGCTGTCCCAACTACAGCGCTACTGGAGTTTTCAGCGTATACTATGAGGTCAAGAACTCCACGGAATTCGAGGAAATGCTACTAGAGGACTACAGCATCCAGCCCGACTGGTTCAAGTACGGTACCGAGAAGGACTCCTATCTCTGCGATGGAGAGAGTATCCTGGCCCCTTCGTGCCATGACTCTGTCGTCACATATAACAACATACCCAAGAAGGCCGACTATGTCAACATCACCGATCCCCGGGTAGTGGTCGAGAAAGCCCTACCAAATCTGGACAACCTGCAGGCCAACATCCTCGCGGTACAGCTGCAGATCTTGCTGGGATCTTGGCCCGGTTTCACGGACGACATCATACAGAGTATCTCATTTGCGGTGGAGCTTCTCCTTCAGGCAGTCAGTTCCATGCAAGAAGTCGTGGCAATTGGGAAGGCAGAAGAAGCCTGGAAGAAAAAGGAAATGATTGAGGATATCATCAGCGCCATCTTCCTGGCTATTCCTTTTGTTGGCGAGGCAGACGCTATCAGTGATATATTCCTGGATGTGTCCCGAGTTGTGACAGTAGTTGAAGACACTGTTATTGTGGCTGATAGTATCTATGAGATTGTGGAGGATCCTGACAATCGTGTCGCCACGATTTTGACAATTCTCCTTCTGGTTGGGCAGCGCTCTGCAGAGGAATACGGAACTATGGCCGCAGCTCGCAAATCTTTGAATAGGAGATCCTTTCTATAGCACTAAACCGGTAGCCGAGTCAGACTTGAACTTACTTGAAACAATTTCTACATAGTCATCCTCCTATGCTTTGTGCCAAGCAGACTCGCCATCAGAAACTTTACTATGAGATCCGCAGTTAGCATTCTAACTTCTTATCCTTCATTCTTCGGATAACTACCTGCAAGATGTGCCAAATAGTAAGTATTCCCGCCAAAATAATGGCTAACAAGGTGGTATTTGCTACTTCTTCCGCACAAATGCAGAACTGATCAAAGTTTGCTCTTATAGATATGACCCGGCAGAATGTAATCCTTCGCTTTGTAGTGTGATGAGGGATAAGTTCCGGATTTCTAACAACATCACTCTATTCACATTCAAGTGCATCATTCAAGAGATATACTAAAATTGTGAATGGGGCGGTGCCTCCCTCCCAAAGCTTTCGGCATTGAGATCAGCCCAACATCTGATGATAGGCAGATCTAGTCTCCTCATGTTGATACACCAGATATGGTCGTGCGCTGAGTATACTGAACCTTTTATATGATAGGTTATTCACTATATCATCACACGTTATACTATATGTGTTACTTGAGAATGTCTGAGCGAGATGAAGACCGCAAGTAATTAAGCGGTTCTAACACTGACCGATTACTCACTGTATAGTCAGAATTTCAAGTCCTCCAATAGTTTATCCTTCTCAAAGAACAACACACCCTCATATTGTCCTTCAAGTAGACCCCAGTACTCCAATTGTTCCATTGCGTCTAGACACACATCATCTTTTGTTCGATCGGTATGTTGCTCGGCATCTTCAAGTTCCACAATAAAACTGTAGCAAGTCATCAGGAATCCGTATAATAAACTAAGGGGGCTCGCGTACCAATGTCTACTTTGGGGCTCCCATATAATATTTTCTCTTCGTGGATCCCAATGAGTGAAATGGCGGGACTGCAGTTCCCTGTAGGTTCGTTAGCAGGGCTCTAATTCGGACATGGTTCCACCTCAGAGTCTCCTGTCCCGTAATGTATAGCAAATACATACCATAACGCTTCAATGAAGGCAATCCGAATACGGTTGTGTTCCTCTCTTGGAAGTGTGTCGAAGCCATGTAAGTTCTCCCCAGGAACCTTCTGCATCACAATATATGCAATATACCCGCCTGGTAATTCATCGCTAGAGTCTTGTCTTTCGATAGCGTGCCCAAGAAGCTTAGGTATCCTCCTGCAGTCTTCTAATTGCGATAGATTATATATTTCGCGGTAAACACTATCACTAGGCTCAAAATACCTAAGGTTACTCCAAACCGTGATTCTATTGATGTTAGTCCAATTTGTTCCTTCCTTGTGGCCCTATCTTTATTTCAATCAACAGTGTAAACATACTGGTTTTTGACCTTTATGACATCGGGCGTATTGGAAGGTAGATCAACTCTTGTAGCTTCATAAACCTCATGTCGCTCATACGTAAAGCCACCTTGTGGGTCTTCCTGCTTCCGAATCTTGCTTGAGAGTTTTCTGCCGACTTTCCAGGCCTCGAATTCAAAGTCTAGTCGAGTATCAAATAGTGGTTTGTGACTATAAGTACTGGAAGCCATGGTTGTCGCTATCAAGGCGGTAATAGTGGGAACTCTGAGAACAGGGAGAAATCCGTAACGACCAACAACGTCACGTGGTGTGGCCTTGTTATTTTCGATCAGGGAAACGTTGTATTCTCTTTATGGTCATTCATAATGAGATAATGAATAACTGGTTTTGGTGCAGTCATAAATTTAGCTGCTTCTAATATAAGTTACATATTATCATGCATCGCTGGTTTGAGAACATAGATGTGGACATAATACTCATTAACAACAACAAATATATATCAAAACAGGAAATTATCACCAAGTCTTCAAGATAGCAACGCCACTATTTTCCCTGCTCCTCAATGTCTGTCATGAACAGTGCAATCCGAGATCAGAAGGCCGTAACTGACAATCTGGCTGCCTTGCTTGGCTTTCACGAGGCATAGTAGTGACCAGAAGAATGGGATGAAGAGAGGGCGATATTACCCATTTCTCGTCCCTCTCGTAAGTTGTCGTATGCTATATCTCCGAACTGGCTCCTACAAGCTCTACACCATGTTCTCCCCGAAAGCTGTCAACGGGAGACCTACAGTTGACATTTGAGTCTGACCACGACTCATGTGACTTCAGCTAGCGCCCGGGCATTGGGTGAGTCTCACTCAACAGCTTCACACACCTTAAGCTCTCCGTTTCGACTTCAACATCAACCATTTTCAAATACTTCGTCCTTTCTATCAGCCGAATCCTCCAAAATGGAAAGGAAAAAATGGAGAATGCTAGGTAAGAAATCCAACCCTTCGTAACCCACATATCTTTAACTAGAACCCTCGCCCAAATAACAGAGAACAACCCCGACGTAATGAACCAACTAGCAGCAAAGCTAGGCTTATCGCCGGAGCTACAATTCTACGACGTATACACCCTAGACGACCCCTCGCAACTCACACACATTCCCCGACCTGTCCTAGCCTTGTTGGTGATCATCCCACTTACACCAGCCTGGGACCAAAACCGCAAGGCCGAAGACGCTAACAAAGAAGAACCCTATCCTGGCTCCGGCCGCCCTGATGAGCCCGTCATCTGGTTCAAGCAAACCATAGGCAACGCATGTGGCCCAATCGGCCTGCTCCACAGCGTGATAAACGGTCCGGCTGTTGACTTTATCAAGCCTGATTCCGATCTCGCGGAGATACGCAAGCAAGCTATACCGCTGGATATGGACAAACGCGCTGAGATGCTGTACAACAGTGAGGCGTTTGAAGTGGCTCACAAGTCAGTCGAGCAGGCTGGTGATACCGATGCAGATCTAATGAATGATCGTCATGGTGGGCATTTTGTTAGTTTCGTCAAGAGTGGCGGGAAGCTCTGGGAGCTGGAGGGGTCGAGGAAGGGGCCTCTGGAGAGGGGAGATCTTGCTGAGGGTGAGGATGTTCTTAGTCCACGGGCGCTTGATATGGGTATAAAGAGGATTATCAATTTAAATGCGGATGAAGGAGGAAGTCTGCTTTTCAGTTGCATTGCTTTGGCTCATAAGGCCTAGAGCCATGCTCAATGCTCAATTGATATAATGTGTACGGAGTACTACTACGGCGATGACTGTAATCTGCATTCCTATTGGTGGTGAAGTCCCGCCGCTGCTCTAGATGATGACTAATGCTCACCTCGGCTGTCGCCGGCTCCACCAGCAAAGTCAGCTAGCGCAAGCGAGGACCCACCGGCAAGGTATAAAATGCGGCTTCCCCCCCAAAGATTTTGAAAATCAAGCGACTCTACGTTAGTTTCCCTCCCCCCTACATTGGGATGTTCCCACTGAAGAATCATCTGCTAACCACATTTTTGCCTACAGTTCAAAGAATCACTTTAGAGTAGACGTCCCACCTCTGAGCTCTTCTAAAGAGCCACAGAATCTCCACCCTTGCTGATGACTGCTATGTCCTCGATGCCCTAAAGTGAAGCCGTTTTTTACTTCCGATTCGACTTCGCATTTGCACGCTCTGTTACGATCTGTCGTCAGATAGACTTGTTTCGGGTGTCGGTGCGATGGTCCAGGGAGTGGTGATGATCTTTACCTTGTCATGATGTCTTGACTTCGGTCGGTCGGACTTGGTGGGTGTCGAGGAGGTCTGAAAGGTGTTCCTCTTTCTTTTATCATCTTTTGTTTTATTCTAAAAAAATTAAATAAAAAATTCAAAATGGAAAAGCGTCTCAAGAAGCGGCACTCAAAGCTTTTTTCGTAGTCATAATTGTCATTTGTTCTGCTTTAGTGTCTCAAAAAAGATTACAAGCCCCCGTCAGTCCACGTTTATCTGTAACATGACGGGCACCACCTTGTGTCAATACTATCTTGCCACAGCAACCCTATGTTTCAGTAAAACAGCGAGATCTCCCTTTCCCGTTTTGTCCGAGGAATCTCTGAATGGGTTGCCGAGAGCCCGAAAACGCTTTGAGAACATATTCGACAGTCTGGGCAGTATAAGCCAGCATCTAGCGGAAGTTGCACACGCACACACACACACACACACACACACACACAAACAATCATGGCGTCTACCTAGTATCTGTAGTTCGAACACGGATTTAGTAACTAACCAATGTCTTATTAAACCAAGCTCTGAGAAAATCATAGCCCCGAATTCTCCGGTCCACTATTGTACTGACCGTCCATCAAACATTTCTCGCTAGTCGCTCACTTTCCGCAGAAATGTGCTGCTACCTTTTTTTGTTCCTGCCGTCTGCTGTCCGCTCGTTTAGGTTCATAACTTTCCCTCTGGGTCATAGCCAAATACTGGGTGAAAATCAGCTATTTGCGCCCTCCCTTCCGGAAGGAGTGCGACGCCGCATCCCGAGGATCTTCAGAATACGTTTTTGGGATCGCAGCAAGCGGGTTCTGAAGGAATGGATAATAACCCGTAGTAATGGGCTCCATTAGCAACCCAGGGGCCGGTAACGGCAGGTAGAGGTTGGGCGCTTTTTTCGGCTCCTGCAATTTCGCTTTATTATCGTGTCTGGGTATTTCAAGATCCTTCATTAGAACTTGCGATGGATGTTCTAGATTAGCGTACGCTGTTTGATACTCTTGGCTCTGAGTCTCTCGGGTGTTCAGAAACTCCCAGAGGTTACGCACGAGCCTCGTATGATGTTCTTCCTGCTCATCGTTGAGGTGAGACAGCTTCTTTACCTGATCAGTTCGAATCAGATGGAACTTTTGCTGAGAAAAATCTAACGGATGAGGCTCGCTTGAAGTAGCTTCTAAGCCAGGCGATGAAGTCCCACTGGTCAATGAACACTTGTCTGGTCGCATGGGAGACGAGCGAGGGCAATGATGCATGCGGTATGCTCTTGTCTCTTGAAAGCTTCCTTGGCAGATACCGCACAGTAGAACCAGCGGCATTCGCTTAAGAGGGAAAGCGGGTAATTCTCTTTCTTGTCTCTCGTGGGTTTCTGCAATGTGCTGTTCAAGGTGTCCCCTTGAGACGAACCGTATAGTAGCTCTGTAACATTGGGGAAAGGAGCATGCAAAAGGTCTGTCATGCCTGTTCATATGACATTTTCTATCCTGAGGGTTCTGAAAGCCCTTGTGAAAGAACTCACAACTCATCCTAGGACATTTATAGAGGCGTTCGCCATAGAAATAGTACAGTTCTTTGAAGTCGAACTGCCTCCTTTCCAACCTCTCTGAGACAGCAGCCCTCTCAACAGTTTCCCTGATGCGAGAAATAACATCAGGTATATCGAGACAATCATTAGAGGCTGCTTCCTGAGTGAAACAGTTTATCTGATTCTGCGTAGAGACAAAAGCATCCAGAAATTTCTCAGAAGCAGACCAAAGTTTGTGTTCCTCAATTCGCCGAACCAGCTCGTGTGCAGAAGAGGGAATGTAAACTTCCTTCTGCAGGGGCCGGTAGTGTGAGTCTAAGAATTTTCGAAATAACATCGATTAATTTCACAGCATGCTTCCTGTCGATGGTGCACTTGAGACCCTCCTGGAGATGCAATGACCAAAAGCAGACTGCGTAGTCCAGAAATGCATAATATCCAGTACTTATGAGGTCTTCAGTAGACTCTTATGAGAGCGACATATCAAAGCCTGGTAGTGCCAGGTAGCCCACACAAAGTGAAGCCATACTTAACTCCACATGTCTGATATCGATGAGGTTTGTGCGGATAAGGAAGCTGTAGCAGGTAATGTTAGACTAGAGATAATGCCCGTGAAGGATATCAAGCGCATGGCCAAAAGCCCTCCAGCTTAAAGATAAGGGACATACAGCTTTGCGGTTCCATGAACAAGCTCAAGAGACCCATCAGTCCTCATTTCGACGAGCGAATCACATAGATCTTTAGAGTCAAGTATCCATTGACGATTTCGGAGATCAACATCTTCGGCTTCGAGGTCGACTGATACCGCACCCTGTATCTCCCGCCACTTAAGTTGACGCTTTGCGCATACCAGCCACCCAAGTAGCTGAATCGCATAAGAGCGGGAACCGTGGTCTTCGAGAATATTGTTCAGAATTCGATCGTATCTATATCGAGACCCAAAGTCTCAGCCTTAACCGTTGTCTACCGAAATGGTAAGATGGAACTCACGCCTGATCAAGCTGACTTGGTATGTCCTTGGTTTTCAGTTCGTTAAACAGAGAGCTTGCTGACACTTGACAGTATAGGTTGTTCATTGCAAGTTTTGCGAGAAGAAACATCCCTGATTATCACTATTGTCAGGATAAGACCTAATAGCTCACAAAGCCTCACCGGAACTTACCCCCCGCCTTTCCCATGACAAGCTCTACTATTGCTTTTGTGTCTTCATCATCTAGCTGGAATTTGTTCTGAATATCGGAGCATCGAGATGACACATACGCAAAAATATCGTCACGTGTATCCTTCGAAGTAATTTCCAGGCTTGGGATATGACGCAAAGCCTTGGAGGTGATGCTATCCTTTTGTGAAACAATAGCACAGATTATGGAGTCTGAACTTTGGGGATTCCGCTGATGATCAATTATCTGGAGGATCCATTCGAGGATCTTCTTCCTTTCAACTTTGCCGCATTCATCAACCCCATCGAGGATGATACAAGTATAACCGGTATTCTTGATCATTACATCTAGTAACTCTTTGGCTAATTTCTCCGATGAGAATGATTGCTTACCTTTGCGACACATCTCTTCGTAGACGTATGGTAGCAGATCAGTATCTCTCGCGAGTGTCTGTGAGATGAGACTAGCCGCAAAGCAAAGGAAGGAGTTTCTTTGTGCATCGCCATTCCTGAAATAGAACCAAATCGTAGATTCGTGACTATTTAGGCAGTATTCAATGATAGTCGAGGCTAGGATAGTCTTCCCTGTAGTAGAGGGTATCAGTAGAGCTCGACTTAATGTTAAGATCCGAATATTACCCGCTCCTGGGATGCCATTCACCCAGAGCAACGGCTGCGTTGATCCTTTTTTCCACGAACAGTATTGTTGATGATGCAAAATCCAACTTCCGGTTTGTGTTTTACCTATTCGAGCACTCGTAAAAGCATGCTGGTCGCTTGCGACGTCTGCGCTATTCAGCCAATTCTGGATCTCCCTTAGCTGACCCAGCTTTTCCTTATTGCGCAGCTTTTCAAGTTCTTCTGATGCTGTGATCACTTTTGAGCGGATGTCCTCGAGTTGTACGAAAGTCAGTCTGTCTTCGAAGACTTGTTTATGGCGCTTGAAGCTCTCCACAACTGGTCCAAACCTCGCTTTATATGTAGACCAAGTAGCTTGAAAGACCTGCTTCCACACTTGATACAATCGAGAATTAGTACTTTGCTCGCCATTAGATATTGATTACTCACTCGGCTTCCTGAAATAAGCAAGCGCTATTTCATGAAACGCAAAAATATCGTGAAACATAGACTCTACGGCGCGTTGGACAAGGGTCTTTCCATCAATCAGGCCAATACAGCGTTCGAGAAGCTCTAGGCCTTCTCCAATAATCTTGTAAGTCTCTAAGAGTTCGTTGAATGCTTCAGATACAGAGCTAGCAACCTGCAACATTTCAGCAATCATGAAGGCTTGGTGGTTAGAATTGAACAGTACCTGGAGCAGAAACTTCATCGGCCCCTGTTCGACCATGTAAGCTAGGTAACTTTGTGTAGACTAATTAAGTGATAGATACCCAAACAAATGCGAGAATATTAGTCGTATTCAAAAATACCTCTATAACTTCACCGTATCTCTCCATTATACCAATGAAGCTGGAAATGCGTCGCATATTCTGCATCCTTCTTTCTGTCGCTTGCTTCGTTTGAATTTTGGCGATGGAGCTTTTAAGATCCGTCAAAGATGTCATCTCAAATTCTGCCACCAGGCCGGGCCCTGACTGAGTCTTGAATGAGTTCAGGGCCTGCTGGAAGCAGGCTGATGTTTCTGTCTCCATGACTTCAGTTCTTGCTGTTGGTTGCTTAGATTAACGCACTATTTCCTCTACCTTTTATCCCAAGATGACTGTTATAACGTGGAAAATTCCCTGGGGCAATTGGGCAGCAAGGTGGCAGTGTAGTAGCACAATGTTGGGACCATTGGAAAACTCTGCGGTCAGACAATGACAGGGATCTCATGGGAACTGCGCCTTGCTGGATCGTTTCCCCGAAAACAGACGCTGACAGGACGCTGCATCTACAAGTGCGGAATATATATTCACAAGTGAAATCCCATTTCCATATCGCTCTTTAGGCCTTTTGTGCTGTTCTCTACACCAAGGGCAAGGGATGGCGGAAGATCAAATGACTCGCGGCATCAAGCGGATAAGGCCCAGCCTCTGCGATGGGCTGTGCTCTTCCGCGCCCCGCAAAAAAAGACAGGAACGAAATGAACTTGAAAAATGTTATCCAGGAGAGGAGGGCCACTATAATGGGCAGCAGTCGAACAATGTTTTCACAAATGAACAGTCTTCGCAGCTGTCGTCGCATGATCATGGCGACACTGGATTCTACCCCCTTCCAAACCTTGCACAGCAGGCAGAAAACACCATGGCAGATGCAGAAGATCTAGAAGTCTGCTTCGGTTCTGTATGTTTCTTTTCCTTCCTGTTCGTTCCGTTGCTGACCGGATAAGATTTGCAACATTGCTGCACAGTTCCTTAGAGGCCCTCCAACGGCTTGCAGCTCTTTATCCTCGAATACAGTTGATGCCAACCAGGATAGAATTCATTGCCTTGAAGTGATCCTGGGATCTGAGAACTGTGTGATATGTTCCCCATTTGCAGAGGATGTGGTAGGTCTCATCAACCTAGGAGTCTCCAACACCCTGAGGAAATTATTCAGAATCGAGAGAATTAGACTGGAAATTTGTCTCTCTCACTCAGAATGGGATTCTATGGCACTTTCGGAGTCACTCAGCGCCTGGGAAATGAATGTCGATATCGTTATTTTCGGGGCGCGGAAAGATGCTTTATTGGTCGGTGATTACTTATCATCCCAAGCTTTATTTCTTCAAGATCCTAGTTTTCCTTACGATGTTCAATATGAGAATCCCCATCGGTTTCCCGTCACGGATATGTTAGATGAAGAACTCGATAACGAAGCCTCCGAGGTGAATAATGACGGGCCCTTTTCTATAAACAGAACAGCACCTGCTCCTGTCAATATTTCCAAGAAAACCTTGCAATATCTGCTGGATAATCTACAGGAGCACAACTACATTCAGCAAGTCCAGCCCGATGAGTATTTGGTTATTTCGCTATTTAAGTACGAATTGAAAATGTATATCTCTCTGTATGTTACTTACATAAATTGCAGTCACCAGAAACAGGCTGTTGACTTCATGATACGTCGAGAAACAGGTCGAGCAACATCTTCTTTATCACTCTGGAAAGTCTACAATGACAGGAACGGCGAACAATAGTAAGTAGCCAATTAGAAGCATGCTCTATACACTCATTTGATGTGACCTCCTTCAGTCATTGTCACACAATTACAGGCAACCTCTTTCTTGAAGCATCAGTTGGCCCTTTGGGTGGCATCCTTGCGGATACGATGGGCCTCGGGAAAACAGTGACAACATTGTCCACCATTGCTAGCACCCTTCATCACGCCAGGGAATGCAGCGAAAATATTAGTACCCATCGGTCAGCCTGCACAAGAGTAGTAAAAGCCACACTGGTTGTTGTCCCAAATGAAGGTGAGATGCGACACTGACACACAATTCATGACGCTCGTTCTTACTATCCAAGCCTTGATGGAACAATGGCTCGGTGAGATCCGCGAGTAGGTTTTCCACAGATCCCCAATGAGCTTCATTGAGTATAGTTCTAATTTTAACAAGTAAGTTTAAGCCGGGAACTTTTGAACCCTGCAAATACCACGGTGCCTCGCGCCAAGTCCACTTTCCCACCTTCGAGGACTACGATATTGTGTTGACAACATACGGAACTATCAGTACGGAGTTTACTGAGAAGGAAAGTCCAATATTCCAAACAACCTTCTTTCGCATCGTTTTGGATGAAGGTACGATCATAATTACTAACAGCGTAATGATCCTTGATAACAAACAATGTCTAGCACACCACATAAAATCACGGTCCACGCGGGTCCATGAAGCGGCATGTAATATCTCAGCAGACAGACGCTGGTGTCTCACTGGGACCCCAATACAGAACGATCTCGATGATCTTGGTGCCCTGGTGTCTTTCCTTCGTGTCCCACTACTTGAAGACCGAGAGGTTTTCCGGAAGCACATCATCAATCAAACCTACAATATAGGCAGCGATCGCTTTGAAAACCTCCGTTTATTGCTTGGCTTTATATGCCTTCGTCGATCAATGAGCCTTGGAATGCCTGTGAAACCAACGATCAACAATCTGGAGTTGGACTTGGCTCCCGAAGAAAGGGAAGCATACAATAACATACTGGACTATCACAATCGACTCATTGATATCTCAGTCAGCAAAGGGGGCTCCGTGGGTGCGTTCCAAACAGTTCTGCAGCTGCGAATATTCTGCAACAATGGGCTTTACAGAAAGAAGGACATCCGAGCCTCCCCTACCGCTCTCCTTACTTCTGAAGAGTACTTGAATTTTCTGCAAGAGAACCATGGATCTCAGTCTACTGGTATTGACAGTGAAACTCTGGCTCTTGGCTCATACATGTTCTCAGACTCTAAATTTTCTCCTGAATCCTCTAATTCGGTCGGCGAACCTTGCAGAATGTCCCTCCAAAGCAATAATATGCTGGACCTGGCAAAAATAGAAAGTCCTACCTCGGAGCTATTGCACACTCCTAATCTATTTAGGGAATCTCTGACCCCGGAGTACTTATCTCCGCAAACTCTCGAAGGGACGTTCTCAACCAAACATCGTGCCATTTTGAAGGCTATCCTTGGCCATATTCCGCAAGAAAAAGGGTATACCTAAGTCTCTATCCATCTGTGTAGCTACGCTAACCTCCTTTTTAGAATAGTGTTTTCAGCCTGGACCAAGAGCCTCGACATCATGGCAGAGCTGCTACGCCAGCACGACATTACCTTTGCCCGAGTAGACGGTTCCATGTCGTTTTCGCAACGTCAGCAGGCCTTCCATAGCTTCAAAACGAGCAGTCACGTGAATATACTCCTGATGACTATTGGCACCGGTGCGGTTGGGTATCTATTCCTCTTCCTAGACTGTCTTTACGTGCAAGATAGTTGATATTTAAGCAGACTCAATCTCTCCATTGCCACACGGGCGCATATCATGGAACCATCGTGGAATCCAATGGTCGAGCAGCAGGCAATCGGGCGCGTTGTTCGTCTCGGACAAAAGCGACCGGTGGTGATTACTCGGTATATTATGAAAGATACCGTCGAAGAGGTATTCGCCTTTCTATAAGTTTGGAAAAATATAGTACTAACTCCCCTCAAGAGTGTAGTGTCTCGCCAAGACTTGAAGCTCGACGTTGCTATGGGCGGCTTTGAGGGGAGTTCTCATGAGGTAGCTGGTGATGATGTATGAATTTATGAGAAGTACTGTCTGTCGATGTTATCACATATTTCATGTGTCTCCTTATTTTGTTGATTAGACGAACTAATCTGGTTGAACTATTTCCTTCACGAATGTCTCGGACTACAAATGGACGTGGATATAACCTAAGATTCTGTTGTATAGACTGCGTTTTGGATCGATATTCGGTTGTTGTACTTGGAGATATTGACGAAGAGCTAATAGGTTGAAATGACTAGGTATATCTGCCTGAGTGCTCAAGCAAATACAATTGTACTTGATCTACTAGAGTGTAATTAGAGAAAAAGAGAAATTTTGCTGCAGTACTATCAGAATCAAATGCATCGCTAGATAGTGTCAGTTGTAGAATCACTGGCCAAGGAATTTGTACTTCAACTTCTCATCCACCCGCAGCCCCGTGACCGTGACTGTCTGAACATCACCAGGAACAATATCCATCGCGCTATCGCTGAATTTGACACCGTCACGTTCCTCGAATACCAAACATTTGACCGGCCTCTCAGTGCTGATCTGGAACACCTGCTGATCAGCAGCTTCAGAAACCCTCTTTACCTCAAGTCCACGATTCGCAAAATCAAGATACTTGAAAGGCTGAGGCCAATCCACGTCTCGCGCAACAATTTTATCATCCACCCACAGTCGAGCAGCGAGGACGTGAGGTTCTGTATCAATGGTGTGGTCGATGATCCCGTCGGTGATAAGGTTTGTAGTGCCATTGGGCACTATGTCGACGTTTTCTCGCACGATCCGCTCCCGTATCTCTCGTCCAGTGTCCACGGAGAGGAATCTGAGCTCCACCTTTCCGGATATGGCCTTCTGTAAGGAGCTGACTACCCATAGCTCATACTTGCTTGTCTTTGGGGGTTGCGCGTGTGTGATGCTCCAGTCGTGGTGTTCTCGTCGTACACCTACGGCGACTGGGTTCAATACGCGGGCTACAGCGTAGTAGGCGGGCTTGGGCCGCAGGAAGTAGTCTACAATGGCCCAAGAGATAGTCGGCCAGCAATCATTCAGCTGCCAGAGTAGTGCACCGCCACAGTGTCTTTCGTCTCCCCATTGGCGACGCCACCCACGGTATCCGAACATCATTGTTTCGGCTTGGACAACCTGGGTGAGATAGATGTAGGTCTATGTTGGATGTGTTAGCAAGGCTGGTTAATCTGGGCAAGTAGGCACATACTTCGAGTTCAGTAGCAGTTCGCAGGTTCTCGACGAGGTAAGTAGCGATGCGACGTTCGTGTCCGTCGGCCTTGTTATGGAAGTCAAGAACATGCGACTGCGGGTATTTGTCTTTTTCGTTCTCGACGAAGTATTCGATCGTTGACATGTGCGGGAAAGCCTCCATGCCGAATTCGCTATTGAATCTGCCACCTAGCGTATCGAAGATCTGATACTTTTCCTGCGTGCCATGCCAAACTACAACCGTCAGTTTTTTGTATAGATTAGAGTGTGAGAGAATGTAGCAGACCATTCCATTGGTGCATATCGCCCACTGTGGGGTCTGATGTTACTTTCCCATCACCCCAAGGGCTACCTGGATGGTAAAACGTGGTCGGTGAAAGGCGCTCAACCACTGATGGCAGCAACTTTTCGTAGATGTATCGGGCGGGAAAGTCTGTCTTTAGCCAGTTTTCCGCGTTTTTATCTTCGTAGTTATATTCGAGACCGGCTTGTTCCTGGACTTGGTAATCTTCGTTGTTACCGACATAGACCACAATGGATGGATGATGGCGCAGGCGGCGGACGTTGTAAGCCGCCTCTTGTTCGATGGATTTCAATAGTTCGGGCCAAGTTGGGTAATTTCCACATCCAAACATAAAGTCCTGCCACACTAAAACACCAAGCTCATCACAAGCCTCGTAGAAACTGTCATCTTCGTAGCAACCACCACCCCAGACCCTGGAAGTTGTTAGTCCCAATTCTACATTTGAGCAAGGTAACAGACCTAATCATGGCTTGGCGGCCGGCAACCATCAGCTCGATCCATTTTCGATATCTCTCCGGAGTAATGTTGGGAAGTAGGTTGTCTGCAGGAATCCAGCATGACCCGCCACAGAATATATCCACGCCGTTGATTCGGAAGAAGAATGATTTTCCGTGCTTGTCAGGCCGCTGCACGACTTCTGCTGTCCTAATTCCAATCTTCTTGGTAACTCTATGGAGTTCAAGTTGATCGGTCTCCAATGAAGCTGAAATTTCGTAAAGAGTGGAATCACCATATCCGTGTGGCCACCAAAGGCGAGGCTGATCTATGTTGAACTCTACCTTTGCCCTCCCGTCTTGGGGTGTGGCTTCTGCTTGAGCAATTTGCTTGCCATGTAGAGTGATCGTGAAGTTGACCTTGTATGGGGGTTCAAGATCAACAAAGTCAAGCTCTGCAAATGCTGAAATAGAAGCACCCTTGTGAGTGGGGTCCAGATTGATCTCCGCCCAGAGATCTGCCAACCGTGTGGAATAAACTTCCAATCTCACTGCTCTCCAGATACCTGCCGTCATGAGGACCGGGCCCCAATCCCAGCCCCAATGGTATTGAGCCTTTCTGACGCTCATCCTCGCGGGATCCCCGTTGAAAGAGGCCCAGTTGTGTTTCGGGTCCTGTCTCCGAAGTTCCTGGGCACGCAGCATCGCACAATCAAATTCAATCTCCAGAACGTGCTCATCTCCGCAATCCAGAGCCTCGGTGACGTCTACTCGATAGGCCTGAAACATGTTATTGCTTTCTAGGATAACATTGTTATCAAGTTTGACTTTGGCAAATGTATCAAGGCCATCGAATGCCAGGACAATCCTCGATCCTGCAAGGACAGTTGGCCTTTGCAGTATCTTGCGGTATGTCCATGACTTGTCGTTGACCCATCGTGCGTCTAGTTCATTGAACCCCACGTATGGGTTCTCCAGCCTGAGCAATATCCAGTCTGTACGTTAGCGACGTTTGCCGCGAAAGATTCCGTAATAGTACGCACTTTCCATTCGCCTGTAGGTCCTGGTGAACGACAGACGGAACGACAGGAACTGGCATCCATGCGTCTGAAGCAAGGTCATCCCTATCTTTGAAATACCACCCTGTTGACAGAGTGTATTGCGCGAATACTGCCATGGTGGGGTCTTGGAGGGGGAAATTGATACAGGAACCGGCAATTGATTGCTGCTTCAACCCAATTTCAAGCCGGACAGTCAGAGCTCAATAAATAAGAAACCCCATAGCCTTTGAAACATACTACACAGCAATAGGTATGGATATAGTTGCATCCAGGGTCCAGGGTGAGGCTTTACAGAGTGGGTGCCTGGGGAAGCTATGCGGAGAAGTCCCCGCCTCCACGTGCTGCCATTTCCTTTTTGGGCGATCCCCTGACGGAGCACGGGGCCTTTCCCAATTGGGCATCGCTTCCTCTCCATCAACCATCAAATCTCCCACAGTCTATACTATTCTCTCGTTCTCTCATTGTCGTGTAAAGGCCACACAATGAAGCTTGCTATCATCTCCTGCTATCATTAGCCTCGGTACACAAAACATTTACATTTGCACTAACTAGGAATCCCTCTGTGACTAACACAATCATACTCTCCAAACCACTGTCTATCCGAAACCGCGCTGTGTCTACTGTGAGACATCTCGCTCCGACCTTACCCATTATGGCACGGCGGGTGCTCCGCACACTATTTTGGAATCGTCCTCCGGTGAGAGTCGTTCTTTATCGTCCGAAGATAGTACCTGACAGCTCTCAAGATCTCCAGATAAAACGATCGCCCGTCACCAACTCCCCAATGTCCACTTACCCTTTCTTTGCCCGCTTGGTTGCGGCCTTCAAGACGGTCCGGGCGCCCACCTTCCTAAGCGACCCATCAGACGGCAAGGCCGTCGCGAGGTAACATCCTCCGGTCCTTCGCCACTAGCCTACCCCTCGTCGCTTGGAATTACGACTCCTCACTCCTCCTCTCTTTGCACAAGAGCAGGAGTGAGTCAACTGCCTGAATCCTGAGCGCTAGTAACCGACGCACCCCTCCTTCTCGGCATTTTCGTGCCTGCTATCCATGATATAGGACCTCTGGGTAAAACGGCCCTGGCTATCCGATCAGGTGTCTCGCTGGCTTGGCGTGCATGTGAAAGGATAAAATGTCTCACTCTTGGCGTCTAGTGAAATTAGCCTGTTTACCACCGCTGCTATTGGTGAGTATTTCGGCGATTGGTTGTCATCTTCCCGACAAGCCGAGATGATTGTCGTGCACCGAATCCTCTGTCCCCTGAGACGGCTCGGTTCAGCCCGAGTTCTAGTTGTTGAAAACCTGACAAGACTGACTCACAGACGTGATGTGCACTGTCAGTCACCCCAGATCTACACCAAGCGATTCTGGAAGACTACTACCTCTGGTTGTATGGCAAAATTGCAAGTGCACACGAACTTCAGCAGGCCTTCCAAAGTTAGACATAGCCAGTCCCCCGACAAAATTGCTCCGGCATCTGACACCTGCACGGGATTTAATTAATTTTGGAAATGAGGAACTGGCCACCTCATGCGGGGTCGTGCATTTAATTGGCGGAGGCACATTTCACCCAGCAACCAAACTGGACGAAGACCCTGGAAGTGGGCATAATCTTGTATAAACCCCGATACATTTTTGCCCCTCGGACGACATGGTGTAGGGCGACCCAGGAACAGTAAGCTTCCAGGTCGCGGATGAAAGGATAGTTCACCAAGCACGCCGATTACATCCGGCGAACCTTATCAGACACACAGATGTTCTTACTTCTTGCCTGGCTATTAAGCAATCAGGTGGCACCACAATGTCTGAGCGTGGTGGACCGGCGTTGCTATACTCAGTCTCCCGCACTACTAGCTCTTGGGCTCAGGAGTAGCCGGCCCTAGCAGAAGCCCACTCCACTACTATCTTCTCTGGACCCCTGAGTTACACGTCTATCTTCTGAGCTTGATCTCCCATAGCTCGGTGTGATAATTCGTAAAATCGTATTGGGACGGTGCTGGGTGCAAGGGCAAATGCTTTAGATGTGGACTAGCGTACCAGATTTGTTTGGATCGGCCATCTATTGGATAGTCTCAACCTGGGGCAAGGCCCAGCATTTACAAGAGACAGAAAGAACACTCGGAGACCCGGGGCTCACCGAGGGCCAGTGATAGGTGGAAGGACGCATCATCATCACACTTAGGCGTGTATAATTCCACGCCGGACAGGGTTACTGGACCGATGAATTCAGGCGCCAGGAGAACAGACCACCATATGCTGTTTGCCGAGTCTGTGAGCGCATCACACAACCCTTCTCGTACCCTGCGTATAATTAGGCGCAGGGTTGAATATAGTAGGCAGCCAACAGGGTCTGCAGGTCGGTTCGTCTGCCAGCATGCAGAAACCAGACAGAAACGGTCGCATCCTGCATAAAATAAATTAAAAGGACGAAATGCGGGGGTGGAGGCCATGCTGACCACTGGTGACCTGCGAGGGTCCTCGTCCAGGAACTTCCGTTGTTGGGCACCTCCTGCTTTCTCTCGGTGCAAACCGTGATGTTCCCAGCGTCAACGCTGCCGATGATCGTCTAACCCCGAGGCTGGCCTGCTCACTTCCCCAAAACAGGAGCTGAGATCCCGCGTGGATATATTGTGTTTTTCTTCCTCTTCACCGTCTTCGTTTGATGAGCCTTTCTTTGCTTTTCTCCTAGTTCTACCTCATTGTTTCCCCGGACAATGACCACTGCAGCAACTAACTGATTACCTGCATAACTGATTCGGACTACTTGCCCGGTCTATTCGATCCACTTGCTATTTCCCCATCTGACAAACAAGGATCCCTGCCCTCCGGTGCATCTAACCTGCTGGTCTCCCTGCGACTCGGTGCCAATGGCCCTTTCGAGTTAATCTCGCCACCCTAAAGTGTCTCAACGGGTACACTTCCCGACTATCCGACAAGCAAAAGTCTCCAGCAAACTATCCCCCGATCGCAAAGCAATGTTTCACACGTTCGAAGGGTTCGAGAACCCAACTCTACCGACTACTGTGCGCGGACGCAACCAACGTCAACAATCTGTCGGACGCCGAGTCACTACGCTCCGGGCCTGCACATCTTGTCGGCACCGAAAAATTAAATGTGACGGAGAAAAGCCATGTGAAGCATGCAGATGGTATAAGAAAGCAGATTTGTGTCAGTACTCTGATCCTCGGCCATCTCGCAGGTGTGACTGTCCCCTTCCTCCACTGCAGCCGCGATCGAGGGACGACTCGAAACTAACAAATGTATCAATCAAGCAGGCATGTGGAGAAACTATCGACCACACTCGATGAATTTAGGGGAGTGCTTGACAAGCTCTTCCCTGGCATTCCAGCGGAGACCCTGGTCAACTTGCCTCGGGACAAGCTCTTGGAGCTGACAGGCAAGGGGGCTTCCCAGATGCAGACGCAAGCGCCACACCCGGCATCCCCAGCAACCTCGGCATCAGTGGAGGCTCACGCATCTCCGGCATCCAGCGAAGACGGCAATCTCGAGTCTTTACAAACCATACCCGATCACACAACTGATGATCGCGAATTGCAGTGTTCCGAGCTCACGGGTACCGTGTCCGACGATGTCAACGCTTTATCCCTCTCGGCCAAACAGCCATCCTCCTATTTGGGTGTCTCTTCCATCCATGCTGTGTTGAAGGTGATAGTATGGCTGGAGCCGAGCTCCCTCTCTCACCTGTCTCGCGCACCTGCCACAGGAGTTCGTCGGGATTCTGTCATGGAAATTGCTTCTCCAGAGGCCCAGGCCTGGCAGGTCTTTGGGTCTCAGCCGCACCATGGCACATCAACTGTGCTCGAGTCTCAACTGCTCGACGCCTACTTTACCTACTTTCAACCATTTGTCCCAATGCTGGACGAACACTCTTTTCGCCAAACGTATCTTTCTTCACGCAGGAAGGACAAGCAATGGCTCGCATTGCTGAACATTGTCTTTGCTTTGGGCAGCATAGCAGCCACCCCTGCCGGTGACATGTCTCATCAAACATATTATATGCGGTCAAAGAGACATTTAGATTTGGAAAGCCTTGGTTCACCGCACGTGGAAACCATTCAAGCTCTGGGCCTCATGGGTGGCTATTACCTCCACTATAGCAGCCAGCCCAACCTCGCGTACTCCATGATGGGGGCGGCATTGCGCATGGCCGCAGCTCTGGGCTTGCACAAGGAAGTCTCGGATGGTCAATACGGCAACAGCAGGAATAGGTTATTTTCAGTTGATCACAAACGTCGAGTCTGGTGGTCTCTGTTCTGTCTGGACACGTGGGGTGGCATGACCTTGGGCCGACCGAGCATGGGTCGACTGGGTCCAGCGATCACCGTTAAGTTGCCACATTATAGGGAAACAGTATGTCTTCACTTTTTTTGATTTTCTTTTCTTTCTTTGCTGACCTATTAGGGGAATGTGCTCGATCTTCTACCACTTCTGGAAAATGTTCGATTCTGCAAGATCGCGACACAAATCCAGGAGGTGCTGGCTGTAGCACCGTTGACAAAGCCTCACGAAATGGCAAATCTTGATAGCCAGCTTCTCGAATGGTATGATAACCTTCCGTATATTCTCAAAGACCACGAGCCATGCTCGGAGTCAATCGCAATTACGAGAACCGTCATGAAATGGCGATATTACAATCAGCGGATGCTCTTGTACCGCCCTACCCTGCTCAGCTACGCCATGCGGCGCGTACCATACATTGTGCTCCGGTCTGAAGAAAGGACAGCTATTGAAAGATGCAGGGAAATTGCCGAGGCTACCATACAGGATGTAGCTGCCAAGGCACAATTCCATCAGATGTCAGGCTGGAATGCAGTATGGCTTATCTTCCAAGCTGCAATGGTTCCTCTTCTAGGGCTGTTTCTCAACGATGGTACAGTTGATGATCCAAGAGCGACAGCTGAAGCGTGTCAGGCTCAAGTGGAAACGACAATGCTAGTCCTGGAGCGTTTGGAACCGTGGAGCCCAGCCGCCAAATCGACGCTGGAGGCCGTTTCCCGGATATTTGAGGCCGGTAAACGGGGCCACAAGGTCACCGGGGAAGCCCACAGCATTCACAGCGGTAGCTGTGTGACGGCTACTGAAGATCTTGGCGCAGTGCCTGGGGTATCCCCGCTTCAAATCGACTTCGGTCGCGCAATGCCACACGAGAATGGATTTGTGGATCCGTTTGAGCCCCAATTTATCAATAATTCTGCTGGGCAGTATCTTTGGGACTTTCTTAGCTGGAGCGACAGTAACTTGTTGCAAGGTTTGGCTGATATTGACAATGTCAACAACGCACCACTGTTTCCTCAGGAGGAAAGGAATACAAAGTATGGAAGCAGCGAGAGTACTTATTTTGGAGGTCAATTGGGAGATTCAACATTTTTCATCAATTCAGGGCCGTCTTTCTACTAGGTTGGTGCAGCCTCATCGCTGCTGGTGTTCAATTCTGTCACATGGTGTTTTATTTTTCGCTCGCTTGGTACTTGTTACAGTTCATTCACTATCTTAGCGGTTTCAGATTACATAGTTATTCATGATTGATGCATTTACGGGCGATTCGGAGGATTTGTGCCGAGAACATGGTATCAGGATAGCAGAAGGTACTGCTTAGCAATATATTTTCAACCTTGAAAGGTACAAACTAGCTATGAGTCAACACATGCTAATAAATTCTGATAGAGGTGGGCACCACTTCATTTTGAATCAAGACTAAAAAACACAGATATCGAATAAATCCAGGTAGTTTAATCCCCGCGTCAGAAATGTAAGGCGTAATCAAAAAAGAAAAATATTTCGAATGAGATCCTCAAAGTACACAGCTTCCTAATCGGGCAAGATCAACCTTTTGCTGACTCAGCATCGAACCGGTCACGTTTCCTCGCGTCGGGATAGCTCCATCTAACCAACCAGAACCCACGATGCCCACCAAATAGACATAGGATGGTGAGATCAGCCGGATCTGTACATACTAGCTACTACCATATTGTCCCGGCGACCTACAACATCCTATCCAGCCGAGATCCTCACCACCAGGCTGCCACAGGAGTAAGCTATCACCGATGAAGTAACCAACCACAACACCACCATCAAAATGCCCTCCAAAATGGCATCATCATCATCATCATCCTTCTTCCAATCCCCCACCCTAGTCTACACCTCCGCCATAGCTCTCCGCGCCATTCTTCTCATCTACGGCGCCTGGCAAGACGCCAACTCCGCTGTCAAATACACCGACATCGACTACCTCGTCTTCACCGACGCAGCCCGCTACGTCTCGCACGGCGCCTCGCCCTACGAAAGAGACACTTATCGCTACACGCCCCTCCTAGCATGGCTACTCCTCCCGACCTCCTGGTCCGGTCCATCTCTCCTCTTCTCCTTTGGAAAAGCCCTCTTCGCCCTCTCCGACGTTATCGCCGGATGGCTCATCGCTAGATCCCTCGTCTCTGCGTACGGAATGGACGCTCCTCGCGCCTTGAAGTACGCTAGTTTCTGGCTTCTGAACCCCATGGTCGCGAACATCAGTACCCGGGGTTCCTCTGAGGGGCTGCTCGGTGTGCTGGTGATTGCTCTGCTTTGGGCGGTTCTCCGCAGGAGAGTGGTTCTGGCGGGTGTGTTGCTGGGACTGAGTGTGCATTTTAAGATCTACCCGTTCATCTACGGAGTGTCGATTATTTGGTGGTTGGATCGGGGACGAGATGGCAGCAGCAGCAGCAGCAGCAGCAGCAGCAGCGCGTCTAAAACCACTGCTGGAAGTAAAGATACCAGCATCGTCACCAAGTTGATCAACTTCATCACTCCCCCACGCATCATCCTCACCTTGACTTCCCTCATCACCTTCACTCTCCTCAACCTCCTCATGTACCACCTCTACGACACCCCCTTCCTGCAACATACCTTCCTCCACCATCTCACGCGCATCGACCACCGCCATAACTTCTCCCCCTACAGTACCCTCCTCTACCTCTCTGCTGCAGGCGAGGTGCAGGGGAATTTTGAGTCTTTGGCGTTTATCCCGCAGTTACTTCTCTCTGTTGTGGTTATCCCGCTTGTCCTGGCGAAGAAGAGTCTTCCTGGGGCGATGCTCGCGCAGACGTTTGCGTTTGTTACCTTTAATAAGGTTTGTACGAGTCAGGTATGCACCCCCTCCCTCGCTAGTTTAGTACGACAAAAGCAGAGCTGATAGGAATTGTTACAGTATTTCCTCTGGTACCTCATCTTCCTCCCCTTCTATCTACCGGGTTCTTCGTTGCTGAAGGCTCCGCGGTTTGGGGGGGTTGTGGCGGTTGCGTGGGTTGTTGGGCAGGTATGTTTATCCCTATCACATCACTTTCACCTTCTCCTTCTCCTTCATTCTTATATCTTAAGTTTATGGATGGAGCTGATTAATGTGTGGCAGGCACTGTGGCTGCAACAAGGATATAATCTTGAGTTTCTGGGGCTGAGTAGTTTCATGCCCGGGTTGTTTTTGGCTTCGTTGGGGTTCTTTGCGGTTAATGTTTGGATTCTGGGGGTGATTGTTGAGGATGGGGGGGCTTCTTCTTCTTCTTCTTCTTCTTCTTCTTCTTCTTCTTCTTCTTCTTAGTTGGGTGGTTGTTTGTTTCTTTCACTAGGGTAGGTCGGTTTAGGGTGTGGTGTGGTTATGGGGGATGGTGTTGTAATTACTTATGGGAGATAGATGGGAGAGGTATGTTGAGTGTAGTGGAGTTGGGTATGGACTGTATAATGAGCATGATGTTGGTCAGGAAAACATTGGAATTACAAATTCATTTTAATTTATTGGAGGAAAGATCATGTTTGAATTCAAGGTTATATTCAACTCATATTTACTACTGAATTACGTATGTTCCAGGTCCTCAATGGATGTATGCCACCTCAACACTTAAGTTGGAAGACACAAATCTAGTACGTCGCTGGTCAGAATAATCCGCTCAATATCAGCACTTCTTCGGCACAACCACAGTCATGGAAAGACTGGATCGCAATTTGACATCCGTGCTAGTTCGACTTGCAAAAACCATAGAGACCTATGAAGGGAAGAAGAAGGTAATAAATTAGTATAGTAAATAAGCGGGTAGGCAGAAGGTATAAGACATAAGCCCCGCAGCTAGTAGATCAATCAGTCATAACTCCGTAGAATGCATTACAGCTCTTTCTTTGCGCGGACTTCCCTGGGTGGCCGAAAGTTGCCGGACCGCAGCTCCTGCCACGCCAGGTCGAATCGTGCACCAAGTAGCCAGGCAGTGAAGATCTAGTCTGGTTAGCTGGTTTGGAGAGAAGGTGAAGTGAGGCACATACCATAACAATCGAGGTGATGAACACAATCACCACCATGAGACCCATCATAAAGTACATGTCCTTACGGGTCTCCGCGTGCTCCTCGGCCTGCTTCTTCTCCGCCTCCGTCAGCTCGCCAGTGATACGACGCTTGGCAGCCTCGGCATTTTGGCTGGGGAAGATGGTTTCGATCCATTTTTCAATCTAAGATCGTTAGCGAGGGTCAACAAAGTAGATATAAACAGGAACATACCCGACCACAAACAAGGCTGATCTTAAGGAAGTTAGGGTCCTTAGGAGTGTTCTTCTTGTGAATCTTGCGCGCATACTTGCGGAAGGCAGCACAGAGAATACGCAGGTTCTGCGTGGACTCAAACATCAGCTGGCAAGCCTCACCCTTGGTGATCTTGATGTTACGCTCGAAGATCGCGGGGTTGCGGAAGCAGAGTTCCAGCGTGGCAATGGCCATGGATTGCGGAATAGCGCAGAAGTTGAACACACTCTGCTCACGCAGACCAGCCAGGTAGAACAGGCAGTCTTCGACGTGTTCCAAAGCATTCAACACCATCTCGGAGCTGCAGTTTAGTGCAGCTTCGCGGTGCTCAAGCTTGAACAGGTCTTCAAACTTGGTGACGTGCTTGGACCAAATCTCTTTGGGCCAGAAGCGACGTCCATCATCGTCGTCCTCTCGGATGTCTCGGATGATGTTGGTCTTTTGGAGGAAGAGTCCCATGGACTTGTGCAGACGCGCGCGTTCCAGCAGGGCAGGGTTACCAAACTCGGCCTCGACGAAGAGGCGCGTCAGTCCTTCACCGACCAAGCCAGCGACGTAGTAGCAGTACAGGTCGTATTCCTCGACGGTGATCACGCTGGCGTCATCAAAGGCCGCCTTGCGACAGTAATCGGCCATACCGTTGCCCATCTTGTCGGTGATGTCCTTGATGATGGCCTGGTAGGCGGGTTTCATCTTCTTGAACTCGGTGATGACATTGTGAAACTGAACCAGCAGCTCACGGTCCTTCTCCTCGGGGCGGTTGCCATTGAAGGTCCAGCCATCCTGTTCCAGGAAGTCCTTGAAGCCACGCAGCAGAGGTTCCTTTGTTTCCAAAGGAATCGACGTGTCGTCTTCAATTGTGTCTAGCCCGCGAAGTGTGAGGTAGAAGACGCAGACGGGCATCAAGAGCTCGGGGTGGAGCTCTTTGATGACGGCGCTGAAGCTCCGACTGGTCAGGTCGAGGAATTTGAAGCAGGCCTTCTCAGTCTCGGTCTCGTTCTTCTCATTGCGCTCATGAACCGGGGAGTGCCAGATCTTCCTATGACCACGGGCAAAGCCTTCGTAAGCGTTGGCACAACACACTAAACCCCATCATAGCCGGTCGAGGACAAGGGCCGGAACCAACCATTGCATAATCGACCTCAATTCCGAGGGATGAAATGTGTAGTAGATGGCATTCGATGCGAGACCCATGGTGAAGGGTAGATTACGATCGAACGGTCAAGAATGACGGGATGGAAAAAAGAATTAGGGTAAAATGGGAATTATTACACGTAAGAAGAAAGGGAATGGAAGCAATGCGGAGAATGACCGAATCAACGGAATTCGCGAAAGAAAGGGATGGGATGGTACAATAATGTACAAGCACAGCGAGCGAATGCCTCACTGGCTGAGGAGGATGAGGTGGAGAGGAGACGGGGAATCCAGTCAAGCAGACGGAGGAATGTAGGAGTAAGAGGGAAGGAGGAGGGAGAAGGAGGAATAAGCAGAAGACGAGGAAGGAAAAGAAAGAAGAAGAAGAAAAGAAAGCGAAAGAAGGGAAAATTTTAAAGGCCCGCTTGAAAGGCGGCGCGGCTAGCGGCTCTGGCTGGCGGCTGAGCGCGTGCAGGCGCAGATGCCGGTATTACCACGGCAGTACACAGATACATGACATGTTTGTAGTATAAAGTAGAGAATGCGACTATTGTATTACCATACGTGACAGCCTACCCGCCTCAGGCCATCTGCATTGGCAAGTGACTGTTTGGTCTCCCCGCCATGACGGAAGAAATCCAGCGGAAAACTAAAAGCCAAAATAACATCATTTAGGCAGAAAAAATTACAGGAGACACATCGAAACTGCCGTCTCTACCAGCCCGTCCTATTTCTGGTCGACATCTGTTTCTGCAACTCGCCTGCCGGCTGGCCTTGATTTTCTGCATCGGTGACCGCTAGATTGATTGCGTGGTTGGGTCCTGCTCACATTGCCCGCCATGGTTGCCGACACTTCCTACTACGACGCCCTCGGGGTGCCGCCCACTGCCACCGAACTCGAGATCAAGAAGGCCTATCGCAAGCTGGCCATCATTCACCATCCGGGTACGTTTGCAGCGGCCATCTGGCTGTCCAACGCTAACCGTCGTAGATAAGAACCCCGGCGATGAGACTGCGCATGCGCGATTCCAGGAGGTAGGTAGATACCTTGGTTTGTTTGTTGTCAAGAACATGCGCTGACTCCATCTCTACATGACAGATCGGTGAAGCCTACCAAGTTCTCAGCGATGAAGAACTCCGCAAGCGCTACGATAAGTTTGGAAAGGAAGATGCTGTCCCCGGTGGTGGTTTCGGTAAGACACATCTTTTCGCAGGAGGCGGTCGGATACTAATGCCATGCAGAGGACCCCTCGGAATTCTTTGGCATGATCTTTGGTGGCAACGCCTTTGTCGACCTTATCGGTGAAATCTCGCTCATGAAGGACCTCACCACTACTATGGACATCACCATGCAGCAGATGGAGGAGGAAGAACTGGCCGCATCCGCCGAGGAGAAACTGAACATCCACGATGAGCAGGAGCACGCTGAAGCCACTGCCGAAGGTGCTGCTCCAGCTGCATCCACCCCCGCCGAGTCGACGACTGCCGCTTCCGAGAAGCCCGCCGCATCCCCGAGCTCCGGCACGAGCACCCCCCGCCGCTACATGGGCCAGCAGGCCATCATGGATAAGTCGGAGGAAGAGGCACGCATGGAGGCAGCTGGTCTGTCCCAGGAGGAGAAGGAGCTGCGCAAGAAGGAGAAGAAGAAGGGTGGTTTGTCCCGGGAGCAACAGGAGCGTCTGGCGGCGTACGAGCTGGAGCGCAAGAAGGCGCGCGAGGAGCGCGTCAACACTCTGGCCACGAAGTTGGTCGACAAGATCAGCGTGTGGACGGAAACCGATAAGAGCCCTGAAATGACCCGAGCGTTCGAGGAGAAGATCCGTCTGGAGGTGGAGAACCTGAAGATGGAGTCATTCGGTCTGGAGATCCTGCACGCCATCGGCGCCACCTATGTGCAGAAGGCTACCTCTTTCCTCAAGTCGCAGAAGTTCCTCGGTATCTCCGGGTTCTTCTCACGTCTGAAGGACAAGGGTACCCTGGCCAAGGAGACCTGGACCACCATCTCCACCGCCATCGATGCGCAGATGACCATGGAGGAGATGGCTAAGCTGGAAGAGCGCGGTGGAGAGGACTGGACGGATGAGAAGAAGGCCGAGTACGAGAAGAAGGTGACGGGCAAGATTCTGGCGGCAGCATGGCGGGGCAGCAAGTTCGAGATCCAGAGCGTGCTGCGCGATGTGTGTGACCAGGTGCTCGGAGACAAGCGCATCAAGCTGGACAAGCGCATTGAGCGTGCTCATGCTCTGGTGATTGCGGGTAACATTTACTCCAGGGTAGGTCACTACATTTATCTACTGCAAGACTTTTGGTGTATGCTAACTGGTACAGGCTGAGCGCGATCCCGACGAGGAGGGCGACTTTATGGCGTTCGAGCAGCTGATGGCGGAGTCGATGACGAAGAAGGGCAAGGAGGACAAGAAGAAGAAGAAGAAGCACGAGCACCATCACGAAGAGCCTACTGCCACTGCCTAGATACCTTGCATAGTCTATTTTTGTTTTCAGACTGGACAGTTGGATATGTGTGTAGCGAGTATATCAGATCGTAATAGAGGAGCAGATACCAAGATTCTGTGTAGTAGCCATTAGTACTGTCGCAGTAGACTATTACTTACCACTAGTAGTATTGGTGGTGGTGCCTGTAGGGCTGAAACAGTCACGAATAGTGCTACTACGTAATTTTTCCGACGGAATATATATCTCGGCCGTAACGGTGTCCCGGTTAATCAGCCAACTGCTACTATTACTGCTACTACTATTAAGTGACTCACCGTTACTGACCGGACATCTCCGACTTCCAAGGAACACTAGTTACTAGTAAATGCGGAGTAAGTGACGTCGTACGATAGAAGGTACACCGCGGGCTAATCCTGCAGGTGTAGCGGGATGCTATGGTAAGACGGCTGCAGGAGGAAGCAGTAGTACTAAGTTAGTTTGTGTAAGTAGTATCTCCTAATACCACCTATAAACACTCTAAGTACTATCCTTAAAGTCACCTCATAACAACGGCATACCCTAAGGTACATCTGGAATCGTGCATCCTACCCCTAACATTCACCGAGGCCCCTCCAAGATACCGACTAAGCCCTCCTCCTACCCGTCCCGCCGTGTCTCACCTTCTGATAAGCTTTCCTACTGCCAGGAGTCCTTCATCTCACAGGCTACTGACTCCCTCCCGACCCCGCTTTGGCAGGATTGCCGGTCTCTCTCCGAGTGTCTCCAACCCTCACGCGACCAATTACCACAATCAGCCACGGAAGGCTTTCCCGGACTCACCACACACTATGACTACTGCAGTAGTAATTCCATTGCAGTTTTCCTTTTATACCAGTTTTGTCCTAGACTAAGCCGGTCTAAAGCTTCGACTCCGCAATACGCCTATCTCTACTACTTCCAACTACCAACTAAACAAAGGACCAACCAGCCCCCGCACATCTAGCAGGCTGGCCAGCATTGATACGACGGACTCCGCTCCCACTTCCTAGTAACGTTAATAGATTCCAGTATTTATCTCCCTATAAATCAGACATTGCCCTCCCTCACTATCTACCCACGTAACCCCCTCACCACCGTAACCATGATCCTCCTCACGGCACTCCTGTGCCTCCTAACCCTCACCCTCACCACAGCCCTAACCACCACCACCACCACCACCACCACCACCAACAAAACAACCCCCTTCTCCCTCCCCTCAACATGGGGCAACCTCTCCCCCTACACCCCGAGCCCCGGCTTCGGCATCCCCCCAGGCACACCCAAACAATGCCAACTGACACAAGCACACATCCTGCACCGACACGCACAGCGCTACCCAACCTCCTACCTCCTCGACGCCGACAGCATGGAATCCTTCGCCCAGAAGCTGCAGAACTACACACAAGCACACCCAAACAGCACCCTCGCCACGGGCCCTCTGTCTTTCCTCAATAAATGGCGCTATCTCATGGGCACAGAAGCCCTTCTCCCCACTGGCGCCGCAACGGAAGCTACCTCCGGTGCGTTCCACTGGTCTCGCTACGGACGGGTGTTGTATGATGCCCCGGCTGGTATGGCGGATTGGAGTAATGAGTTGAATGTCTGGCCGAATGGCACGAGGAGGGATAAGCCCATGTTCAGGACGACGAGTCAGGCGAGGATTTTGGAGAGTGCGAGGTGGTGGTTGAGTATGCATCCTCCTCCCCATCCCAACACTTTCTGATGGTTTGGGTGGTGTACTGATTAGGGTTTGGATAGGCGGCTTCTTCAGCAACATCGCGGCCAACAGCTCCGCTGATAACTACGACCTGGTTATTATCCCAGAGGGAGATGGATATAACAATACCCTGTCAGGGAGTTGTCCGAACGGGGATACTGAAGAGGGGTACGTTCCCCAATCCCCTCTACACACACACATATATATATATAAAGAGAGAGAGAGAGAGAGAGAGAGATCACATACTAACCAAACCCATGCAATGAAACAGCGACGACTCCGCCGAACAATTCCTCCGCACCTACACCCCCCCAATCATATACCGCCTAACCCCCCACCTCCCCAGCACCCTAAATCTCACCGCGCTCGACATCCTCAGCATGCAAAACCTCTGCGCATACGAAACCGCCGTGCTCGGCTCCTCCTCCTTCTGTTCCCTCTTCACGCCCTCCGAATGGGAAAGCTTCGCATACATCCTCGATCTACAATTCTACGGGGACTACGGATTCGGCTCACCCTCCGGTAGGGCACAGGGTATTGGATACGTGATTGAGCTTGCGGCTCGCTTACAGGGGAAACTTATAACGGAGCAGGTTGCCAACGTTAACATTACTTATGATTCTAATGCGGAGACATTCCCATTAAATCAGCCGCTGTATCTTGATATGTCGCATGATGATGTGATTGTTTCTGTTTTAGCTGCGCTGGGAGTGGAGTATTTTAATATTGGGGAGGATGGGATGAAGGGGGATATTGGGGTTGGGGAGATTCCGCTGAACCGCACGTTCAGGTTGAATCATATTGCGCCGTTCGGGGCGAGGTTTGTTACTGAGGTGTGGAGGTGTGAGGCTTCTTCTGCTGAGGAGATTGTGGTGGATGGGGGTGGGGAGGTGGTTTATGAGAATGATGTTGTGAAGGAAGGTCAGGGGAGGGAGTTTGTGAGGTGGGTGTTGAATGAGATGCCGGTTCCTGTTGGTGGAGTGTCTGGATGTGAACAGGATGCAGCAGCGGGTGGGAATGGGTTTTGTGCTCTGGAGGGGTTCTTGAATGGGGTGGGCAAGATGCAGGAGTTGGCGGCGTTTGAGGAGGCGTGTATTCAGGGGGCGGGGAGTGGTGGGGGGCAGGTTGGGGATGGGAGGCCTTAGTATTATTACTTTGTAGAGTTAGGGTGTGTGTGTGTGGTGGTGATGTAAGTGGTATGATATTGGTATATGGTATGGTATGCTAGAAAATCACGCGTATGGGTATCTAGCTCAAATAGCTGCCGGCCGCCATCTATCGCCATCAACACGAAACAAATATGAAAACAAACAGATAAGAAGCAGACTAAATGCCAGCTTTAGTCACAGAAATAGCAGTACACCAGCTTAGTCAACAGAATAGCAGTACACCAGCGACGCCGTATTAGTCTAGATAATAGTAGGTATCAGCCATCCTCGGAAGGTGGTTCGGAGTCGCTCCGACTCGATGGACGAGATAGCTCCAGCTCTTGCTGCTCGTGCAGCTCGTTGAGCTCGTTCAGCTCGTTCAGCTCATTCAGCTCCTCCGGGGTGAGCACGCGTCCGCCCAGCTGCACGTCATTGACGTGAACATTATATTCCAGTGCGCGCTGTCCCTCTCTGATCAGCTCTTCTGTCCATCCCAGACACCGCTTGAGGCTCTGGTTCAGCCGCTGGCTGTCGGCGAGAAGCTCCTGGTGCTTCGCCAGATCGATGAGGAACCGCTTCTCGTCCCGCGCACGATGCTGGGAGTCCTGATCTGCCTGCGAGTCGGGACTCAACACCCCGTCTTCCATGGAGTCTTCGTCGCTAAAGTCGGATAGTTCTTCTGGCGACCGTACAGACGAATGCTCGCTCGCTTCCTCGACTTCAGGAGGAATCGAGAGAGCACCGGATACGGACCGGCTGGACGTTGCCATGGACAAACGCCCTGAGCGACTGAGGCGTCGGTATCTGCGCAGCTCTGCATTCTGCTTCCGCATTTCCCGTTCTAGCGTGCGGTTAATGGCGAGAAGCGACGAGTTGCTGATTTCCAGATCCATGATCTTCCGCTCTGTACGTGCATTAAGGGCGCCGTTGGCCTGTCCGCTTTCCGACTTGGACGGGCTCTGCATCCCCGAGTTATGCGTATCCACGGAAGCGATGGATCCGTTGCTGAACACTCGCGGCCGGAGGCCTGGCAGCGGTTCAGACGCTATAGTGCTGGCGTCGATCTTTGGTTCTGATGGCGATATGATGAGCGGGCTTGGCCGCAGCCCTTCCCTCTGAGGAGGGGAGAGTCCACTATTGGCAGAGTCGAGACTCGACGACTTAACGTGTCGTACAGCTGGTATCGGTCGCGCTGATACACTACTCGACGGGGGACTATGGGCCTGTGACCCTGCGTCAAACGAGTCATCCTGCGACCCGACGACAGACGGCCCATCAGACAGCCGCGGATTCGAGTCCACCCTGGCCGGTCGCAGTCGCGGCGAGGCAGACGGTTTCGCCGACACCACCGATCGCGTCAAGCCAATCGACCGACGTTTATACGTCCCCCCTACCTCACTCACCGGGGACTGCCTCTCTTGCGCCCCGTTCGCGTAGATAAAAGTGGTGCCGGACGTCTTGGTCTGCAGCTTCGGGCGGGGCTCCTGCTCGGAAATAGTCGAACGTGCATCAGATGCATGAAAAAACATGGGGGCTCCGGCTGAATTGTCCGACGCAGAATTGGGACGAGAAAGCTGGTTAGACTCCATCGTCACGGTCCTAGCCCGGGTTGTCCGCGATGGTTCCAGCATTCCCCCCCGAACGGGACTCCGCTCCGTCCGGAGTCGCCCCGTATTTGACAGCTGGCCCACATGCGGTTGTGACCAGGAAACTTGGGGCGACTGTTGTTGTTGCTGGTGCCCGTTGGTCGGGGTGTTGTTTGGGGAGGAAATAGCACCATCGCGTCTGCTGTTGCGGGAACCGGATCGAGGGGTAACATTGGCACTGAGCAGGGATGAAGGTGGCTCGGGATCCCGCTTAGAGGGGACGGACGAGGGATGTTCGGAGGGAGTCAGTCGCTTGGGAGTTCGATAACCCCCCGGAGTAGCGAGTCGAGGAGTCAGAGGAGATTTCTGAGAGCGATGAAAGGCGGCGCTGAGGGCGGGGGTGAGAGGTTTGGCGAGATGGCCATTGTTTTGTTTATCGGCGGCGTTCATACTTGCGGGAGTCGAGGGGCGGAAAGGAGAGCGGCTCATGGCATTGCGACAGTAGTGCTCGAGAATCTGCAAGCATGATGATGGCACCAGCCAGTCGACAGCGGGTTCTTGGGACCGTCCAGGTGATGAGAGGAGGAGAAGGAGGAGGAGGAGGAGGAGGAGGGAAAAGAAGAAGATGGGGAGGGGAGTGTGGGATGACGATGTAGTGCGTTGAATTTGTTGTTCAACACAACAAAAGAAGGATAATTAATTGTTTTGGGTGCAAAACATCCCTCCCCACCCCAATCCGGCTAGTCTCTTAGTGGCTCCCCCTTTCACCGCAATTCAAGATCCCTTAATCAAGTTGTTTCTTATCCCGAATTGATTCTCTTCTTTCTCTGTCTATACATTTTATAATATATTTCTGGCTTGTAAATTATCACCACTTGAAACCATTCATCTGTTCCAAAATAGTAAGAGTAGTAGTTCTAACTGCACCACCCTTACTGATCGCAGTCAACCCTTCACATGGGCTGACCATGGGTGAAGTCGGAGTTGCGGCTCTCTCCGGAGTAGTAACCGGACAGCCATCACGCCGATCACCCCATCCATCACTCCTTTCCCTAGTTACTTACTGTACACTACTAAGCTACTGTAATCCACGGAACCCGGAGTATATTTTTCTGATGTGATCATCTGACAGATGAGATTGATTGATTGACTGATTGATTCCCTGCAGTCCCTTATCAGTTCAGATCTCGTCGATCAAAACACTACTGTACGTCTCCATGGCGAACCCGAATCTACTGCCGACACGTGATGCGTGACAAACTAACTGAACTATTCGGGGAATGCAAGGGCCCGTCTGCCACGTTGATCTTTGAAGAAGAGAAGCAAGCAGGAGAGAAGGAGGGAGGGAGGGAGGGGGGCTAGACTCCACATTCCTTCCTGGTTGTCAATGCGGGTTTGTGATATGTGGTGAAGTTTATCGGGGGGATCATGCGGGTTGGTATGTACTGATCTATGTGGTGTGGTTGGTGTTGTTGACGAGATACTTGGTGAGTAGTTACTAGTTGTGTAGCTAAGTTGTGCCTTTTCCAGTGTATTATTATCCCTTGTAGTATTATTTGCAGAGTAGCTAAGTATAGCATCCTCAGGAGTACCGTGGATGGGTCCTCGTTTAATGTAGATACTTCCGTCAGGACTTAACTAGCCCTTAATTAACCTATTAATAGTACCATCTGGCTGGATGCCAGCCAACAATTAATCAATGCAGTATAACCAACCAACCCCTTCATGCATGCAATACGGCCTTACTGCGATATTTATGGCATTAATATCTCATCGTCAACGCCAGGTACCCGACCGTTGATCTATCATGTAATGAGTCCAAGTTCTATCTGTCCTATATACAAGTCTGTCATAGTACAGCCCTTATAGTTTCAAATTATACCCAAGCGGTGCAAACAGGCCTATCTCTGATCTATATCACGTACTGTGAACTAATAATATCTGGTGAGAATCGAAGCGGGTAATCGCCAGGAGTGACCCTTTGCAATGGATGATGGCATTTCTCGTGGTCACAGTCCCAATCTGATCGATCTTTTCTGCCCGAGACTGAAGTACCTGTCATCTCGTGTCAGACGCAATGCCACTGTGACCGGCGCAGCACGACTGCCATGCGGTAAATTGCTCTGCTGGAGTAGACTACTGTCCACTCCTAGGGGCTGGGCAGGAAGAAGCCCAACCTGCTGAACTAGTATGGTGCGACCATAAGTCATCACGAAAAGAACAACCGTTTCTGTCGCGGATCGGGCGATTCCGTTGTTCTCCGCTTCCGTGTCTTCGATGCAGCCGGAGCCTCAGCTACAGCATCTGAAGCACCCTGAACAGCCTCCTTGATCGTCTGTCTTGACAAACAATAGTCAACATGGTCATTAAATGCACGATCTTCCGCCACCTGAGGTCGGGAACAGATCGGACAATCCCAATAGACAGGCTGCGACGGTGATGCAGCCGCTTCATCCTGCCTTTCTGTAGACTCAGGTACCTCCTGGCTCAGCTTCTCCAAATCATCGAGCTCTTCCTGTAATTCTTCCCGTGCCGCTTTCTCGAATGCCTCCTCTGTCTCGATCTCCTGTTCCACCGGAGAATCGGCCACCTCCGAAGCGGGCTTTGGCCGCGAAGTGAAGCCGAAGAGCTCTATGCCGACCTTCTTCGTGCTCACCAAATTGGTGCACCGTAGTCCAAGCAGTCGCATCTTCAAATCAGGCATCTCTTTCTCAAGTTTCTCCAGCATCGGGAGCGAAAACGCGTACAAGTCCTTGGCAGTAGATACCGCCCGTGGAGGCTGGCATTGTCGTGATAGAACCTCAAAGGTGGCGAGCTTGACCTTGAGAACCAATGTACGACCCTTGAACTCGGTCCGTGCCAGATCTTTTTCAAGCTCCTCTGCTATCGACCACAACTTCGCTCTGAACTCCTCTTTATTTCCGATCTCATGGAACGTCCTCTCCGTTCCCACGCTCTTGCGCTCGTAGTTCTCCACCGGCTGAATCTTTGTTCTACCCAAGCCGAGATAGCACTGCATCAAGAAATGGAACGCTTTTTCTCCAAAAAGTTTAGTCAATATGGCACGCTGCGGATAAATGTCGCCGCACGTTTTAATGCCGATCGCATCAAGCTCACGTTCGAAGACACGGCCGACACCATTCACCTTGCGGACAGGCAGCTCCTCCATGAACTTCATAATTGCTTCTTTTTCATTAGGGACGCAAAATTGACCGTTCGGCTTATTCTTGTTGGATGCAATCTTGGCGATTTTTGCATTTGCTGCAATGCCGGCAGAGACTGAGATCTTGGTCTTCTCCAGGACCTCTGCGCGCATGCGCTGGACGGCCTCCTCGGGGTCAAGCTCATTTTCAGTACAATATGCAGTCAGATTGAGATACGCCTCGTCGATACTGGCGCTTTCGAATGTGG